ATTCTCATCGTTCATCCCAAACCCTCCTCTTACTCATCAAAGATTTTCGGGAAATATACCTTTGATAAATATTTCTAAAACTTTGCCATATTTAATTATATACAGATACATTATGATTATTAAATATTTTGTTTATAATTGTTTGATAAGTATTAATGAATACTTATGAATATTTATTACTACTGTCACTATTTCATAAATATTGTTTTGGTCAATCTTACAAATGGGTGGTAGGATCCTTTACTGCTTTTTTGGTAGGCTGCGCCTTTATTTTTCTTTTCTGTCCCAGCCCCCTTAATCATGAAAATTCTCACAACATTATTTCTATTTCGCAATATTCTGCAAACATTCACTCTTCAAATAATCACAATAGTTATTATATCTTTATTTTGTGCCAAGTATTCCGAGATGTATGATAAAATGCCATTCTGGCTCACAGTAGTCGATTATTTTTATTTTTGGCTCATTGAACTGCATTTCCAGATCTGCCTTTAAAGCATTTTTGTCCCATAATAGGTTTACAATGTTACCTTACATACATCTAGTTTTACAATCAGTAAAATCTTAACGTTTTTCTGTTTCCTTATTCTGAATTTTGAAACAGATGTTGGTTGAAATAAGGCTGATTTCTTCAAGTAACACGGAAGACATTAATTAATCAAGAAAGAGTTTTCTTAAACTCAGTATTTGAAATTATTCATATTCTTCCTTTCCAGGTATGTCTATAGCAATCAGAGTGGCAGCTTCAGCCAGGTACTGAACTTTCAGCTTCGGAAGAGTTTTTAGCAGACTTTGATTGGGATTAACACAATTTTAAAATTTATGTCGTTAATCGGAGGAAAATTGTCACTCGTCGCGAAACTTCGTGTTTTTCCTCTATATCAGGGTTGCAGTGGCTGTGGGGTAGGAGAGTAGAACCAAATTTATCAAAAAATGTCAAACGACAAATGAACCAAACTCAGCCAGGTAATATACCTGTAATACACCCCCGAAAGAATATCCACACCCGTTGTGCCCCTTTCCCAACGGTATTTTGTTGTCAGAAGTTTTAGATAAGGCTAATAAAAGCAGGACCAAGGAGCTCTTAGATTTCTTTCGCTATTCGATTAATTAAAGATGAGACACAATTGACTAAATCGCACTCCAAGATATATTCTATTTCCTGTAATGCACCGTACTTCAAGGCCTATTTGAGAGTTCTGGTATTATTCAAAAATTAGAGTACTAGTGTTATTGTCATAGTATTGATACTGTGCTGATGAATTATTTTAATGAATATGTAACTAAGTGAAGTATTGTGTGGCGTTATTAAAAATTGCTCTAGATGTGTTATTCCTGATAAAGCTGTTCAGGTTTTTTTTAGATTTTTTATCGATAGTACCATATTTAAAGCTATGCAGTCATATATTTAGATAGAGAATGGCAATCTCCTCCTGACACTACAGATTTCACTCATTGGCGATACCAGAGTCATTGTTGTTACTTTGTAAGCTATTTCAATGGAACCAATTCACGCACTTGTTCGCAAGTCACTAGAGAAAAACAAAGTTCTTAGAAATTGGATCCATTCGAAATGATAGAGTAGACGACATGTTTTCCTACTTGATACAGCAAGCTTTTGAGTGTATCACAGTCTGCAGTTTAAGAACTGGTGTTTGAAATGTCAAGGAACTAGAGCGTCAATGTAAAACAGTAATTTCGACAAGATACAAAATAGAATGACTGATTTACTCAGACTTTCCAAGTTGAGGGGTACCGACTCTTGCCCTATGAATTGCCTCCAACGAAGTTAGATATTTTTGTAAAGTGGGTTGCCTCATGATGACATTTCATTTAATCGAGTCTGTCCTCGATTTCTTTAATAATCTTGATTGAGATTACTGTTTTCTAAAGCAGACCACAGCTAGTTAGCAGAAATAAAGTAAGTATTTGAAAAATAGACGGGCACAGCAATTTGAGAGCACTGTTGCCATGCCCATTTTAGTAAAGAAGTAACATGACCTCACCATTTCATCATTGAGAACCCTTTTATAGGCATTTGATCGTCAATTAAGCACAGTATTAAATATCATAATATTGTATAATAAAATATATTTTTATGAAAGGTGGGAGGGGCATGTACCCAAATGCCCCCTAGTTTACATGTCAGTGTCAGTAGTTGTGGCAAATGCGACTTCATATATACACATGCTTCCTGATTCACCTCAAGTAAAAGAACCTGAAATTCCTTTTTATCCTCTGAGTTTTGTTTGTTTTGTTCCCTACACCTTTCAAATATTTTCCACAATCGAGTGCCTTCCTATTATGACCCAAAAAATCAAAACACAGCTACCCAGTTGTTTCTTGCCTGTTTTCTTGTATGAAGTTTGCCTTGGTGCCCTGACTGTTTAAGGGTGTCCATTTAAAGCAAACCCCTTAACTAATTTGCCTATCAATGTTTTAGCAAACAAGAGGAAACCCCTTTAAGTTCCGTTCTGCGAGTGACTAACTACCAATGCTTCTTTAAGCTAGGGGTGAATCCTCTCAAAGCAGCCCATAGAAATAGTAGCAGCCTTAGAAATCTGCCATTGAATTTCTTTTGTATAAAGTGAGAAGTCTTTGTCTTGCCCATTTGCGCATTAACTAATTTTTTCTAGCTTATTAGTTTCGTCGATTTAATTGTCCTAGCGTATGATAAAAGACTGAAGCATGAACATTTCATCGTATTTTCTGTGTATTTTTCCTGCTTTTCTTAGCGATGATAATCGACATTTTCTGTCAGTCGGCTCCAACATTCCTCCGTTTACACAAAGAGAGCCTCTTGTCTCAGATTGAATAGCCAGTGTTTCAGCTAAAAGTTACAATTTTGGCGAAAGTATAAGCTTGATGGTGAAATGGGTTACACCACAGGATGCAGAAGATTATTCCCTTTCTTTTGGTGTTTTCAAAAAACAAATTGGACCACGTTTGACGAAGTTATTCGACTTTTTTACAATTTTTGGCGAGGGGGATTCAGGTTTGCACAAAGCAGTTCAGAAAAAACAATAGGCTTGTGATTCCCAGAGTTTCTAAAGATCTCGGTTTTTGGCGATTTACTCCTAAACCATAATTCATATGAACCTATGGATAGATTCAGTCGACGCGCCGTACGATGCTCGATTTTTTGAGCCGTTTCCCGTATTTTTAGGACGAGATTTAGCAAAGTTATTAAGGATTTTGTCTCCAAAATCGCCAAAAAATGGTTTTTTGCACTTTAAAAATCGAAAAAAGCCGTTAAAAATTCGCTGATACTTTCTAAAAATCGAGCCAAAAATGGCCTAAATTCTGATATATAGCTTTCTCTATTTGAAGCTCGCGTTGCTTTTTAAAATCGATTTTTCCGAAAAGTGCACTTTTCAAATTTTCTCAAATTTGCATCGCAGCGTCCAGGCCTGGCCAAAGCCGCTGCTGCGATGGCGACTTATACTTTCTACTTAAAAACGGTATTTCTTGAAGTTTTAAAGCGGGGGTAAGCTTTTTACATGCTAAGCAAACTGTTTTAAGTCGAATTAGATGCAATTACAGTGTAATCGCTTGATTTTAAATCATTTTGAAAAACTTCAGTACATGTCACTAGCCGCCCGTAGCCCGGTCACCTTTAATGGAGAGAACCACACGAATATCGCTCTTTATTCGCATATCAAGAGCGTTAATCAATTAACAGCCGTTTACACACTCTCTTCTTGCATGTTGAATCTGTTTAATCTTTTACAAAGTGATTAATTGCAACAAAATCTTTGCAACTTCACTTTTCCTCGATATGAAGGTCTGGGAATCCCCTTCCTTAGGTATATTCAGGCTTGCAAACTTTCTATTGTCTTACCGAGTTACCCTTTGGTTTTTGCCCTTCTGAGGCTTTAATATCAATATGATTGAGAGAAATAGAGCATAGATGCAGTGATTTATCGACTCAAACGCTTAAAAAGCGAATATCGAGCGATTTTCGTGTGTTTTTCTCCATTAAAGCAGATCGGGCGACGGGCGGCTAGTGACATGTACTAAACTTTTTCAAAATGTCACTAGCCGCCCGTCGCCCGATCTGCTTTAATGGAGAAAAACACACGAAAATCGCTCGATATTCGCTTTTTAAGGGTTTGAGTCGATAAATAACTGCATCTTTTCTCTATTTCTCTCAATCATATTGATATCAAAGCCTTAGAAGGGCAAAAACTAGAGGGTAACCCGGTAAGACAATAGAAAGTTTGCAAGCCTGAATATACCTAAGGAAGGGGATTCCCAGACCTTCATATCGAGGAAAAGTGAAGTTGCAAAAATTTTGTTGCAATTAATCACTTTGTAAAAGATTAAACAGATTCAACATGCAAGAAGAGAGTGTGTAAACGGCTGTTAAATGATTAACGCTCTTGATATGCGAATAAAGAGCGATATTCGTGTGGTTCTCTCCATTGAAGCTGACCAGGCTACGGGCGGCTAGTGACATGTACTGAAGTTTTTCAAAATGATTTAAAATCAAGCGATTACACTGTAATTGCATCTAATTCGACTTAAAACAGTTTGCTTAGCATGTAAAAAGCTTACCCCCGCTTTAAAACTTCAAGAAAATACCGTTTTTAAGTAGAAAGTATAAGTCGCCATCGCAGCAGCGGCTTTGGCCAGGCCTGGACGCTGCGATGCAAATTTGAGAAAATTTGAAAAGTGCACTTTTCGGAAAAATCGATTTTAAAAAGCAACGCGAGCTTCAAATAGAGAAAGCTATATATCAGAATTTAGGCCATTTTTGGCTCGATTTTTAGAAAGTATCAGCGAATTTTTAACGGCTTTTTTCGATTTTTAAAGTGCAAAAAACCATTTTTTGGCGATTTTGGAGACAAAATCCTTAATAACTTTGCTAAATCTCGTCCTAAAAATACGGGAAACGGCTCAAAAAATCGAGCATCGTACGGCGCGTCGACTGAATCTATCCATAGGTTCATATGAATCATGGTTTAGGAGTAAATCGCCAAAAACCGAGATCTTTAGAAACTCTGGGAATCACAAGCCTATTGTTTTTTCTGAACTGCTTTGTGCAAACCTGAATCCCCCTCGCCAAAAATTGTAAAAAAGTCGAATAACTTCGTCAAACGTGGTCCAATTTGTTTTTTGAAAACACCAAAAGAAAGGGAATAATCTTCTGCATCCTGTGGTGTAACCCATTTTACCATCAAGCTTATACTTTCGCCAAAATTGTAACTTTTAGCTGAAACACTGGCTATTCAATCTGAGACAAGAGGCTCTCTTTGTGTAAACGGAGGAATGTTGGAGCCGACTGACAGAAAATGTCGATTATCATCGCTAAGAAAAGCAGGAAAAATACACAGAAAATACGATGAAATGTTCATGCTTCAGTCTTTTATCATACGCTAGGACAATTAAATCGACGAAACTAATAAGCTAGAAAAAATTAGTTAATGCGCAAATGGGCAAGACAAAGACTTCTCACTTTATACAAAAGAAATTCAATGGCAGATTTCTAAGGCTGCTACTATTTCTATGGGCTGCTTTGAGAGGATTCACCCCTAGCTTAAAGAAGCATTGGTAGTTAGTCACTCGCAGAACGGAACTTAAAGGGGTTTCCTCTTGTTTGCTAAAACATTGATAGGCAAATTAGTTAAGGGGTTTGCTTTAAATGGACACCCTTAAACAGTCAGGGCACCAAGGCAAACTTCATACAAGAAAACAGGCAAGAAACAACTGGGTAGCTGTGTTTTGATTTTTTGGGTCATAATAGGAAGGCACTCGATTGTGGAAAATATTTGAAAGGTGTAGGGAACAAAACAAACAAAACTCAGAGGATAAAAAGGAATTTCAGGTTCTTTTACTTGAGGTGAATCAGGAAGCATGTGTATATATGAAGTCGCATTTGCCACAACTACTGACACTGACATGTGAACTAGGGGGCATTGGGGTACATGCCCCTCCCACCTTTCATAAAAATATATTTCATTATACAATATTATGATATTTAATACTGTGCTTAATTGACGATCAAATGCCTATAAAAGGGTTCTCATTGATGAAATGGCGAGGTCCTGTTACTTCTTTACTAAAATGGGCATGGCAACAGTGCTCTCAAATTGCTGTGCCCGTCTATTTTTCAAATACTTACTTTATTTCTGCTTCCAAAACACGAACATTCTTAATTAGACAAAAATCGTTAAAATTGGAAATGTTAATCTGTGAGTAGGCTGCCGAAGGGCAGCGAAAATTTTGAGAAAAAGTTTTGATCGTGTATGTGTGTTTTTTAATTATGGTTTATAAATGTACCGAGTTACCTAAGTATAATTTGTCATACAACACACGGGATCTCTTAAAATCCTTGGCCAAAAAAGCCAGTGACCGAAAACATGATTTATAAGCTAATCCTTTTATAAGCAACGACCATTAAACACAAACTCGTCAAAAGAAATATTGGAGAATATATAAAACAAAAGCAATTATCATGGAAGCGAAGTAGATTTAGAAAACAATTGTCTGTCTGTTCCTAACTTCATGTCATTTTCGTCTACTCCATGCACTTAAAAATTACACCATCATTCCTTGCTTCTCACCTCCATGCTGAGAATGATGACCCTTGGCTGCAACGGAAAAGCAGCGTAAAAATTGGGAGTATGAATAAAATTAAAGAACTCAACAGCTTGTGTTAACGCTAGGAGTTTAAACAAAGATTAGTAGAAATCTCGAGCTACCCCCTAACTTTATGTCTAATGGAAATTCAACATTCTACACAAAGAATTTATTAATGGCCTGGCACCTGAGATGTAAGGTATGTGTCCAAGTTTGACAAGTCAGGAGAAAGTGAAAGGTCAGAGCACATGGTTGATGACTGCGAAGAATGTCAGTCGGAACAAAAATATTACGATCATCACACTCAACACACCCTACTTTCAGACGTTTTCACAATTTTGGCTTACTAGCCGGAGGAAGGATTGAAATTTCTCCCGATTCTGAAGTTAGAATTGGCGAGTGCTGTGGGGACGAAGGAAGGCAGAGATTTTAAAAAATTGAAATTTCTGATTCTTTAGAATTGGCGAGTGCTGTGCTTACTGAAAGAGTTGGGATTTAGCCGAATATTGAAGGTTTTGCGATTCCCTTACGGCACAGAATTATCTCTAAGCTCCACAGAAACAGTGCAAAAATTTGAAAGAAGAGTTCCTTTACCCACTGTGACAGAAAAACACCTTGGATTTTCTTTTCGAAGGATCAAGGGCTTTTCCAGAAGGAAACGGTAATACTTTAAAAGAAATCAAGCAAAAACAATCTTGATAATGAAATTAAATACTTACAAATTAAAGGAAACGTTAAATAAATGAAGGCTGGAAAAAAGGTTTTAAGCCTGGTAAATCAATAGCAGAGCTTCAGTCGTCTCCTGATTTTTGCACAATTTAGTGTTTTTATTTTAGAAAAGGGTGAACAACAGAAAGGAACGTTGGCATTCCTCATAGTTGAGAGAGGGTGTGTAGTGCCCGTGCTCCCTAAAGGGCGTTACGTTGAAGATCCTGTACATGACAACTCAAGATGCTTGAAAAGGAAGTACTCACGGACTGCTTGACTGCCCGAACACAGGTCCTGGCTGTCCAAAAGAGCTTGACTGGTTTAGATTTCCAAATGAAGGCTGGTTTTGGTTGGAAGAAAGACTTCCAAAGGATGGTTGGTTTTGGTTTGCTGTCACGCCTCCAAAAGCTGAATTTCCGGCTTGTGAGCTTAACTGGCCAAATAATGGACTGGACTGTTGGGCCAAAGATCCAAAACCGGACTGCTGGCCAAACATACTTGTGTTTGAGCCAAAAACTGCACCTGAAGAGGCAGGTGTGCCAAAAGAACCAGGTGAAGTTGAACCGAACGTTGGGGCACCACCAAATGCTGGTGTACTTCCAAATGATGGCGCTCCACCAAAAACAGCAGAGCTTCCAAATCCAGAAGAGGCTGCAAAAAGGAAGACACATCACAGCAAGGGCTAAGACGCTATACCTATAACTAGAAGTGCAAACTCGTGATGCTAAGAGCCCGATGACGTCAACAATAAAAGTTATCAAGTTATTAGACGATTTTGGAATGACCTATAATGTGACAGGGTTTTCTGAAATTTCAAGCTTACAACAATCATCGATGTTTATATTTCTGCTGCAATATTCAGATATTTAGTAGAAACTTTGGCATTAAAAACTGTTGCGCAACACTCAAAGTGTTTAAAGAAATAAAATTAAAAACTTTCGAAGAGAAAAGAACTTCTACTTTGAAGTTAGTTTGACTATAAGCTTAGAGTGTTTAGTAGGTACCTGTTGATGCTGAAGTAGAACCAAAAGATGGTGCTCCAAGGAAACCCGCTCCAAAACCTGCAAAATGTTTGGCATTGTGACGAAAGCATTTATTCCACATCATTGTATCTGCATCAGATCTGCACCTTATTTCTACTCAGTTTTATCAATACACACAAATACAAACACTACTGGTCCACAATATCGTAATAGAAAACAACATATTTCAAGCTTACTATCAATAAAATGAAATAAAATAAAATAAAATAAATGAAATAAAAAAAATAAAATAAAATAAAATAAAATAAATAAATAAAATCGAAGATTGTGATAAATCTAAAAAGGCTCAAATGCATGAAGACTGGAACAACTATTTGATCAATGGTTGAATGATTATAAACAGGTATGATCAATATTTTTGAATTTATGATAATCATCCAAGAAATTTCACCTTTGGAGAATGTTCCTCTTGTTGGCGAAGATGACGTTGGTGAGGACTGAAAAAAACAGAGTTGTCTGAAGCTTCCTGTTTTCGATTTCCAATAGCTTATTTCTATGCAAAGGAGTATCTAATCATTCAAAGTAACAATTAAATCTAATTAGAAATGCGACTTACACCAAAGCTAGTCCCTCCTGACGATGCACCAAATAAACTTGGACCTAGAACAACAAAGTGACATATACAGTAACAGAAAAGTAACAATAAGGTTCATGTAGGCCATACCTCGGCCATTAAGACCATACTTGACCATTGGCAATGCATAGTGTCAAAAAATGTTTGATCAAAGCCATTCTACGTTGCAATTTCATCAAACAACTTCACAAACATGTTAAGGTTAGTCACTAAAGTAAACTAAATACTTTGAAAAAAGCAAACATTTTACGACATACTAAAAGCTTTTTCGTTTGACACTCCTCAGAGCATAAAACGTCAGAATAAGGTTTTTAGTATGTCGTAAAATGTTTGCTTTTTTCAAAGCCATTTTCAAATTCTGTACCGCAAAAAAAATTGTAAACTAAATACCGTAGTTGAACAAGCAAGCAATATTCAAAAGTGTTAGATTAGTATGATTAAATTTCGAAGGAGCTACAAATAAGCCTCAGACGACGCAGACAGAACTTTAAAAAACAGGAATGGTTTATGTAAAACGCCATACCACTGGATGAGGATGTGGAAGATGGAACAGTGCCAAAGGGGTTCTTGCTCGGATCGTTATTCGGCTTGCCACCTAGCCCTAAACCACCAAAACCTAGGCAAAAAATACATAGTGAAGATCTTTGATTGATTATCACAAACATATCTGGTCAATACAATAAGGAATTCAATCTAAATCTAGCAGGAAAGAAACGTAAATGTACATAGCCGAATTGATTTGTGTTAAGCAACCAGTGAAATAAACTTACTAACCTGCACCCCCTGAAAATGGTTGCGACCCAAAAGCAGAATTACTCTGTCCAAATGGTGACTGGCTTGTACTGGAAGTTTGAAAAAGGCTCCCAGAAGTACTGACAGGCTTGGTCCCAAACAGGCCACCACCATTACTTGCAGACGGTGTGCCTCCGAAAATACCACCTGTGCTTGCTTGAGTATTGGTTAGCTTTGACCCGAATAAACCAATCGACTGTTGTTGTCCAATGGTTGAAGAGCCACTGGAAGTAGACTGAGTGAACAGGCCAGAGGATGAAGTTCCAGTCTGTGCACCAAAAAGCGGTTGTGTTGTGGTCGGTGCAGTTCTGAACAGACCAGTTGAAGAGCTGCTGCCAAACAAAGATGACGATGTTACTGATGTTGAAGACTGCGCACTAAAAAGTTTTGGTGGATCTCCTTGTTCTTTGCTTTGTACACTGCCACCTGATGATGTAAATGGCGACTGTGTACCGAATGCTGGGGCACTAGAGCCTGTTATAGCTCCAAATGCACTAGGTTTACTTTCAGTCGTCTTTGCTCCTAAAGCTGGGAATAAGGAAGACTGGCCCCCGAAAATCGAGGAGGAAGTTGAAAAAGGTGCTGATGAAGGGGCGGTGCTCAAAGAAGGAGTGACATTGGTCGTTTCTGGCTCTTTTGGGATCTCTGCTGGCTTGCCACTCAGCCCTAGAAAAGACTGACTACCAAAAGCTGGTATTGAGGAAGAGGCTGCGCTCCTTGCAGAGAAGAGGCTGGTTGTTGTTGAAGGCAATGATGATGATGATGATGTTGTTGTTGCAGCTGTGGTTGCAAAGAGAGCAGTGGAAGTTGTGGCTTTAGGAACATCCGCTTTATCAACTGAGGATTGAGTTGCAAATAGTGACGAAGACAAAGTCTGTGTGCCCACAATGGAAGAGGCAATCGACGGTTTTGAGGGAGGCAAATTTATCGAAGACTTTATTGCCGTGCTTTCAGAGGCTTGAGGAAGTAGGGCTTTAAAGTCTGCAGTCACCGAAGTGGCGCTTTTTGCTTCCGATGCAGCACTTTGATTTGGTTGGGTCGTTTTGGAAGCAGGTTGGAATTTGCTTGTAAATAGCGTGCTAGCAGCAGAGGGTGTAGCTGCAGAAGGAAGACTGGAAAAGACGGGCTTCGGAAGACCGAAAAGAGGCGTGGATGCACTTCCAATGGCAAATGTATCTTGGCTTGTTGTGACAGTGACAATAGATGTAGTCTTCGCAAACATGCCTGAAGATATGGATGCAGGACTGCCGCTGGAAACTTCTTTGCTTGCTGAAATTGGCACAGCTGTTTCCCTAGTCAAAACAGCTTGACTATCCGTTGACTTTTGCAAACAAGATAGTGAAAAACTGCCACCTTTATCGTTCGAAGCTGCTTCACCCAAAACAACTTTAGACACCGGGACTGTTTTTGAAAGTTCCATCTGTAAGGCAGCGGAACCACCTCCTTGTGAACCAGGACTTTCCTTAAAACTGGGCATAGCTGATGTTGCACTCTTGATAAATGATGTGCCACTTGCCGGTGAAGGTTTGACAGAGCTTCCGGTAAACAATTGAAACGGTTGGGGATACATATTGGCTGAGTCCTGGGAACTGGATTGTGAAATAGAGCTAACACCTGTCGCATTAGATGCAGTTATTTTCTGAACAGGCATGGAGGCTGACTGGCTCCCTGTAGGTGCAGTGATACCAGAAGTTTTGCTTGCGCTGGAAGTATCAACTTCGAAATTCTTTACCCCTTCAGGCTTTGGTTTCATATCTGATGACTTAACAATAGGAATACTGTGGCTTGAAGTCTGCTGTGGAATATGAGATTGCTGCGACACCTTAACAGCTTCACTTTGCTTGTCACTGACCTTAAAAGACTGATGACTCCCAAATGCTGTCTTTTCAGTAACCTTTACAGCGTTACCAAGACCTCCAGACAATGAAGTATCTTTGAATCCAGTTGCTGCTTGTCCAAGCTGACCACATTTAACAGCTGGCTTCTCCTCAGGCACATTGAATTGCACTTGTGACGTAGATGAGGTTTTGAAAGGAGTTACCGGCTTTGATGTAAACTGTTGCAGTGATTTGCCGGGCGTGGCCACAACAGACGGAGTAGCCTTAGCCTTCAAAACAAGAAACACCATTTCTCAACACAGTTAGAAAAGAAAATATGAAGAAGAACGAAAATATAACTTTTAAACTTGCCGTTGCCCTTTATCTATCAAACTGACATTTTGTCCCAAATAAGCATGAAACAAGAACACATTATATTGAAAACATGTTTCCTTAATAAAATATAATTATAATGAACCATGACCAGTATCTCCACAGGGTACAATAAAAACGATACGATGCAAAAGTTGCTGATACAATATTCCTAAAAAGGTACAAGAAACAATGTTGCATTAATCTGAAAAGTAAAGATTAACAAAGTTTAAATTTGACTAAAAGTGATTTAAAATCTAAAAAGTAAGAATTACGGTAGTTTAAGTTTGGCTAAAAAGTAAATTAGAATTAACAGTTAAGTTTCCATTTTTATAAATTAAACGAACTATTACCAATGCGATTCACGAAATTATTCTTTTGCTATGGGCAGTCAAAAACATTGAAAGACAAAAAGATATCTAAAAACATTTCTGAACCAAAGATAATTTGGTTCAGGATAAATACAAAATAATGATTTGAATAAAATTCAGAATAATGAATTCAAATTGTAAACCTTGTCTTTTGTGGGTGGTTTTTCAAACGTGGATTCTTTCAAGGCCTAAATAAAAAATTGAAAACTATTCAACAAATTGATGTAGAAATTTGTCATTTATTGAATTATTCATCTTACAGCAATAGCCATTCAAAAAACTTTTATCACAGGAAAGAATGTATCTTGTTTTAATATTACCTAAATCAAAACAAATTTGCATAGCAGACGTCGCCTGTTTTAAAACTGTGCAGTCCTTTCATTAATCTGCAAATTTTGTAACTCAATATAAAGCATGGTAAAAAACAGTATCCACCATAAAAAGACGTATTTCAGTTATCACATGATAATCATTCTTTAAGCTGTTTTCAATTAGAAAGACTGGTCTACTGGAAAATTTCTGTTTTCAGTTAGAAAAACTCACTAAGGTTTTATGAGAGTGAAAAAGGGGCGAAGATTGGAGCTTTAGAGGCATGACATACCCTACAGCTAAGAAAGTCTTGCTCACCAAACAAAAATTCTTAAGCTGGTTCGTCAATTTTTTAAAAGGAGAACTGAATGATTATTCACAATTACCACAGTTACCCCTAATTACCACAGTTGGTTCGAGAATGTGCTTAAAGACAATGGCAAAGAAAAAAAGATCAACGACTTGAGCAAACTAAGGAAGAGATAAAATAAACAGCAGCAAAATAGACGAATAAAAGTGATAAAAAAAGACAAAACATTGATACTGTTAAAGACGGAGAAGAAACTTTTATAGAATGCAGTACAGAGGATAAAAAATAAACTTTTCATAGCAAACGTCTAGCAATTTTTATCAATATAACATAAAACACACGAATATGATCATTTTCCAATATCGGACAAAACAGCTTTCAAGAAAACACTGAGAAATAAACTCGCGGGCAGATAATGAGAAAGAAAGCAACTCACGGAGAATTTCCCGTTAACAACCGGTGTTTCGGACGGGAACTTAAATAATTTGCGCTCTGGCGCACCAACAGCTGGAGTCGAAGCAGCTTTTGGTCTGCCCGCCAAAGAGATGTCTGATACTATGAAAATTATAAAAAACGATAAGGATCAACAGCATTAAGCATTTACGGCAGTCAAAGAAAAGTTTAAAAAACTATTTCAAAGTCTGAAATAAGTCTTTCAAAGTCTTTTGATTTGGGGTTTGAAATAAGGGAAGTGAGAATGAGATTGAAAGAAGCATGTAAAATTTTTTAAATTCAGAAGTACTACTAAAACATTAAAATCGTAAGTAGCGGAAACCTATAACACCTCTGTCCGTGTAAGATTTTGGAAATGTGATGGATAAAGAGGTGCTACAGAGCATCATAAATGAAAAAGGTACTGCAATTTGAAATGGGAGTTTAGAGCAGACCTTTCTTCTAGTTCTGGGGGAGGCAAGATAATCCGAATAAGACGAAACCAGAAACCAGATCAGGAAACGTAAAGAGATGCAACATTGCACGCATTAAGGAACTGTTAGAACCCAGTAAGAGTGGCTGACCTTTGAGAGAAAGAATAAAAAAGGGACAATGAATTAATTGGAAACTAACGGGGATATGAAAGGAATTCTATGACAAGAGATATGGAAGCTTTAATACCATATCAAGGTTTAAAAAAAAATTTCCAGTCTGAGCAACTGCATACCTTGGTAATTAACTTTTCTTCTTGGAGGTGATTGCTTCTTTGATAAGAAAGACTTGAAATGCGATTGTTTCATTGGGGAAAAGCGCACTACGAAAAAATGCGCCAATGATTGATATAGGAAGAGAAATATTTGTCTAGAGATTTGCATCCCTTGTGAATAAAAAAATTGAACTCATTTTGAAGTTAGAGCAAACCAGTTGCCAATCGTCACACAGACCCCACAGACGATTGCTGTCACACAGTCAACTACCAAAAGGAAGGTCAATGAAAATAAAATAAACAAAGGTCCAACATTGAAACCCTACTTCGACCCTTTTCTGAATAGGGTTTTCAGACCTGGGGAAATTGTCTGAAGGAAATTTTAATAGTCTCTGCTGTCACTGGAACATTATAGGGCTGAAACACACCATTATAAACGAGGACAAGGCAAAAGTCAAATAAAAGATTCCATAAAGAAAATTATCTCTACATTAAAATCGACTTTCTGGTACGTTGAGTATCGTCTTTGGGATTTCGACAAATTCTAAATGCAACTAAGTGTCTGTAATAAAAACAAACGGTCACCTTTGCTCTCTGGCATCAGTTTTTCCTCATTTATCTTGACTGTAAGATCAATCTCGCCGTCCTCAAGTTTAGTGTTGCTGCAAAAAGAAATGTTTACTTGAATTTACTTGAGAGTAGATTTAGATTTTGTCAAAAATTTCATATAGCTTGAGAAAGGCAAATAACATATGAGAGTAGAATGGTTGGACATTTTTAAAAATTCATTTCTTATAAAAATTAATGAAATAAATGTGTAACAGCTTTATGGAGTCCAGAAACATACCTGATAAAGCTTTGTCTGTCTCCAAAAGGCTTTGAAATTAACTGGTCTTTCTCTGCTTGTAAGGTGATATTCTCAACCCTGTCAGCCTATGAAAAAACCCTTAGAACTGTAAAAGCCCCTTCTTATAAAGAGTGAATCATTAAAATTTGTCAAATGTCCAGATAACGGAGACGGTGAAAAAATCAAAGCCGGTGAATTTTTGGTGGATATTTTTTGGAAAACGTACCCGTTAGAGATCATTTCATGCTCAAATGCATTTAACTAACCAATAAAAAATGGTTCGAGCCCCTTTTTAGGACACGTGACAACGACTACAAAACAGAACTCAATGCCATCAAAACATCAAGTATTTGCAAAAATTACCTTGATTGGGTACGTCTTTTAACATTCCAAACAAAGATATTTACAAACAGTTTCGGGAAGTGGCAAAAACGGACAAAGCATAAGGTCCTAGTTTAAAGGGATGATGCTGTTCCAAACATCAAAAAGGTGACAAACAGGAGACGAATTTAGGAGGAACGTGTGCGGAGGAGGTCAGAGGAGGTCAGAGGAGGAAAGGCATCGAGGAAAGAAAAGCTGAAGGTGGTAGAAAAGGAAGAGTTCAAAGGGTTTTGGACAAATAGGCTTGAGACTTGAGACCAATCAGTCTGACAGACATTTACAAGCATTGCAAGAATCCAAAATTAAGAAGAAAGAAGAAGAAGGGGAAGAAGAGGAATAATAGAAAGATTAAAGGGAAGAAGAGAAAAAATAATGGATTCGAGAAAAGAAAGAATGAGAAAGAAAAGAACTTGTAAAGAAAATAACATTAAAAAGTAGACGCAGAAAAGGAAGAAGATAGAGGAAGGAGAGGATGAAGTGGACGAAGAAAGGTAAAAAAGGAAGTAAAAAGAGAAGAAGAGGGAAAGGGATTCAAAAAACGAGTAAGTAAAAATGTGAAAAAGAAGAAGAGGCAGATAAAGTGGATAGGAAAGGGAGAAAAAGGTAAAAAAGTGATGAAATGGAGAGGAAAAGAAACTGAAAGAAATAAAGGAAAAGGAGAGGAAGAAAAGAGGAAGAGGTAGAAGAGGTAGAAAAGAAGAAGAGGAAGGAAAGAAGCAGAGGAAAAAGAGGAAGAGAAAAAAGAGGAAGAAAAGAGAAAAAAGAGGAAGAGGAAGAAAAGAGGGAGAGAAAAAAGAGAAAGAGGAAAAAGAGAACGAGGAAAAAGAGAAAAAAGAAAATAAGGAAGAAAAAGGAAGAGAAAGAAAAGAGGAAGAGGAAGAAAAGAGAAAGAGGAAAAAGAGGAAGGGAAGAGAGAGGAAGAGGAAAAAGAAGAGGAGGAAAAAGAGAAAGAGGAAAAAGAGAACGAGGAAAAAGAGAAAGAGAAAGAAAAGAGGAAGATGAAGAAAAAGGAAGAGAAAGAGGAGAAAGAGGAAGAGAAGAGAGAGGAAGAGGAAAAAGAAGAGGAGGAAAAAGAAAAAGAAAAGAGGAAAAGGAGAACGAGGAAAAAGAGAAAAAAGAAAATAAGGAAGAAAAAGGAAGAGAAAGAAAAGAGGAAGAGGAAGAAAAGAGAAAGAGGAAAAAGAGGAAGGGAAGAGAGAGGAAGAGGAAAAAGAAGAGGAGGAAAAAGAGAAAGAGGAAAAAGAGAACGAGGAAAAAGAGAAAGAGAAAGAAAAGAGGAAGATGAAGAAAAAGGAAGAGAAAGAGGAGAAAGAGGAAGAGAAGAGAGAGGAAGAGGAAAAAGAAGAGGAGGAAAAAGAAAAAGAAAAGAGGAAAAGGAGAACGAGGAAAAAGAGAAAAAAGAAAATAAGGAAGAAAAAGGAAGAGAAAGAAAAGAGGAAGAGGAAGAAAAGAGAAAGAGGAAAAAGAGGAAGGGAAGAGAGAGGAAGAGGAAAAAGAAGAGGAGGAAAAAGAGAAAGAGGAAAAAGAGAACGAGGAGGAAAAAGAGAAAGAAAAAGAAAAGAGGAAGAGGAAGAGAGGAGAAAGAGGAAGAGAAGAGAGAGAAGAGGAAAAAGAAGAGGAAAAAAGAAAAAGAAAAGAGGAAAAAGAAGTAGAGGAAGAAAAGGAAGGAAAGGAAAGCAGTAGAAGAATAGTGTACATCAGAAAGTTATAATTTTGTGTCATCTGTCAATCTTGTAGATGCTTGAAAACTGGAGAATTTTGGAGATCTCAACAACTTTTTAGTTATTCAAAGCTTAAGCCGATTAACCACGAAGATAAAGCTGCCACTATCTGAATTCTGAACCGATTTTTTGAAATTCTAATATAATTGTCACCTTTCAAAATACGTATTGAAATTTAGAACACCAGGTTTAATTTTTAGCAGCGAAGACATGTGATGTTAAAATTGCTGAATATGATCCAGTGATTATGTTTAGCTCATGTTTAATTGAAAATAAGAAACTAGACCATGTCTACTTACAAGATTGTTTATAATCTTCTCAATTGATTCCATTGCTATATATATGCTGTGGGCTCCATTTGATTTCAGACCTTTTGACCTACCAATGTAAAATATTGTATGATAGTATCAATTACAATATAGTCCGTATATTTTAGTTAACATCCCAGGGGCTTCGGCCACAGGACAAAACAAAAATAATGGTCACAATAATTTTTTTTTCGCAAAGAGGCGCTCATTTAGGGGGAGGATCTTCCAATGCGTGTTTATATTTGATGACTGTTTTATCCTCATTCTGAGTGTCTTGAGAGAGCTTCAAAAGCTTCCAATAGTTATCTTTATTTGTTTTTATTATAATAAGGTAAGGTATAAATTCTTACTTTTCCCGGATGAGTATAGAAAATAATTGAAAAATGCTTTAAAGACCCAAAGGTCAACAAATGTCACCTTCGATCAGTGGTCATCTTGGCTTGCTCCCACTCTGCATCTAAAGAATCATTCGCCTCACTGGAAAACATTGAATAAATCAAACATTGGGAGAACTGAATATTAACAAATTTTTCTAAATTATCTTAAGAGGTCCTTTAAGAAGCTAGAGAACGCCTGTTGTCAAGGAAATCAAAAACTTTCTTCAAGAAATTTTTAAGAAATTTTCATCAGTGCTACGCTTCGGTATCATTATTCATGATCTTTACAACCAATGTGGTTACAAAAATTAGACCAGCAGATAATAAAAAAAAGCCTCTGAAATTTCAAAATCTTAGTTACCCTTCAAATAGTGACTTACCTGATGAGTGTAGTGAGGAAACTTAGTTGGCTTCTTAGCTCCTTTCTCTGGCGTGCAGCAACAGGATCAAGAGATCGAGTCTAGGGTGGAGTAAATATACTTAGCTTTGCTTACTAATAGGCCAAGTAAACTTATTTTCTCCTAAGCTGACAGAAGCAGCTTCTACTAATCAGGTGACCATTCTGAGAAATCCATTGACATAACTTCCATTAAATAAAACACATTGAACTTAAAGAGGTTTGGTTTGTTCAATTATCCGTGGATTGCATGCGACGAGGTAAACAGGGATGGTATTTTGGGAGTATATTTGGCTGTAAACCGATTCACTGGGGTTGATTGTACTTTGTCATTTTGTTGAGCTAGCCCCGGCAAACTTACTAAATATCACAAGGACTTTTTTCGTGAGAAAAAAACATCGGTGCCCTATTAAAAAAAGAAAACAAAAATGTAGCAATTTTGCCACTATCTACAGCTTAAAGCACAATATTGCTAATGTTTTTGTTTTTATTACTTAAATAGACATAAAATAAAATCGATAGTTATATATAGATAATCGACCTTAAGACAATCTGTTTTATAATCTGAGAACTCAATGTCCAGATCACTTTCATTCAAAAGTGCTGGTAGCGGAGGAAGGGAAGCTTAAGAGCCGCATGGCTAGGAGCCTTGGAGCTTCATAAATTCAACTTTTTGCTAATCCTCAAAATTTGTACGGAATAAATGCTAGAAAAGTTGTATCATCCATAAAAACAGCTCTGTCAATATAGACAGCTGAGACCCATTTTACAGAAATACGATCTATAGAAAGAATAATTCAATCAAGAGTCACTGATATTAAAAAAATTGATTTGCACAGTTCGCATTCAGATGTTAAAAAATTAAACCAAAATTAATCAGCCATAGCACAGCAAATTAATTCAGGTTCAGAAAACAATGCATCTTTTTCCATCTGCGACTCAAGAGATTTACCCATTTTGAAAGTGATGAAAAAGATCACTTGAAAGATTATTTGTATTCATATTTATTCAATGTCAATGTTAGCTGAGGAAAAATATTGACATAACAGAAAAACTTCCTTAAAAGAAGGGTGTATAAAAGAAAAACAAGTCTGGAAATAAAGGCAATTGTCAAGTCATAAGTGCTTGTGAGTACGGCATACAGAAATGGGCAGTCAAAGAACTGTTGAATAACACACAAAATCCAAAACTTAGCAAAATAGAAGAGTTTGATTACTTTTACAGCAAAAGTAACATTTTGCTGAAGTTCAAAAATAGCCAAAATGGCTTTAACTTCAAACCAACACAATGTAAAAATAATTACCAGTCTTAATTGGTGATTGCAATGAAATATTACTCGGAATCTCTTTTTGGAAAAAAAACGTAATGCTAATAACATATTAACTAGCGAATTACTAAATACTCATTATTATTAAATTTCTAGCTGGAACTGCAAGGCCTAGTGCCGTAATTAGATAATTTTGATTGGGGGAAGTGGCACGAATAATGGGAATGTAATATATAGTCTATCATATCGAAATTATTGTTGGAAAGGAACGAGCCTCTTTGCCCCTAGTATTTACGGACCTGATAAAGAACAAATACCTTGAGTAGGTTGTTATATCTTTTATCGTGCATAGTGGTTTGTAGAAACCTAAGTGATTGAAAAAACGAATTATCAAACATGAGCAAAAATTACAAAAATTTTAACATGACGAAAAAACCAACACCAGCTTCGATGCCATTATTCGGCGTAATAATAAAACAGCCCTCATTTGCTATCTATAAGATCATATTTAGACACTCCTGCAAAGCAGAAATGACTGAACGAATTATTTATAGCCATTGGAATCAAACCAAACTACTGGCAGTCACTGTATGGAGCTTTTTATTGAAGTCAACCTTTTTGGAAACAGATTCCAACAACTAATAATAATTTGAAGATGGCGAAAACATATTCATGTCATCCATCATACCAATTCACGCGCCGGATTTTGTACCATCTTTAAGTTTTGGGGTACCAACAAGTTATTTGAATAAGAATAACGAATAAAACATACAGAAGTTGCGGAATCTCAGCGAATTAAAAAGCATCAAATACACTTGAAACTGAATGTCAAAAAGAAATTCACGATGCAGAAGGAAGGATCAATATATAAGCTTCGATGTGTAGATAACAACGGTTCTTAGCTGCAGAAAACGTCGATAATTGGTCGTACGTTAACGATAGTATACATAAAAATAGGTCTATTGTATAGTCCAACCAATGGGAATTTAAAATGGTCACCGAAATGCGCCTGGATGTAGAGCTTCTAATGCGATCATCAAGCAGGGGTACAGTTCTGCATATACGGCATTGATTAGAGCATTACATAACAGACCAGTAAGCAGTAATATTCACTGATAATATCACAATAAAAGAATGCATAAATGATATACCTTTCAAATCATCCTAGCCAAATAAATGTTATCTCTCTACATATAGGTAGAATGCCTGCCAAAAATCTTTGGGACACCTTGAGATTATCATGAATGAGCGAGTCTTGTCATATTTCCATCTCAAAGGGAGGGTGTTAACCCCAATCTCCAACATACAATGTTGGTTCGCTAGCTTAAACCCTAAAATGCATATTTGCGTGACACAACATGGTGAAAGAGGGAGGGGGGAAATTGTGGTTTTTCCATAGCAGAAATAACAGCATGTTTTCCAAGACTTTTGGCAGGCATTGTACTTGGCAGAGAAGAGGGCCGTACCTTGCCTGTTCAAGATTATCAAACTGATTGAGCATCTTGTTCTTTTGCTGCGAAAACTCATTACGATGTTCCTGAGAGTAAAGATCACATTATAATTTGCGGCATGGCTCATCATCGAAGCAGTAAAGAAGAGGCTCACTTGATTCATAATGCTGGAGTTTACAAGGGACAGTGGGAGTTGGTTTTTTGAATATTTTCGACAGATTTGGCTCTTTAACGGGCTATAACCCCCTGCCCCCAATTAGAATCGATATTTGGGCAAAGAAATGCATCTGAATGCAAAGGTTGCATTTCATATTCCAACTGCTAATGTTCTACAACAGTGCACAAAATGCAGGACAGTAGGAAACGACAATACTCTAAGGTCCTTAATAGAAGGGGGGGACGCTTATTAGTTTTTTTATTTTTTTCTGACCCCCCCCCCCGGAGCTTATTGGACCCCCCCCCCCCGTTTATTAATTTTTATATGCAGTCAATCTATCCCTTATTTCATTTGTCCTTTGATCTTGCAGGTGTGAAATTTCTGCAAACTTTCTCTTAAATGAAGAGGTTGCATTGTACAAAGTTTTAACATAGAAAAGTAGTGACATCCTAAAAAGATTTACATAGGCCTGACTGATGTACACAATGATAATTAGCCTGCTCATTTTAGTAATACAACAATGCATCATTACATGGTGATAATTGCCATTTTGCTATCGATTGTATTCAGAAGAAAATCTTCTTTAACCCCTAAAAAGAATCATCACGTTATTTTTCAGATTTTTCACATTTCTGACTCCCCCCACTTACTAGGACACCCCCCCCCCGCTTATTTATTTTTTGAAAAGTTTCTGACCCCCCTAACTATCAAGACCCCCCTTCTATTAAGGACCTTAAAGTACCTAACAACACATGCTAGTACCTGTGTTTGATGGCAGACAGGGATCTACTATCTACAGCCAGATGAACAGAATATGAAGATAGAAGCACACGTATATAATCCTACTGACCTCGTGACATGTCTTTAAATCAACGACAGATTGCCTGAGAGACTCCGTCTCGCTTTTCAAGGCCCTTACATCTTTGCCTAGGCCAATTTCTTTATAGAGCTCTTTGCAATCAGACATTTCTTCTTTGAAGCTCTTGAGCTCTCCAGCAAACACGTTGATCTAAAGTTGACGAAATGATGGTATAGTTGAGACAGTTGATTGACAAAGTGGCTACTTACAAAAGCCAATGCCAAGGTGTGCAGCGATAGCCCATGTTTGTAAAACTGGTTAAAAATTTTGACCAGTTAATATCACTCTGGTGATTGCAAAATATAAAAATAGTTTTATAGACATTGGCATGAATGTTTTTCGTAGGATAAGGAAAGTTTTACAATAGACAACATTACAGTGTTTGCCTTGATATATTATCCAACAATAACGCCTGAAGACTGGGTAGTTTGGCGAATGCAATTGTCAATTGACTCTGTGAAGACTAATCAAATTGCAGATCTCCTATCAGATCGAAAATATTCAAACAAAAATTGGAAACTTATAGCTGCATCCATTGCCAGTAAAGCGAATTTGAAAGATATTTACATCTATGATCAAATAGCTTCAGGTATATTCACATAATAAAAAAAGTCTGCCAGAATGAGCTTTCAATTTTTCGCTGTCTAAATTCCAAAACAGTTATTTGGCCAAAAAGAGATCATAAAAACTGCAACTCTTGAAAACCCTTTCCTGCAACTACGAACAATGCCATAAGGAGCACTCTTAAGTTATTTAAATAAAGCAAATTTTTAATTTCAAATGAAATATGGGAATATAATTATTACCTCTTCCTTGATTTTCGTATTGATGTCCGTTCCAAGCTGTTCTGTCATTTCCTCAATCTACGAAGGAGATAATCAGCTGAATTAATGATAACAATTCATTGTCAACAATTCATTTCACTTTAAAGTGTTAACCAAAAAAATAATTTTCTGTATATGAGAAAGAAATTCAGTTTGATTCATTGCAGTGCATTACAAGGAAGCAAAGTGCAGTAACTAAGTGAAATGGACGGATGCAATTTTTACATGGTGAACTGGAAATGGAGCAAAGTGCTGGAATGTCATTCCTGTAGATATAAAAAGGTCACCATCTGTTTATGTCTTTCGTCTTAAACTCAAAACCTACTTTTTTGATAAGAATTATTAAAAGTATAGACAGCTTACAATTTACCCATAGTTTCTAAAAATATTATCTGAAAAGGGGGTGCTCCTCGATTCGCTTTGCTATTGAGAGAGTTCCTCCTTAAGAATTCCCCTTCATACAAATTCTCTAGTGTCGTGTATCTTTCTTTAATTTTGTGTGCATTGTCTTATGTAGTTAATCAAATTGTAGTAAAGTATGTTTAATTTTAGAGTCTTTGTATGTAGGTGAATTTAAAATGAAATTAACTGAACTGAAATGATACTATTGGAACACATTTCATCAAGTATGGTATCATGGAACATATGGTATCATAGATATCGAATTCACAATACTGGCTGTAATTGATGCAACGTTTTCTCTAACTTAGTGCAGTCTATCAAGCTTTCATACTTTTGCAGACTCATCATCCCCTAGGTTCTCCTTTGGAACTGCCACTGTCTCAGTTGATGTTGTTTCTTGGGCTCCTGTGAAGTTCATGCTGGCATTCGTCTGGGGTTCGGGAGTCACTTTGCCAGCATCTTCAAAAGACTGAAGTAATCTACTTTCAGGAGGAATAATGCCAGATGGAGTCGGTCTTTGACCTAAAAAGCCATACAGAAAAAGGACATGGACTACTATTTGACTTTCGATATAATTCGATAATAATTTGCAACATAATTTTAAAGTGCTGATTGATCTCTTTTGTGACACACATAAGAAATCTAATTAAAAAGTATACTAAAACGCTACTAGATTCAAAGTGACAAAAAAGTAATGATTTATTCCCATAATATACCTTTAAGAAACATTTATAGATAAATTTATTGTGAAACATGTATGGTGTATCATTAACTAAGCAAAATTTAATTGCTTCTAAAATCATCGAGTGTCAAAAACATAAGAGACCAGCCTTGAGCCAGTGTCATCCCTGCTTCTTTAGACTGCATTTGAAGTTTCGCTTGAGTTGTTGGGGATGGTTTGACCAAAGAAACAGTTGACGGTGTAGCTACTGAGGATTGCGGTACAGGCATACTTGTTTCAGATGTTACTGAAGTCTTGGGGAAAGCAAAAGGTTGTGTGGCTCCTGAAAAAGCTAGAGGACCAGAATGTGTTTCTGAAGCAGCTTGAGGTTGCCTTGGCGAAACGAAGCTGAACGAGGAGGATGGGGTATTGGAGCTGAAAAATTTCGGCTGAGTATTACTTTGTGAAGAAGACATTACGTTTTCTGCTCCAGGCAAAGGTTTGCTGTCCTGGATGGTAGATTTGGGTAAAACAGGAGCCTGGGAAAAGGTAAAAAGCGCTTGTGACACAGGTTGGTTTTGTGTTACAGTTTGAGGTTCTCTTGGTGAAACAAAACTGAATGAAGTAGATGGAGCATTAGAGCTAAAAATGGACGGTTGAGAGCTGGCTTGTGATGAAGATGTCAGTTTATCTGCTCCAAACAGGGGCCTGCTTGCTTCTACTGCTGAAAACTTGGCTGTTTTCCCGTCCAAATCAAAAGCAGGTTTTGATGATGCAGTAAACAAAGAGGCACTTCCTTCACCCTTTGTTGGTGGATCTGTCTTGACCTCATTGCCAAACATGCCGACAGGTGGCTTATTTGATACAGCTACCGAAGAAAAAAGGTATAAGTATTGTTGAAAATCTTTTTTTCTGCGTATGGATCAAGACTGACAAATCTTTGATGAAAACATTAAGGTTTTAACTTATTAATCTGAAAAAGCTAATTGTTCCGCCTTCTTAACGCAAAAAATACTTTAAAAATGCCATCAGGAAATAGAGCAAATTTATTGCAAAATATTCTGCCCTTACCTTGACCAAACATAAGCAAGGATGAAACAACTGCTGGAACTTACATAAATATTAATGATCGCAGTCTTAAATCGGAAGATAACTGGATAGAAGCTTACGAAACTACTGACAGATGGTATAAAAACCCAAAAACAAACGAACTGGTAACCTTCGCATGGCCATAAGAAAAATCATAGGCATCTAGTGTGGTTTGTAGATATTCAGTGTGGTCTAAAAATACTCATAAAATTTCCATACAACAAGATTAATTCATGCTCTAATCAAAGAAGACATATGCACCAGCATGTTTTCAATGCTTCTACATTGGTACGTTAACTAATTCTGAAATGTGTAAGATTTTGTAAAATGGCTGAATAACCATGCTGGCAAAAAAGATAAAAACAAGAAATGAGATGGACGACTCACCTGTGGATGAAAACAAGCCACCAGGCTTTGGCACATTTGAAGCTGGCGAGTCAGTTTTGGTGGGTGTGCTGAACAAGTTTTGTCCTCCTGTACCAAAAAGGGATCCTGTTGCAGGCGCTGTAAAAAATCCACCGGGTGTTGGCTGTTGACCGAAACCAGCTGATGTACCAGGAAAAGCTGATGTACCAGGAAAAGCTGATGTACCAGGAAAAGCTGATGTACCAGGAAAAGCTGATGTACCAGGAAAAGCTGGTGTCTGTTGGCTTTTTGAGTCTGCAGCTGGGGCAGGCTTTGTAGCAGAAGCTAAAAATGAAAAATGGCTACCACATCAGTGGCTATGAAAAATCTTTTCAACAGGCTATTAGAAGAATTCAACATACTAAAGCCACAAAAGAAGATTTTGGAATTTTTTGTTCAGTCTTTTCAACCTTTAGCTATATTCAAAGACATTAGTTCAAAACCAGGACTACATAAAATTCAATATTGTTATCAACAGAAATGGCTCACTATGTCCTCCTATAGCAAAGAACATATATCCTTTATTATTACCAAAATAGTTACTCTGAAGGTCCTCAAATCTGAGATAATTGTAAGGTAGCCAAACACAAATGAATGGTGAATTTGTATGCATGTACACTGCTATCAACTTCTTTAACGGCAAGCCCCTAAGATAAAGTGAATGTGCCTATATTTTCAAGTTTCTTTGGCCTGACATGAGTCACGGCACATTTAATTGAAATCGAATACTCCACAGCTTACCAGAAGCACCAGTGGATGTCAAACTACCAAACGGCTTTGGCAACGAGCCTTTAACTTCACTGGCACTTGCTTCAACCGGTCTTCTCTCCCCAGATTGGTCATCAGATATTGGTTTATGCACACCGTCTTTGATTAGTGCTGTTTGTCTCATTAATATCTGGTGTTTAACGCCAGGCATTTTGTTAACCATTTGGTATGGGCAGAGAACCCCGTTTGTTGACACCATTAGAAACATCGGAGTTGGCGGCAGTGTTGATTCTCCTAATTGAACAAGAAAATTTAGAAATAACTCTGAAACGTAACATACTAAGTCACACTTTTTATCCGGTACTCCTCGCCGTACAAACGTCCGATAATGAAAAATGCTGAAAATGCTTAACAAAATGATTGTCAAGAGACATAAAATTGACTGATACACGTAACTATACCAAGGGATGAAGGCTGCAATATGTGTATAAAATTACCCTCCTTAATAGACATAATAGACCTACCCTCCTTAATCACCATAGTTGAATTGAGGTTTATATGAAGACCACATGGAAACGTTTCATCTCCATCTTCTGTCAAAGGCATTTCTGCCCTACCATCATCACTAAGTACCCATCTCATCCACTAGAAAATAGAAACTCGATGAAAAGGATTCGAATTCGATATATAAATAAAAACTTCTTTGATATATAAAAACAATAAAACCTTATAGTGAGGGAAAATGTGAACGAGTGACGAATCCAGCGAAGGACTCAAACCTGTGACCGTTGCTCTACCAACTGAGCTATACGTAACGTCTTTAAATGCAAGCCTAAAGCTCAGCCGCTCAACAGTACAAAGTGCGCAGGGAAGCCATCGCAGCATTTATTAAATTGCGCACCAGAACTGCTGTGAGGGAGAGTTTCTAACATCAGAGAAGGCATTGCAGTGACCAAAGCCGGATAGGCTTAAAGGCGAACAAGCGAGTAAAGGAGAAGATTTTAAATAAAAGCACTAATTGCCATTCTAGATATTATAAGATAAGCAAGCAGTAGGGCCTACCTTTTCCCCAACTTTACCAATGACTACCCCTTCGAATGCATTGCTAGCCATTGTGACTAGTAAATTCCTATAAAAACAGAGGAAGCGTTAGGGAGGCTGTACAACTTAATGCACTTCAAAGCACAAAAAATAAGCTAGTTTATCTGTTGACACATCCTAAACAAATGTGTTCAAAAAATCCTAAAGTTTACATAAATTGGTTTTGTCGTTCCCTTGGCATTAGTTTTTAAAGACATATAAAAAGTTAATCATCGATAACAACTTCCTCGGGCGGTTCAACGAAGACTCAGATTGTAAAAAGATGAAAAACAAATTAAGATATGATGAGTAGCTTATTGAAATAGCCCATCAAAACAGAAATGCAAATACAGGCCAAACAAATTTTTGTCTGGCTTGCCATGTCCGTCTGGTCCATCCTTTAGGTTTGGCCGCGCCTCATGGTTCCCGCGCCTTGGGTTGCGGGGAGTGGCGGCTCTCAATTTAACAGAAGACTTTGGGCTGGACTCAAATGAGGCAAGTGATACAATTTGTAACAAAAAATTTTATACTGACCATTGTGGAATAGTCTTGATGTAAAACGAAAGTGTTCTTTCTTCATTTAGGCCAAAGTAAACATCCTCCATGTTCGTGTAGGCAATTGGCTCATCTTTCTAAAATTTAGAAGAAACTAGCCTCTGAGGTTACCTGCCTTTTAATTCAGAGGAGCCATTTTTACAGTAGACATTTTGACGCAATGTATAATTTATAAAACATATGAATAAAAGATAAAAGGGATTATATACAAGTTGTCAAAAAACCTTACAGTCACAATAGTGCTTTAAAAATTAAAAAATTCGCCACGAAACAACAGTTTACTTTCAACGAAACAAAACAATTAATCTTTTTTTTAAATTGATATCATTAGCCCCTGGTGAATCTTAATTGCACGGCTGGTACAATTATACAACAGTTATTGTGAAGCAAAAGTAACAGATTTAAGATACGCACATTGGAAACGATGCAGACAAACTTTGGTGGCTCTTCGTTCTCTGTGTTCGTATAAACAGCTGCAAAGTTATGACTCATGATCCAACAGACTTTGGCGACTAAGAGCAAAGTGTATATGTTAAAAATAAACGAAAAGAAGGAATGAATGAATTAAACTTCACAAAAATATTAACAACGAAGCAACAAATATAAACCCACCTTTATGACCTCTGACGTCATCAGGGCATGGCAGCTCTTTCTTCACAGTCATTTTCTAGAACAAAATAAAATAAAGTGCTGAAAATACCCTGCAAATATTTTTTAGTACATTCACCTTCAAGTAAATTGAAACTATAGCAAAATAAGAATGATAAATCAGAAAGAAAAGACTCTATATAGCTGTTAATGAACAAAGTTTTCCCAAAAACTGTTCTGATCATTTGATGAGCACAAAAGTTTGGAGAGAGCAGGACTTTTGATGAAAATGTAAAATTTTCTCTTCTGAAAAAAAGCATAAAACAGCATCGAGCCAAAAAATTGAAGTACTTGATTCCATTTGTTATTCAAAATGCAATTTTACAAATAAGAAATGTTCAAAATTATCATCAACATCATGGATGATGAAATATCAACTTGTGGTGACAATACTAATGTGGCCTAACAGTACCAAGGAGGGCTTACAATTATCTTTAAATAAAGGCAGTCAGGCCAAAATAGCCCATCGCCAATTTGAATGTGTGCCGATGATATCGATGAGGGCTAATTATATTAAGGTTGACTGATAATTTACTGATGTGATCCTGGAAAAGGATGATCCGCCATTTTCAATGGTGCCATGCCATACCAATGATCGATGACTCAATTAAAAATTGAATATATCAATTTAATCATCAAACCTTGTCATATAAAACAATTGAACCATCATTATGTCCTGCAGCAAAATTTTTTCCTCTTGGGCTCCAGTTGACTACAATAAAGGATATAAGGCATAAAATCTTATATATACAATGAAACAAAATTTTTACTGTCTGACTTCGTACTATAGTGATTCGACACTGCATCTTTTAATAGTGATTTGCATAATGGGGTAGTTTTGGAGCAGGCAACATGGGAACTAAGTGAGAAAACTCCACTGGTAAGAAACACAGTTTTCAAGGCTTTTAGTATTAAAAAATGTATTTTCAGTTCAACAACGGACAGTCATTCACAATTAGATTAAAGTAGTTACATGTATATTTTCTCAATTATTTGCCTCCAGCATAATCATAATCACAAAGACAAAAACAAGCAAAAAGCAGCAAAAACAAATGGGGCTACGAAAAAAGCAAAAGAAGACTTTAGTGTGAAAAGAAAAAACGTTTGCCACACTTTTCATGGCAAAGAAACGACATTATCAATTTCTAAAATAGTTCATACTTTCCAGAGCAAAAAGGCAATAGGCCAAATATTTTGCATTAAGGATATACTATTCCAATGCAATGCACTGTGTAAAAGTGAAAGCATTTCAAATCACCTGATGATGACTTTTTAGTTTCTGGAAGAGTGGCAACAATGCATACAGATTGATCTGACAGTTGGATGAACGACACTGAACCGTTGGATAAACAAATTATTGCTAATTTAGGATCCTCTGGGTTCCATTCCAGTTCACGAAGGTATACATCTGGAAAAAAGATCAAGTCACAATCATAAAGGATAAAAAGGGCAGCCAAAAGCAAGGCATGTTGCTTTTTTTTCTGGGCAAATCATTTGAATCTTCTCAAACGGGTTGTTAACTTTGTTTTAGGTGGATCGACAGCTTTCAAGGGCTTTTTACATGTCCGACAGCTTTCTTCAGTAAAACAAAATGTTCATTTTTACTATCTATTGAAGCAATAAGATCCAAGATCATAATATAATATTGCTTAATTTGTGCTGGTAATGAATATTTGATTTTATCCTAAACCTTTTCTGCATTTTACATAAGAACCAGCAAATTGAGGTTTCGGTTCGCTGTTCTTGATCATTTCGAAAAAATATTGAATCGATTTTTTTTAATTTGTTCTCAGAAGTATATAAAAGAAATCAAGACACATGATAATTTTATACTGCAAAAAAATACTTTACTGAGCCATTTGCGGTTTATGATGCACGTAGTTTTTTATCAAATTAGCAAAATATATACCTTGTCACGAAAGATATATATCCTTAATAACAATGTTCCTACATTCTTATATTTAATACATCATTTAATACATTGTACATTCGTACATCAGCCTAAGCTTGTTTTTAATCTGTTCTTATTAATCACAAATTTTAAGGCTGGTGTTCTTATAAAATGGTTCTTATAAAAATAAATGTTATTAATGTACAGAAAAGACAAGGTTCATTTTGCTCTGATGAAGCTTTAATGTATGCCGAAGCGAAATATTACTTTCACGTTTAACTTATTTCAAAATTCTATTTCACAACACATTGAATTCTCGTCGTCAATTTGCTTTGTTCCTTCCTATGACATTTTGAACTTAACTCGCTGCAAGATTCACAAAATACGGCGGACAGCCAATCCTGTGTGTCTTTCTTTATACATAGGTTTATTATGTACAGCCTAAAAGGAATCTTTTCGATATTTTGTGACGCATAAATAGTCTGAATTTATTGTCCAACTGACTATAAGCGGCACTGATTTGGCAACCTCTACAGTCATGTGCTCGCGTTTCTGATTGGTCTAATTCCACAACTGGGTATATATACTTCCTAGCGTAGAGTTTTCCATCAATGTTCTGATGGATTAAACTCTGAACAGTGTCAGACGAAAAGCTTTAATTTACTCAAATTTCGATAAAGAAAAACTACCCGAAAGTAGCAAAAATAAAATTAGTAAATCCAGGATAAAACTAAAAAAATCTGACAGGATAAGTACAAGTTGGACTCTTGAACCTTATTGCACCCTTTATCGACAACAAAGCTAACGATAACCAACTTAACATAAAGTCATGCATCTCCTTTCCATTGTTATAATCTGTCCAATTTAAATTACGAAATACTTAAAATGGATATGAGCTGTGTATCAAAGTAGACTCAAAGTAGACTCAAAGTAGAAGGGAAATTGAAAACTTATGTTCAGCTATATAGATGTAAATAACAAGACTAAACTAAGACTAAAAATTTGAAAACGGTGAACGACTTGCCTGGCTCCGCAGTAAGCTGTCCTTTTGCAAAGAAGGGACTTGGTAAATTCTAGAAAGTCCAAGATTACATCATGATAAATAAAAATCTTAAATCGGGATCAGAAGAGGTCCTTCTCTTCCTCGAGACAAAACCCAGAAGACATGAAATTTAACATTACAAGACAACACAACAAAGGCTAGCTTGGGTATGGGACTTCAGTTTCATTCTAGGCTCTGTATTAAACACCAACTAATACATTTTAACTCTAGGTTTCAGTCACGAGGAAAGAAAAAGTGGAAGGGGGAGCTTATAACCATTTTCAATTGCAAAAGTGATCTATTTATTAGTTTTCTACAATAACTGATTCTCGGCTGGGGAGACTGAGCGGTTTTTAGATATTCCGAGGGTATATAAAAAGTGGCCTTGTAATGACTAGATGCAATAGAGGAGAGCAACAGGGCATAAGGACATGGAAAGACTTTTTGATGGTTCACGAGTTACAGGATTTGGGAACGTGCTTCGTCGCTAAGTATGGGAACGAGTTAAAAGTCCTTTGCTGAAGATCTTGTATCTTCTAACGAGTACTAACAGGTGATTTTCCGTTGAAAACAAACAAAAGTATTAAACTTCTTCCCTGAATAATTCCTCGTCGTTTGTTGGATGAGAGCGAACATTCCGTTGAACATGATATAAGAAGAAGTTACCTGGTCTCCAATATATCGTATATCTACACATCCAATCCACAAGCTATTGTTTTCAAAATAAACAGCCGACAATGTCAACCCATCGCACGACAGGGCAATGTATTTTATCGCCTTCCCAGTCTCCAGACTTTTATGGTCGAAACTTGAAACTAAAATGGAAAAGGTTACCAGTTCTAATTACTCATTCGATACAGAAATAAAAAAGAAATGTATCTTTATTCATGAGAAAGCAAAGATGGCTTGCCAAAAGAGCCGCAAATACTTAAAAGCACACCAGTGGGCACTACAAGTGAAACTGGCTCTTGGTCATCGTTAAAATTATTTCCAAGTATACAGAAAAGGCAAACTAACTTTGCATGGGAAAGTGGTGCAACAGTTTTGAATGCAATTACATGTTGTGTCTACTACACAGTCGGATAATGATTAAGAGTTAAGTGCAGCTGGAGGTCAAGAGAACTAGTTGCAGTCAGGTTACGCTTCAATTATGGCGTCAGTACATGTACCCACACTGGTCACCAACGACTTTTAATTAGGAAGTTGACGTCGATAGCAATAAAAACTAAGTAAAACTGCAAGGGAGGCGCTTACATAAAAAATGATAAAAAACCCTCGCGGAATCTCGTTTCATCGAAAAACGCCTGTTTGTGAAAAAATATTCTACGAAATGAGCCCTACAAGGCTAAAATTTGTAGAATAAAGCCCCGGCCAAACGAATAAGACATCGGTCTAAAATATCTTCCAACATTGTTGTAAAAAACACGCTTTATTCGTTTGGCAATATGTTTTACAATATTTACATGTTTCATGATGGTTCACAAAATTTGATTTCAATCAAACATTTCGTAAAACATCTCTTTTGTTTTCGTGTTTGATCAACAAAAAGTGCATTCGTTTGGCCCGCCCCTTAAAACAATATTTGTTTGGCCTGTTTTAAGGGGTTGCGTTTACAGTATAATCCGGTTATAACGTACTTTAAGGGATCAGTGTATTAAGTACGTTATAAGCGAAGTACGTTGTAACGAGGGTAAGTAAAAATTGACTAAAACCAAGCACACCTTTTGCCGGGACCAAGCACACCAGTACGTTATATCCGAAAGTACCTAATAACCGAGTTCGTTATAACGGGATTCTACTGTACTTGTTTTCTCGGCAAAGCGCAATAGTTTAACATTCGTTAAATAAAATACAGTAACTGTAGGGAGCTGTGCGACAGCGGTTTGTCATCGCTGATGCTTTAACATTTGTTTGATTTGTTTGGCCAGGTCACAAAACATCGTGCAATAACGTTGATACAAGGTTGGCCAGGCCTTAAAACACATACGCATTTACAAGCTGCCCTAGAATCAATAAAATGCAAAACAGGCAAAATAGTATAAATTAGAGAGGGCATCAATAAACTAGATAATGCCATTCTGATTGCACTTTCAAAAACATCTGCTGTCTCATTGCAAAATAAAGATGAAGACTTGGTAACATAGGCAATTTACTTTAATCTTAATGGCTGCAAAGCATTCGAAACCACAAGCAGGCCAGGTTTCATGTCATCGCTTGGTTAAATATTGGATCAACAGTCTAAACCATTAAAACAAGCCTGGATGGAAAGGCAAACAGACATTTCCAATGAAGCGTAAATTGCGGTTGCTGTGCTACAAGGATCATTTCCCACACAATTATTTTGAAGTTAGAAGGATTAAGCAACTGGAAAGCAGATCTGATTAATTCTATATTATCAATCCCTAGTTTAACAGTAATTATAGGTTGCAACCTCGCAGAAGTCACTTTTAAATTTGGAAAAAGCGTGGTATTTGTAATAAAAGAGATCTCGTTTGAAAACAATTTCTACAAGCAGACACCAAGTCATAGTTTGCAAGTTTTCACATTTTCACAAGCGTTTCAAGTTTTCCTCTAACTTCTTGTCCTTACATAAAAGCTTCTGTCGCGTCGTTTCGTCCCTGCCTGTGTTAGCAGACACCTTAATAATTCAAAGAGTAACTAAAATTATCAAATAAAATTTGCTTGAAGCAAGAACAAAATTAAAATCAACACCGAGCGTCCGTTTTATTCAAACAAAGGGACAGGTAACAGCAATAAAATGTTTTATCAGCCGTATGGAATTGAATAAAACGGGGTTGCTGGGCAAGGGGTCGTGCGGCTGCCACGATTTAATCTGGAAGAGAAACGCCCTTTTATTAATGAGTCAAGCGTGCAACCTTCAATTATTTAAAAAAATGCAGCACTGCATCAAAGCTTATCATCAAAGTCAACGTTATCACCTTTCTAGAAAAAAATCAGTCCATATCAATGGTCCATATCAATGGTCCATATCAATGGTCCATATCTTATTGACAAGCATTTTGACAAAGGCAAAAACCAAACTGATAAAGGCGTCAGTTGACCTTTTCTAAAATGTGTCATTAACGCCATCAGTATGCAGCAAACATTCCATATCACTTTCTAAAAGTATCCTATCATTATATGTAAAAGGCGAAGAATCTGATTTAGCATGATTTTGATACAGTTAGTTAGAGGTCCACGGAGCACTAAAAATTACTTAACGGGATTTCGGAATGATTTGAATTTCAGATTGACGTAAGTCTGTTGTACGAGTATTTTTCCATCTGGCCTCTAACGAGATAGAACAAAGACTTTTTCTACTGGTAATAAGTGCTTAGTGCAAATGTATGATCAAATAAAGCCGAGTTTTATTGAAAACTGACCAGAAAAACACGATTTTATAAAGACATCACATTCCCTTTTATAAGAATACTTTAATATTTGCTTCGACTCAATTTTCCTAAAATTTGTTTTTCTGAACCTAAAATGATTCTTAAGTTATTCATACGAAGAAAGATCACTTCTTATGTGAGTTACGTTTTTTTGCTCTAAAAAACCAAAAGAGGAAAAATCAAACTGTCATCCACCCTGTAGATTATTTGTAAAACAAGAACGCAATGATACATTCATTTACTCATTTCATTGCTGCATAATCATATTTTTCTATTGAAAATCTTTACAGTAGTTTTGCCGTCATAATTCAAAGTTCTGCCTAAAACGTTGTCAGTTTTGTTATGTTGATTAAGTTTTGCGCATGACTTGTACCATTTTAGCATTATTGTGACTGCGCTTGACAACCTTGCGTCTCCTCCGATGCAAAACTGCCTTTTTGCTGCTGCTTCTTCAGGCATCAGGAATCTATTTGCCAGTTTTGTGACTGACCTCTCCTCAGATTTGAAAAGAAACAAAGAGTTATCATGCTTTCTCAGCCTTGCTGCGATTATCTACAACACTAGAGGCGTCATTTTGTAAGCTGCTTTGATTTACGGTGTAGGCGCTTTCCTCCTTTCTCAGACCAAGGATTTTTAGCAAAGCAATACGAAACGGCTTTAGACGCAAGGTACAAACAAAAGGATTTATCGCAGAATTTGAAATCGCCAATATGAATTGAAGGTCACGCAGAACATGACGAAAATCACAACTACAGTGAGGACAAAGCTGTAGGGTATAGATGATGACAATGACTGGAATATAGCAGGCAGCGAAGACTCCCAGGATTATAAGAAAGACTTTTGTGACTTTTCTATCTGCCTTTCTTCTAGCTACTTCAGTAGATCTACCTTCCTTGCTTGCAGATTCCGCAGCATCTCTTGTTTGCAAACGAGATGACTGCAATGCCTTGTATATTTTGAAATAGGAGAAAATCAATATAAAAAGTGCACCAACAACCCCAGTGTGTGCGAAGATCATCAAGTAAGGAATGTATCCAGTAACGAAATACAGCCAAGGCAGAGACAACGAAATGGTCCATATAACTGCAGAGGCGATAAGGCAGTACTTGAACTTTGCGTTGCGTCGATATTTGTGCGGATGCGCCACAGCACAGTATCGATCCACGCACAGGATTGCCAGGCTAAACAAACTGGCATTTGCTGAAATGAAATACGTTATGAGTATAAGATCAACGTGCACCTTCTTCTTTGTACCAACTACTTCCATTGTATGCGTAGCAACAGATGTTGGCATCGTAATAGCACCAACGACAAGGTCGCTTAGCGATAGATTTACGAGGAAATACATGAAAGGCGTTCGCAATTTGCCATAAGGATCTTTGATAACTGCGATGCAGACAGCGAGATTTCCCGCAATTGTGATCGGGCTCAGAACAGCAGAAACTGTGGCTGTAAAGTATGATAAAGCGCTCGGCGCAACAACATTCCTGCAAGGGCTTTCCGCCATCTTTCGAACTTTCACCTAAGCAGGACCTTTTCTGGATTATCACTGATGCGTTATGTATTCTACCAACAAGACAACAGACATTTCTAAGATGTAACCGTCACGCGGCTTGTGGCTTTGGGTGGCTGTGCCCAACAACCGCCAATGGCATGAAAATCTACAAGTTCGAAGTGGCCGTGGTCATAACCACGGGAAAATCTTATTTGTAATCTAAAGAATGCGGAGATTATCGGTTTGAAATCGATCAAAGTTTGAAATCGAAAAAGTTTTGGAGAAAACAAACTTTCTACGATTTGACAATAGACTTCCTTTTCCCCTAGCTTCAGCGGCTTGGGCCGTCACTAGCTTTGTGACCCCTCACCATCTTAGTTAACGTCATCTTTATCAGTCTCAAAAACTGCATAATCTACGTTTTATGTCCAACATTTCATAATGACTTTGATGCTTTTGTATAAAACCAGATAAAGAAGGCCTACAGTCAATCTTTCAATGACAGGTTATTCAACAGGTCTCTTATTTTTTTTGGAAATCGTCATTCGACTTCAGCTGGATTTTAGTTTCAGAAAATCTAATTAACGCAGCTTTGTGTGGTTTAAAAATTTGTTCAAATCAATCTGTTTTGTAAGTTTATAGTCGCCAACTAGTATAAACACGTACATAAAGTTGCAAAAGTCGTCCTGTTGAGCATGAAGATGCATCTTCAACCGTGTAGGAAAATTGAGAATAAGCGAAACTCAGTCAGAGCAGAAAGCGAGCGCTATAGTCACTCAAAGAAAGGTAAAAAAATAAACAACTACTAAAGTGGGAGGAATGATGTCGTCATATAAATCCACTTTGATCATCTATGAATTTTGACCTGAAAGGAAACCATGGAGCGGCGCTAAATGTGCTGTATAAGTTGAATTTGTTGCCAACTGACTGAGACACGGCTAGTGACAGACCTGAATTTACTAAGGACGTCTGTTGTTTTTGGCTTGGTCTAAAATTAGGACCAATACTGATATATAGGGAAATTAGATTGGTGAAGAACAGTTTATAGCGACCTTTGGGATAGATTTTAATGAACTTATCTCATTAGCACGCATGCTAGCACACACGTATGCAGATGCTCAAGCGTTCCTATAAAAACAAAAACACAATAACTCACATCCAGGCAGCGCGAAGCATTCAGAAAATCGAGGGGCCAAAAACAAAATAAAAAGAGGCTTGATTGGTGGCCCATTCTGAAATCATTCCCCTTGCTCATATCACCTTCTATTTCGCAACACCCTAATTTGACGAATGTTTATTAATTTCAAAAAGTAAAGTGATGGCAGTTGTTAACACCAGCAAGTTTGTAGAAAACGGAGATTTTCTATTTAAGACGATTAAATATTTTCTTAAATATAACCTCAACAAGAAGATATCAATATTTATATATTTATTAAGATGGCAGTCCAAAACTGTTTTTATTTGCTTCCACTTTCAATACCCTCTTCCTTTTGAGATCAGCTACAGCCTTAACATGCAATGCAATTCTTTCTACAGTTTTATAGCTTAGTGGAAATAATACATGTAGAAGCAGTTTGATAGGTTTTCAATCTATACGCTTTGGTGCCTTACAATTGCCTTAAATTACAGTCGTTTAGCTAGAAACAAATATGCTACTGCGCAAAATAGTGAAAAATAAAATCTTCGGGTAAAATGGCTGTCGCAGAGAGAAAAACGGTAGACAGAAAAGCGGCAGAGAAAAAAGCGGCAGAGAAAAAAGCGGCAGAGAAAAAAGCGGCAGAGAGAAAAGAGTCAGACGGAGAGAGTGTGATACAGAGAGTGTGACAGAGAGAGTGTGACAGAGAGAGTGTGACAGAGAGAGAGAGTGACAGAGAATGTCTGACAGAAAGAGAGAGTGACAAAGAAAGTGAGACAGAGAGAATTTGACAAAGAGAGTGCGACAGAGAGAGTGTGACAGAGAAAGTGTGACAGAACAGTGTGACAGAGTGAGTGCGGGAGAGAAAGTGTTGTAGAGATAGTAGTTGAGACGGTGTAGAGGAGAGAGTGTGACAGAGAAAGTGTTCCATATCAACATTTTCTGATTCAAAAAGTGCAAGACGTTTCAAACAATATCTCAAACATTACGGCAAAGTGTCCCAATTGTCCGTAATAGGATGGACTCTTTTCTAGCCAACAAATCAGTTTAGTATCAATAAATATTTGTACTAGCAACAGCAGCTCACTTCGAAAATATAGCTTCTTAATGACCGATGAAGTTTATATCAGCAATCATCAATGTTCTGTCCATTAAAATACACATAAGAAGGTTACCCAAATTTTCAAAACCCGCCCTCAGAAGGTTTCGTTTAACGTTTAAGGGGATATGTGTTTCTGTACTCTTTGACAAGATTAATCCCAATTACAAACATCATATCTTTATAGACAACATTTTATTGACAATAATTTGATTTTTAATATTTTCTTTTACGTTCTTTTGCTTGAGACATTGAGCATTAGTTTCTCTCTTACACAATTTGCTATTACAATGTTATAGAAACTTTGAAGATGGCAAGAAATAGCGGAAATTTCGTGCCATCTTCAAATTTTGCAGTACTAAAAACTTATTTTGTTATGAAAACATCATACATAACGAATTACTTGATTGGTTGTTCAACGGAGACTTTGGTCTACAAACACCTTTTTTATAAAAACAATAAACGATTTGTAAATTTGAAGAATAAACTGAGCATTACTGCAACTCATAAAAAGATCTATAGCTAATTAATTATTCATAATTTAGCTCCATCAGGCCTATTTTGCTAAATACTGTATGTAAAACAAAAATATAAATTTGCAATTGAAATTGAAATTCTCATCTTTTGATTATTTTGTATATTGACACCAAGAGGAGCCGCATCCTCTCTGTTGTTTGTTGCCTGTGGCCAAGCACAAGGCCTAATAATGCTAGCAAGATATGAAAAAATGTGGCTACCATAACTGAACAATAAAGTGCAGTGTTTTAATCATTAAATCATTAAATCATAATAACAATAATAATAATAATAATAATAATAACAATATCGGATATGATTTGACAAGTTAAGAACAAACTGTAAATGTCTTATAGCCAAATATGTTCCTTGCACATAACCAGAAATTAGCAGTCCTACTTTCCATGCACTTTTTGCACCTATTTCGCCATACGATGCTACCACAAATCATGTTTGATACACTGCACCGCTTCATTGTTTCTTTTGCCTCTTCCCCTGATAGTCCTAGCCTTTTCAAGTTTCCCCTCACATCCTTATGTACGGTCCCAAGTGATCCAAAACATATGACACTGATTCTTGTTGCAATTCCATTTTCATTCATTAAGTTTATCAGTGGTTGATACCAATTTCCTTTTTCTCAGTAGGATGTATCCATATACAAATCAAAGCAGACAGTGACTTCAACAATTTCACATTCTCTCTTGCTCATTTTTATCTTTAGTATATCAGGCTTCCTTTGGTTTAGCTGTCGCAATGCATTTCTGATGTGTGGAAAAGCTGTTTCTACCATTTTGTTGACAAATGACGTCGTTGTTGAATTCTTTTTTTGGATTTTTTGGCATAAAAATTCTACGACCCGATTGTGCCTTCGCGAATATAAATCTCTGTACTTTCTGCAGGAATTCAATAAGTGTGCCATTGATTCAGTCCTTTCATTACACATTGAACATCTTTTACCGTGATCCTTATTCCACATATGAATTAGCTGATTACAAGGAATTTGATTCATACGTGCACGTAGAATAAACTTGACTAAACTATCAGAGAGTTTCCATCCGTAATAAATTTGATGCGAAATTGTTTTGTCTATATTTTCAATTCCTATAAAACTTCCTTGCATGCGGAGCTCACAGCTTTGAATGATATCCTGTCTCTCCAATTCCCCCTCGATTTCTCTTTTCAAATCTTTCCTATTCAACTCCTTCCCATTAACGACAACCACAGCAAAACCATCCTTGAAGATAACTGATCCATCAAACTTGTTAGTAGATCTGTGAAAAAGTAGATCTGGCCAATCAGAGTTCCCTCCATATGTTTTTGTCTTTGCTAGTCTTCGGTTGGCATCTAATGCATAACCAAAAAAATTAGTCTCGCTATCTGTCTGTCTAACACCACGTGATTTCATGTCTAATTCCAAAGATTTTCTTGCCAGATACCGTATGTTCTCCTCATCATGATTCAGCATTTTCATCAAATTAGATAAACGTGTTGCCCTATATACGTTTGATGGTCTCTTTATTCCCAGCCCCCCAAGTAGTCTGTTGACGAAAAATATCTTGTCACTGCTCTTGGGATATAAATCAAACATTTCTTTAACGGTTTTTGTAATCTTTGCATCCAGTTCTTATATATATTTCCTAGCGTAAAGTTTTCGATCTATGTTCTGACGTTTTAAACTCTGAAGAGTGTCAGATGAAAAGCTTTAGTTTACTAAATATTTGCATTTTTCAAAGCCATTTTTACTCATGTATAATCATCTTCTGCCAGATTGGGATACCGTATTTCCTCTAAATAACACCGCAGCGTTTATTACAATTTCCAAATTTTGGATGCGGCGTTCAATAGAGAGCGGCTATGGTTTATGGTTATGGTTATATGGAATACGGTTTATGGTTATTTTGGGATAAGATTAAAATTTTGTAAGTGGTATCTACTTATGTTACAAAGTTTCTCAGTTAAGGTTATTTCCCTTCTGTTCATCTTCCCATATCAAGACCATCAATTTAATTTCTGTCAATCTAACCTAAGTAAAATTTCAAACAAGACTCCAGGTCTTATCAATGCAATATAATTGGTTGCTTGAGAAAGGCAATTCAGACCCCGTTTACACGAGACCTGGACCAGATCGGATCCAAAAGTATCCAGATCGGATCCAAAAGTATCCGATCCCTGAAATGGCAATGCGTTTACACGGGATCCGATCCAGAACCATTTGCGTTTACACGGGAACGGATCCACATGAATTCAACAGGTTACGCGCATGCGCTTTTCGAAAATTGGCGCGCATATGGCATTTTCAGATCAGAACTTCGTGCGTGATCAAAACACTGTTCAACCTGAACATGGAGGGAGAAAAAGGGTAAATTTTCGTGGACTGAAGAAGAAGCTACGTGGACGATGTTCCCACCATCCCCCCCCCCAACTGCATAAGACACCTTCTCAAATAAGCCCTGATACTTCCTGAAAAAAATTCTTGATTCAGAACAACAACTTTCATTCATCAAGCAAAACTTAAAAATCAAGACAGACTTACCAACATGGGTTGGATCAGCATCTTCTTGAAATGTAAGGGTCTCAATCACAGCAATGTCAATCATTTTTATTTCTGAAAATATTTATTACCCATATTATTTTAACCATATCTACAGAGAAAGAAACTTACATTTGCAAAATGTAACAGTACATTGATGTCTTCCACTAAGAACTAACAGAATGTGGCTTTCAGAATCTATGTAAAAGCATCAAGGGGAGTTAAAAAGCCTTTCCCTTGGGACTCTGCTAAGTTTTTTACTCTGATAAAAATTTGATGAAAACTGCTCATAACATAGGTCTTTTATGTGGCAACCAGAAGTTTTTAAATAAGTCAAGATTTGAGATGAAGCTAAAATTCTTCTTTATCATAAAAAACTGGTCTTTGAGACATAAAAATTTCACCTGTCCCTGCAGCAACAAAGATTTTTCCAAATTGATTTGAAACAGTGATCAAATTTGTTGCATCTGTCATGAGGTTTTCTGGGGAGTTGAAAACCTGCAGCTTGGTCATCTGCTTAAAGCAGAAGCCCTGCAAAAGCCAAATACAAAATTGAAGGAGAGCTTAAATCATGTACATTCACAGTAATAAGAGTTTATAAATGGTTCTACATCTTCAATATAAAATATAATATTGCTGTAACAAAGACAAATGTAAGCTGAATTAAAATTATAAAAACAGACCATAGCTATTTAGTCAAAAGGGGTTTCCAGGTTACAGTGAATGCCAACAAAGTGGGTATTTGATATTCATTTGCTTTTTTCAAAGCTTTTTTCAATATTTAAAAATTTGGCGATATAAACTGCGGTCTCAAACAATTTTAGTGGGATTTATTTGGGTTGCCATACTTGACCAAAAATAAACGCCACTGTAGCACATATAAAAAGTACAGTTTGATAAAATAATAACGGCATTGTACTTAATTAGATTGTCCAATGGAAATTTAACCTGATATGCAAAAGCTTTGAAGCAGGATTACTAGGTATTTGTATATTTTTATCATGAAGGCTTTTAGATATAAAAAATACATGAATACAAAAATTTGCATGCATATCTGTTTTCCTTTTTATGTGAGAAAGAATTTAAAAAGGCTTTAAAACTCTTCATAAAAAGTCTTCAAATTTCAGCTTATCTCAATAATATCTGAGCACATAATAATAATTTCAATAATATTTGAGCACAATTTGAAAAATATATTCAAACATATCTAATGAAAATTAACTGGTCTGTACAAATGCCCTTGAAACCAGTGTGAAATCAAAATGGGTTATGCTGGACAAATGACTCCCAATGGTATTTCTATTTTGTATTTGCATTTATCTGGCGTGGGTATTACATTGATTCTACCCTGGAATGAAGGTTCCAAACAGAGCTCGCTAATGTGCGTAAGCCGTGCTCACATGCAAATCACACCAACAAAATTACATCCATGGGCACATCTGACAAAGCTGTCATTCTCAAAGTTTCTGACTGTTTAAGAATTCAGAGAAACAATTCAGCTACAAGTTTAACAATGTTGGTTTTATTGAAATTTTTTTCTTCCATGCCCTATGTTGCAGCTGCAGCCCTTGAAGGACAATCATTGGTCACAAACTGCAAACAAACTGTGTTCATTATATCAGATGTATCTGTCAATGAACTTTGGTTCAAATTCAGAAAAAAATGAGACCTCTGAAAAAGTCAGCTTTAAGCCGAAAGTGTTTTATGTAGCAAAGAAAGAATGATAGATTTTCTGAACAGCAGGAACAAGATATTAAAATACCTTGATGTGGTTATTTATTCTCTTTAAGTTGCTGTGGCAAGCTATCTGCTTCAATCAGACATTGAGTTAAGGTTTCCATGTACAAAATTCAGGACAAACTACCAATGTGGTAGGAGAGTGCAGAGATGGAAATTGTGATTGCTGCTATTGGTCCAAATATTGAAAAAGCTGAAGGTATCATTAATTATGGCATCAAACAATATCAAGCAACAAAACAGATTGCCATTTTTCTACTAGAATAAAATTAAGGACTCAACAGCTTTTAAAGTATTAGAACAAATGGAAACACAATGGCTAGATTTACCTTTTTAATTGTAAACTAAAAGTTTGTTTAAACTCGTTGTTATTCTAAAGTAATTTTTTGTTATAATAGTTCTATGGAAAATTTGCTGGTCTTTAAATGACAAATGAAACTGAATGTCATATTGCTGTCATTGTTCTCAGAGGGAACAAAATGAAAAAATTCCAGTGCAAACGTTTCTGCCCACATGTTGGATAAAACATTGAAAGATTTTATCTGACGTTTCTTCTATTGCAAAAAGCTTTTTCGTCCCAGTTTTTTATTCTCCTATATAACCTAGTAGTATGCTTCTACGATTTTGCCAAAAAGGTACAGTCGGTTCTTCCAGGTGTGTAAGGAAATGTTCTCACATCACGAGTCATCTTACGGCTTTCCATTTTCCAAAATGGGTAGTTCTAAATTAATATTTGGCAGTTTTAGCTGAGAAAATAGGCAATTCTAATTTTTTCAATTCCCTTCTTTTCTTGAAAACTTAGGAAAAACATAGTATAACAAACAGATACAACCATTTTGTGTTTAAGAAAACATTTTTCATCTGACAATCATTGTGTTTCAATTTGTGACTTGTCAAAATCAATTTGCCAATTTTGTGACAAGATCGTACAACAGTAGCATTCTTAGATACTTGTTGCTAGAGCAACTAACGAGATTGCCAAAATGGCAGTCGGAGCATAGCAGTTCCTGAATTTTCGCTATGTCTGCTGATTCATCTAATGCTATTAATGGCTTCAACACTCTTAAAACTTCACCAGTTAAATTAAACTTTTGCAAATGGCTCTGAATGAATTGATTTGTACTAACAATATTTTGATTTTTATGCTAGGCCCATTACATTTATTCATGCTAGTTACTATTCCTTTGCTTGCTTCTTTCACATCTCTGCAACAATCAAAGTATGTCACTTACACACTAGTCCTATTTTTTTTCTTAGCTATTCATTGCATCATCATTAACTGCCTAATCCTTTGTTCCATTTGGCCTCACCTACAACTGTTGGCATAGCTTTAGCAATTAGTATTTTTATAAATGCATGTAAATTTTAGCTTGTAATTTAGTCAAGGATAGTCCCAAATAATCACGGTATAACATACACCTGATAGTCTTTTTTCTGGCTCCATGTTCTCTGCACATAAAATAAGAAGCTAGTGCAAGTTGGAAATGTAGCCGTTTGGGGGATTTGTAAGTGAACGAAAAAGAATCAACAGCAATGAGCAATTCTTGTTTCACTAAAAATTGGTATTGCTAGCGCAAACAAATTTTCCATCCACGTGTTTTGCATATTCGCTCTGCAGGGTCCCTAGTTAATTACATTTTTCATTAATAACACTACAGTGCCATCAGAATGAAATTCATTTTGGATAACACTGTTATATACACTGTTATAAAGGAAATATGATACAGTTTGACAACTATAAAGGGGGTTCCACCCACCTCCCCTCCCTAGTTCAGACAGCCCTGCATTACAAATATCTATATGTGCCTGATTTCAGGCATGTTGTCCCAAATTTTCAGAATGGACTTGTTTGCGCAAAAAAGCAATATTTCCAGTATGGGCTTGAAGTATTGCCCTTTGCCAATTTTTAAAGCTATCTCTATGACATGTCAAAAAATGGGCAGCTCCAAATTTTCCTTAAGACCCTGTTACACAAAAAAATATTAAGCAAGAATAATACTGTTTTAAGCACAAAAATGCATTCATTGGATATCCTTATGAATGAAGAACTTTTCAAAGAATAGTCCATGTGCATCATCATTAAATTCTACTTTTAATATTCTTGTCAAGGTGGATTAATCAAACTAATTTGATTTTAATCCTAGCTAGAAGAATATCTAGACAATGGCAATGCGGATGTGCATGGATGTGGGTCATTTCTATGCTTTAGCATGTAAGATAAGCAACAGACAATGAGTGAAATGGATGCCAACGAATGTCCTCAAAATCTTTTTAGAAATCTTGTAGGAGTGCAAAAGGTGAAGCGCCAACTTGCTAGGGTATCTTTATTTCATTCAAGCTGTTGTTGTAAGTTCCTTTTCCAAGATCCCAGAAAATATGGTAGCCATTTGTTCAATGACTGCGAGGAAGGCCATTTGAAAATGAATTAAAGTACCTTTCCTGAAAACTTAGGAAATTGTCTAGAGGAAGACTTAACCAACCACTGGAATCAATGGGGCATTATTCTTTCTTGTCAAGAATATTCTAGCAATTGAAAAATGAGGTGATAAGATTAGATATGCTCTGAAAAATTCTTCATCAGACTACAAGCAAGGATAATAAAAGAATTTCATTATTCTTGTTTAATATTCCTTCCTGTAACCCAGCAATTAGGATGATGTCTGACTCGCATAACGACTCATCTCGGGTATGACTTTTGACACATGAACACATTACGCAGGCCTGGCCGTTTGTATTTTAATAGGCGAGCTGTGAATCGCTCCCCTCATTTGCTGAGGCGAGCTAAATCAGTAACACATAGAATGTACTTTAAAGACAATCGACAGATGACTTAATAAGCCCCTTTAGTATCAACACAAAAACAACAATTCTCTTGCAAAACAATCTTTTTGTTGTACAGAATTTGAAAATGGCTTTGAAAAAAATTTTTAAAACAAGCTGAAGTTATACGTCTAGCACTCTTCAGAGAATAAAACGTCAGAACAAAGATGGAAAACTTTACGCTAAAATACCCAGTTTTGGATCGAAATAGGCCAATCAGAAAGCGCAAGCACATGACTGTTGAGGTTGTCCAATCAGTGCCGCTTTCCTATTGAAAATGTTACCAACGGAGTCCTAAGGTGAAAACGAACTCATTTATGTCTACACAAAAGCGGTTGGTCATGTTTATAAAGTAGATAGATTCACAAACTGCTAGATGGAACGATAATCAGGATTTGCCAATGATGGCAAACATGTTGCCGTTATAGTTTTCACCCAATCTGATTTTTTCAGTAAATGCTGCTGGATAGTGGAATTCAGGGAATTTCATGTTTTGGTTGTCATTTTTGATCTGCAAGACAGAGTACCTTGTTCTCTTTGAGGCATAGTTTTGTTTCTATTACTGGAAGGGACCTGCTGTCTTATTATATCCCCAGTCTACAATTCCTACCAATTTCTTTGACTTTCCTTCCAAAAATATTCCTGTTTTCTTAAGATTGAAAGGTTCTAATTGCTACAAATGTACCTTTCAGTTAACTATCTTTTTCCAAATTGATCGAAGTTTATGCCTATCATAACAAAAACCGCCCAACAAGCAAAAAGTTAATTGCAAAAAATGCAATGACAGGAGAAATCGCTGTTACAAAAATAAACCAATTAACCCTTGTGCGTTTTCATAATTCTCTGGATAGGAAACTTTAGGGGAGCGATTCTTCCTTCATGTTCTGTTTAGGAGAGCAATTCATAGCTCGCTTCAGGTTGCGAGGGGAGCGTGGAGGCGAGCGCGAGCTATCGCTCGCCTCAAACGGCCAGGCCTGATGACGAAAACCCAATGGGAATGGTGTCCAAGTTAGAGCCAGATTGGAATGTTTGCCTTGCCCGATGCACCTCAGCTCATGCTCACATTGCACAATCTCTTTTGCATGTGTGCTCCTTTAATGAAATTTGCAAATGATGCTTTTAATGAAATTTGAATTTGAAGACCCTCAGAGTTGCAGATCGTCTAGGTTGGCTTTTTGCTTATGTACACACTAGGCTGGTTTTTGTACACACATATGCCAAATAACAGCAGACATGTGCAGGATATTTTTATCATTTCTGGGAGTAAAATACACATGGAACAGGATGATCTAATTTATTACCATGCACAAAGTTTTCAAAGTTTGAGCAGATTTTTGTTTAGGGAAACTATTCTCATCTGGTTGGGCCCCCCTCGTTCTTATTTTTAGGAATTATGAAAAATTTTTGTCCTTGCTCTATTATTTTTATCGCCACTAATTATGTTACTAATGTTTTTCTCTGAAATTTATACCCAAATATCACATACTCTGTTTTTATGGTAATTAGAGTCCCAGCCGCACAAATATCTTTATCTGTGCTATTTGCCAATTTTCTTTTCAATCTTCAATCGTTAACTCTTAAAGGCTTTACAACCAATCTGGAGCATTAAAAAAGGAAATGTCCGATGCGCAATTTTCATGGACATAAAACAGTTCCCCCGCGCATCTTTCAAAGAAAGATTCCAATCTGGAGTTAGAGTAAAGGTCTGAGTAATCCGGGCCCGATTTTAATGTTAAACTTAATGATCAACGTAGCTTGTATGCTTGTATATTCGCTATTTCTGAACTTGATGTATCTTTTTCGCTTATAATTGTATTTAGCGGAATTTAGAACTATGAGACTGGACTGAAATGCAAAATGTATCCCTTGTCATCTTTGTGTGATAGACCAAACATTTATAGGGAGAAAAAAACAAGAACCACAAGAATTAAAAACAATGGACTAATAATAATATTTACACTACATACCTCAACATCCAATTCAAAATTCGTGTCACCCATTTTGCTATTAGTTTGTTGGCAAAAGAGATGCACCTATATATCACACTTTCCTCGTGATTGCAGGCTACTTATTTCCAAGAAGCGGGAACTTCTACTACCTCAAGTAAATGTACATAAATCTCACAGATCTGATTCCGAGGCTACAAGCCTTGAAAATCACTGATCTCTACTAAAGACTTTTATAGAGATCAGTGTTGAAAATGCATAACCTTAACCTTAAAAGCTCTACTGAGCCCTCTCTCAGATAGGGTCTCTCTATTAAGCCCCCCTTTGGCATTTGATGTCAAACAAAGAAAACATGCGCATTTAGTGAGTCTCTTGACGGGTGTGATGATGACAGATGGTCATGTGCATTAAATACTGCACTCCTAGAAGTCAGTCGAAATTGGTTTCGAAGATGAGGACCTTATAATTGAATAATTAAACTTTCGAAGCTGCTAGCAAGGTTTTTTAGAACATTTGTGTGACATTTTTATAGCAAAATAATGGCATGGGCATTTCTAAACATTTTTGCTGCATATTTTCAAGAAGCTCCCCTTCTATGATAAGCCCCTTCTCATTTAAACCCCCCTCTTGGACTGAAAAATAAATAAGCCCCCGCGGGCTTGATAGAGCTTTTGCAGTATTTATCGTATTTTTAAAAACATCTTTCAAGTGCTTCAATAAAGGCAAGGCTGTATACAATATGTGTGTCAGCAGACAACAAATACAAATTTATGACGGTTCCTAGAGAAATACAATACAAATAACTAAAAATTAATGAATAAACCTTAAGTTCCGACTGCAATCCTTTGTCCAAAATATCAGCACAGAAAGCTTTACTTCATGCTGAAATTGCGCACTCGGCATTTCTCAATGTTTTCTATATTTATGGGGATAGCAAGTAAACATTAGATAGGGAAATTAGTTCTAAATAATTTTTACGAAGTTCAACTTTAATCAATAGAGTACCATCCCACCAAACACCTTGCAAATACCAAGTTCTCAGCGCCGGTACGAATTTTATCATCAAAAGTTTTTTAAAAATAACAAAGAGTGTATAAATCAGGCTTAGCCTAGTACTGATTTATTCGAGGTTTTAATAGCATTTCATCCTTTTAAGAAATGTTCAACTTGCAGAAATAACAGCGTGTAGCGTCGGGGTTACAAGTGAAGCTATGATTCTTGAGACTTACAAAACAGACTTATATACACAGCTAAAAATCTTTCAAGACACCGATAAAAACTGGAGATTTTGTGTCAGATAGCTTGAAGCTTGTTAAAAATCTTTTTAGATGTGTAACCGTTAAAAAGATAGAAAAATGGAAAGACATTGAAGTATCATCGAGATCAAATCAAAATAAGTATTTGCCCTCGTTATTCTAAACAATTTCCTGGACTTCTACATCTGCCAAAGAATAAGGGGATAAAATGGAAAATCTACAAGTCTTCCCTACGCGCATGGCTTGTCTACAAACTTTCCAAAGTTTACAAGCTCTGGGAAGGAGAGATGCGTTGTGGGGCAGAGTTTGTTAACTTGGCAAACATTAGAAAGGGTGAGCACGGAAAGGGGACCAGAGACAATATCTTTGATACCCTGGAAGACACGTCCGTCTGTAAAAACTTGATATACCACGGACTAGCTGCATAAAGCTGACTCTGTATCTAACTTATTCGGTTTACTCTGATTAAGCCTAACAACATTGTCTTTAACCACTTCTAAATTGTTTCAGATCATCTTTGAGAAATGAGATGAATTATTTCTTTGAAGGGTAGTGTTCATTACGGAATTGTATTTTTTAACAAACGAAATGTTATCAGCGAAAAAAGAATATTTTTGTGGTGCAAGAAAGCAGACTGTTGATGAAAAGAAGAAAATAAATTAAGAAATATGACAGAGCTCTGTGAAACATCTGCTGGAGGTATAGCCATCAACTTTCACGGCATTGACTTTTCAGACAGAAAACTGCATATTCAACATCATCATCATCATCAAAAGGCCGACTCGATGGTTCTTCGTTCTCGAGTTGGATACCGGCTAGTGCCAGCGTGTCCTTCGGTGCTTCCACTCTTGATCCCACGCCTCCGCTTTCTCCTGTCCAGCGCATCTTCTTTTACCAGTCCTTTCTCCGTCATTAATTTCCCCGACACGCCCTGTGCCAGTATGTTGGTGGCCCTCCTCTACTTAGGTTTACACTCTCTAAGGAAAACTGCATATTCAAGGGCCAAAATATACATGTAATTGGTGCTCGTTCTGTGCGAATGAAATATTCTCATCACTTTGAAATATAAATAGCGAGCACTGATACAAATAATTTTTGGATTATAAATACCGAAAAAAACTTCTAGAAATATAATTAGACTGCCAGGAGACCGAGGATACAAGGCTGATGAACCAGAACTTGATTCATCGCTCTTACCTTAGCAGATTGCGAATAAGAAATTGGGAAAAAATTAATCAAGTAGAATAACATGAATATTCACAATATATGCGGTTATCGAAAGATAGTGTTTACTCTTTTTGGTAAACACGAAAAACTTTAAACAACTATACATTAATAAATATCAAACTAATAATTAGGGTGGACCACAAATACATATTTAACAACCAATCTTAAAAACTACTTCATACAATAAGCAAAGATAATTAACTTTGGTTCAACAGCTGCATAATGCAGTTTCCAAAGTATTTAAATTCAGAAGCATTTGTCAGAAATCTGAGACCACTGAAACTGCCATTTGCAACCACATTTAGGCGCACTCAGAAAAGAGCTTATGATATCTTAAATTGAATTCCAACAATTTTCATGAATTAAATGGCTGAACAAGTGAAAAATTGATACATTGTTAAAAAAATTGGTCCTTTGCTGTCTCGTTGCTTTGGCCACACGATGCACTTTGACAATTTCCACTAATACTGTAAGAAACTTTGCTAAATAGATTTAGAAGCTAGCCAAAAAAAATTATATTCCTTTTTTATCTTCTTAAATTGTGCTGGGGTCAAACAACTTTGAAAATTTTTCGAAAATATTTACTTCAAATCCCTCTAGAGAGAGAGTGTAGCCATGAGATATGATACAAAAAAGAAGAAAATGTTATATTAACAATGACCCAGGTGCATTCTTTCTATACATATTATTATACATTGATCCTTTAGAATCATAAATATATTTCAACCAACATATGAAGGTGACACAGGCATGATAAATTCCAAGCAGAGGAAACATTCCTCATCAAAAGGCTAAACATCAAAATATTTATAACTACGTATTTGGTAAATTTGCATGCAGTACTTGTAGAGTAGAAATTCTTTATTACTGAGACCACCAAAATCCATCTGAAGGGAATACAACAGCTTATTTATAAATTAGTATGCCATTGTCACATACTGTCCTGGCACTAAATCTTCACATAAAAGTTATTCATGAAAGTTAAGCATCAACTTAACAGTGTTTACAGCTTCCAATTAAACATTTTTCTTATGTCATGTAGTGACTAGTTACTGTTAACAAAAACTACAGACATTCTCTACCAAAACATTGTGTAGCCTTAGACCCTATCCCTTGCAACAACATTCCAAATAAACAGCATGCCAGTAAATTTTACAATCTAAGATGTTTAATCAGATAAAAACTAATGTATCACACTTTATCTTTAGCCTAAAAAATTACTAGCTGATAAAAATAAACTAGTTGCACCTCCTACAACCGATAGACAAATTTTTACAAAAACTATCTCCAATGTATTTTTTCTTTGATTAATTTTTCCCAAGTCCTTGGCTTGCAGTAACATAAAAATACCATTGAATTTTTGAAATATCCTTGATCAAAAGGGTTTTCATCATCTGGAAAGTACTTCAGGTAGCTTATTCGAGACCTTGACATGAACTCCCATGTTGTTTGTGCAGTGAGCATCATATATGAATGACAAGCAAATAGAAGCCCAACGACAATTAGAATCAACACCACAAAAATCATCACACAGAGAAGTAACCAGTTTGCCTTTAACCACTCATTGCTGGTACTCTTTGATTTGAAGGCATTCCTGAATGTAAATAATTGTTATGAAATACTTGGAAAAGATTCACTGGCATGAAAAACAGATTTTTACCAAATTCAAGGAATATAAAATTTCATACATAGTACCATACAAATACAAGGTGACATAAAGAAAACAGGGGGTAGGAGGGACACATGCTTTCCTTCTTTTTTCCCATCATCCAGAAATTAATCTCAGCAAAACTATCAAGTTTCAATTTAAAATCCACTGATATAGAAAAGGCATGGCCAATGTTTTCTTTGTTGGAGAAAAAGTATTTTCACTCAATACTGCACAACTCTACTTTTCAAATGTTTCATAAACACAGTCATGAATACACATCAAGCAACTTTAGATGGTATAGCAAATACATAAGTCTTAAAAATGGCTTTGAAAAAACAAACATTTGAGTAAACTAAAGCTTTTCGTCTGACACTCTTCAGAGTTTCAAACGTCAGAACATAGACCGAAAACTCTGCGCTAGGAAATATATATACCCAGTTGTGGTGGAGTGCCAAAGTTCTGCTGGGTTATTCATCAGAGATATTGTTTCTAGGCCATAGACTAGGTTAAATGAATTTTGTAAATTGATTGAAATTGTGGATTGAAATAGGCTAATCAGAAACACATGACTGTTGAGGTTGACCAATCCTTTTGTCTAAACAATAGCTGTTTTTTCGTGATAAAGTAGATAGATACCAAAACTGCCAGATGGAACAATGATCAGTCTTTACCAATAACCCAATGTCATCATTATAGTTTTTGCACAATCTGGGTTTTCCAGTAAATGCTGCCTGATAGCAGAATCACAGGTTTTAGTTGTACTTTCATATCTGCAAGATTGAGCTGGCTGTTCTGTTTGGGAATGAGTTTGGTTTTAAATACTAGTTGTTTTATTCTATCCTCCAATCTTTAGGTAATGCGTCCTACGTAGCCAGAATCACACTGGCACCTAAATTCATAAGTAACGGAACTCTTTTGAGTGGTAGAAACACAGTCCTTTTGAATGGATGGAAGGGCCTTTTTCGTTCTGTAAACAATACGTTGATTCACTGTAAAGAAACAATTTGTAATGGCCTGTTATATTTAACTTTCAAAATGCAGGGAACTTTTACCGATCCAGGGTAGTTTTAAATGGACTGGGCACATTTTGGGACCAGATTTTATGTCAGCCGAGAAATTTGCTATCTTCTCTTTAATGTAAACTGAAATGAAGTTCTCTAGAAAAATCTTTTTTAGTTGTTCAAGTTTGGAGTCAAGTTTAGACTTGGAACAAATCATCAGTGCCCTATGTGTAAGCATTATAATGAGGCTGATTTTTCTTTGTTTTGGACAAAACGAACTCCATCGAGTGTATAACCCTGAAAATGTGGGTTTAAGGTATAAACTGGAGAGAAATCTAGTGCCAGACTTTACAACCAAAACATCTAGAAATGGCAAGTTTTTTCTTCCTTTTCAAATATAAACTGTAGGGCTGGGTGAAGGCCATTAAGGCATTTTAGGAAAGTATCACACTCAGCCTCTGTTTTGAAAATTGTATTATATGTCATCCACATATCGAAAATAGACACCTGGCTTTCAAATAGACACCTGGTTGCAGACAAACAAATGCTCTTCATGAAAGCCGACAAAGATATTGGCCAAGGCACACCCAGAGGGCTACCCATAGTGACACCATCCTTTTGTTGGTACATTTCATTGTTAAAACTGAATTCAACTGAAAGTATTGCAGTTTCCATCAGTTCAATGAATAATTCCTCTGGGAATGGTGGGCTATTAAGCTTGCTCTGGTACAAAGCATCGGCGCGTATATTTAGATGTCTCACTCAAAGGAACATTTCTGAAAATACTGCCAAAGTCAAAAGAACACATGAAAGATGTTTGTTTTTTATGTTCAAGTTTTGCATGAACTAAGCGAACCTTAAAAGAAACCTTAAAAGAATATTTTTGAAGAACAGGGTCCAAAACTTCAGAAAGCCACTTAGCCAATTCATGTTGTGCTGAGCCAATCATAGACAAGATGGGTCTAAGTGGAACATTTGGCTTCTGTATTTTAGGGAGGCCATACATTTGTGGACATTGTAAACCTGTGGGTCTTATCCTACCATAAACTTAGTTGGTCAACACTTTTGAGTTAACCAGCCATTTCATCCAGTTTTTCGAACCTTACCTTGTCGAGGAGAATATTCTTCATTTTTGGATGTAGTCCTTTTTGTTCAAAATAATCACTGCTGACTCTTTATCAAGCTTTGTGATAAAGATGTCATTATTAGACCGCAGAGATTTTAATGCTTGAAAATGCTCTCTATGCAAAAGAAAATCTGTGTGGTCAATGGGAGAGCCGCTGTAAGTGTATGCCAAATCACTTAGTCGAGCTCATAATTCGTTAAAGTCCAATTAGCAGAAATATCATGCCTGGCAAGCTGAGCATGTAAAATTTTGAATTCAGCGAAAAGTTCTTCAAAGAGAACAGCCACCTTTGTCTTGCAGATCTAAAAGCGGCACTGATAGGTCAACCTCAACAGTCAAGTGCTTGCGTTTCTGATTGGCCTACTTTGATCCACAACTGGGTACATATATTTCCTAGGGTAGAGTTTTTGGTCTATGTTCTAACATTTTAATATCTGAAGAGAGTCAGAGGAAAAGCTTTAGTTCATTCAAATGTTTGCTTTTTTCAAAACCGTTTTCAAATTTTGTGCCACCAAAAGATTGTTTACTTAAGTTTTTATATTAACATGTATCATTGCTTTGTTTTTTATTTTATTTAGACAAAATATGTGCCACTTTCTCAACAGCTCTTATTTTTCTAAATAGACACTGGGTTTTGGTACAAATAAGGCAGCTTAATGTTACCTCAAAAACTAAGGCGCAAAAGAATAAACGTTTGATCCAAGGGGACAGCCCTGACTTTTTATGCATCTTTTTGACCTTTTAGGATGATACTTTTTACCTCAGCTATAAAAGAGTCCTTGAATCATCAAAATAATTAAAAAACCCAAACAACCTTTTCCTATAAAATAGAACAGAATCCACACAAGCAAAATTTAACGATCATAATATCAAGAATGAAGAATAAAACTTGTAAATGATTTTCATACCACACTATGTTAATGACCCAGCAAACAACTGCCGTTTCAAGAAGCAAAAATGCCCAGAAAAAGCGATGATTCTTTTCTCCAATGCAAGTTGCCAACCAAGGACAGTGGTGGTCATACTTGCGTATGCAATGGCCGCATTCTTCACAGTGCTTTGATCGAAGAGGTTGCAAAATTTCACAGTAACCACAGTGTCGTAATTTTAATGCATTTCCTTCTGCCAACATCATTCTGGTTGTCTCTGTTTCTTCATCTTTTTCATCATTGGAGTCTACACTTTGAACAGCACTGGCTATTTCCTGCAGTTTCAAAAAACATAAAAATGTAATATTCAATCAATTCGCGAAAAAAATGCAACAAATCTTTATATATATAATTAACAAGTGAATAATTTAGGTCTATTCAGAACTATATCTTTGAGTAATAGATTTGAAAGTTAATAATCAAGATCATTGAATCTATGATTTGTTGTTTTGATAGATTTTCAGACAAGGAATAGAGTTCCAAAATAAATGTAAACTGAAAGACCATTTCTAAATGTATCTTAGTGTGCAAAATCAGTCTACAGATTGGTTGAGACATGGTCACATGACCTTGGGGCCTTTCTACATCAAATTGCTCATCAAATTTAGCCTTCATTTGAAGTCTTTGAACAAGGGTTGGACAACAAATATTCATTTGGAAAACTCGACCCTCTCACATGCAATATATTTTTTAACAGATTACTTTTAACAAAATCTATTTTAAACAGATATAACTGATTTGAATTCCAAGTTTCTTTAGGATGTAGCACTTTGGAACACTATTGAATCGAACCTGGTCATGAATGTACTTTGATCACACCAAGGAACCTCGATTCACATCTACTGCTCATTGGAGTGCAATTAATCACATGCATATGACTTTCATACCTGAGCAAAGCCTAACAAATGGCATAGTTTGATGAATATACAGTCAAACACTCAGGACAAATTTCTTTAAGCTGAATGACAAAATTTGATAATCATTATACAAAAGACTTGTGGAATCAATTCTATATAAAATGCAGAAAAATCATAAATTCTTACCTTGCCCTGACATATCAATCCATCTTCAATATTGACATTACTTGACTTAGTGCTGACATAGCCTGGATCAATTAAACTGGCCAAGAAATAGCAAATCGTGGCAGCTGACAGCAAGGAAAGGAAGCAGGCTGCATATACCGGCTTATCACTTTCGATTGACTTTCTCAAATCTGCAACATAAATGAATAAAAGATAATAAACAAATAGAATCATTTCCCAGCATTTTGAAATGTGTTAAAGTGAGCCTCAGGGTATCTAGGAGCAATTAAACTGCCAAGCCCTCAACAGACTGAATGTTGCTTAATATGTAAGATTTCTAACAGTATCCATAGAAATGCAAATCTAAAATTTATGAGTCTAACAGCTAATCCAAGAGACTTAGCAAACATGTTTAATCAGCAAATATGTTTAATATGGTTTAATGCTAAGCATGGAATCTATATATATCAAATGGTTTCTCCCAATTAAGGTTCTTTTCCCTTCTAAATTCTTTAAGCATTTGACATTTCTCAAAGGAGTGCCAAACTCGAAGGCAAATCATTAGGCTTTTGAAGCCATACTGGAGGTACTTTTCTAGCTTTCATAAAACAACAAATATCAAATTTATTTTAACTTTCCATGCAACCAGTTACGGTAATCATGTTTGAGCCCTTAATCTATGTTTCTAATGGAAGTACCTGGATTTCCAACCCCAGATATCCTATTGAGTCTGTCTCCTTTTTGGAATTTGAGCATGAGCCCTCCAAAATGATTCTTATCAATTACCTATCATTTATCATTTGAGCTGCTATTCTGGCATGACAAGGCTGGTGGAACTATCTATTACTGATAATCAGAAAATTTACCTGTTTTTAGATGTGGGACATTTCAATCAAGAGAGTTTCCAAATGTTAGAGTTAATTTGTGCCACTAATTGATAATTTTGTAATCAATTTTGGAAATAATACAACCTTTCTCTTTTAACCTACCTAATAAAAAGCATTCTATTTTATTGTCAATGTAAAATTAACATAGAGATGATCATTTCAATATCAGAAAAACTTACTCTATAAAACCAGGGATAACTGTGTTCAAGAAAACTTTGGTTATAGACATGCTTTTGCAAGCCCCCTTCTGTTGCAGAACTCACTAAAGTTAAGGTTAACAAATTCAATACATCATATATTTAATCTTGAAAATAAATTTACAAGATTTCAAATCACAATATGACCATCCTTTCACAATATTTTGGCATGAAACTATGATTTTGTATTATTAAGAAAAATTATGATGCAATTTTAACTGTGCACTTCCAATTGTTTTCCCTGATGTGGAATCAGAGCCAAAAATTAAAATAATTTTGTGATAAGCTTTGTTCATCTTAAAGACATAAGCCAATAAATGTTCCTGTCCACAACTGTTTGGATCAGTTGTTAACAGACGGTACTGTTGACAGGGTAGATCCATGTTGTTTCTCACAACTATTATTCATGTGAAAAATTTTCAGCAAAACTTTGTGAACTATTTTTAGTCTTGAAGCCTGATAGTTGTCCCTTCCAAGATAGATTTGTTTAGTTGAAATAGGAGCCCTATGACAAACAATTTGCTTGGTGTTTTTCCTCATTAGTTAATAGTATCTAAGTGTCATGCCGATACAGATAGAACTATTATTAACTCCATTTCAATTTGTTGAAGACTTTTGATTTTCAGTAGTTGCAGCTCTGCCTCCAGTTCAAAGCTATTATACTTGAAACTGAACGGCAATAGCTGTGAATGAGAACAATAAGTTTGTAGACAGGGATACCGGAGCCAATAAAGGGCAAGGGGGCAGAAATTTAGAAAGGGCATCTTCAGTGGCTATGTTACGTGTGCTGTAAGGTTACCCTTCTATCCGCTCTTGGCATCGTGGAAAAAGAAATTATTCCATTCTTTTATTTCCTTTGAACTTTAACTCTGGGAGAGAGTAAAAACATATGACAATAGCAATAGGTTACAGTAATTAGCAGTTGGAGGCCTACGAAAATTTTACAGAAGTAACTGTCAAGGTAATAATGCTTGATTTTTCATTAATTCTAACATTTGTTTTGTAATCATGTATTATCTTTCAGTAAAAAAGAATGATAAAAGCATAAGAGCCGTTGGGAATTGTGGTTAACGTTAAATCTTTAAATAAAAAATGACTGTACCTATTTGTCATTTTCTCAAAAAAGGCAGATTTGCCCCCTCTGCCCCTCCTGATGAAAGGCAAGGGGGCACTGCCCTCTCATGCCCCCCCTCTCCGGCGTCCCTGTTTGTAGATCCCAATCCTATACATCATGAAATATCAAAGTGTATAAACTAGGCAAAACTGAATGAAAGTGCCTAAGGGCCTAAGCTTTTATGCCAACGATCCTCAATTCCAACGTCAGTAGGTGTCTTAGTGATAACATTATTTGCGAAAAGTTACCTGTCTCTTTAATGAAAACCACTGTTACAACCCCCGATGTCAGCAAGACATGAAAAGCCCTTGCAAGCCACTTCTCCCACCATTTTGATTTGAACGCCATTACTACTTCAGTACAGTCCTGTAGGAGACGACGGCAAGTTTCCCGGATGTTGCTACGTCACACCTATCTTAGGGCTGTGCATAGGGCATCCTCGTAAGGCTTTTTGCGAACAACTTTTTGGTGGTACGACTTTTTATTTCTTTGAACTTATTTATAATATTTCAGGTATTCTTGGGAAATGTGAAGGTAACAGAGAAAGCATCGTTCTGAGTTTCCACCATGTCTTCATTTCTATTCTTTTAACTATGACCAGTAGCAGCGCCACGGGGGGGACTGGGGGGACACGTCCCCCCCCCCCAGTTCTCAGGAGAATCGATTTTGTAGTTCGTCTAAATTCGATTAGAAAATGTTGGGGGAGGGGTAATATTTTGACACCGTACTTTTTGTGATGTATTTTCAAACTGCCAATTTTCAAACAAAACTTAGTCATAGGCGTTCCCTTCGGATAAAATTGGCGTTTTCTGTTGGTAAAAGGGCATTTTCTGGTTGTTAAAAGGGCGTGGCTTAAATTTTTTTGGTTTGTCCCCCCCAGGGCTTAGTGGCTGGCGCCGCCATTGACTAGGACTGTATCACCAGTGGGGGACTGGCCCACCGGCCCATCGGCCCGTGGCCGGTGGGCCCCCTTTAAAATCTGGCAAAAAGGGCCCCATCTTTGCAGAAAAAGGCCCCATTTTAGGAATGTGCGGCCTTAAGATGTCCCATTACGAATAATGAATATCCTTGATTACATCAAAGCTGAGGTTGAATAAACGTCATAGTATGTCGTTATAAAATGAATTGGGTCGAAGCTAAAAGAGAATGACTTTTAAAAGAGAGACTTTTTAATATGATGGAATTTTCTGAAATTTTTTATTTTTCATAGAACCAGGTTCAGTTAATCTGCCCGGCATTAATTATAGGGTTCACTTAAATTTTTGCCAGTTAGCAAAAAAGTAAGGAGTGATTCAGTAACAAACTCGGCGTTAACTTTTTCTTTGACTCAAACCATAGCATTAAGATAATGCGATGCGAATGATACTTTAACGGGGGTTGCTGCATCGTCTTAAAGATTCGTTTACCGAATAATCTAGTTTTTGCTTGCGCTGGACTGTTTAGTATAAAACACGAACGGGTAAGGTATTGCCTCATGGAATGATAAAATGGCAGAATTAGCCAAATTGCACAAAATGGACAAATAAACTCCGAATCGCAAGTGGTTCTCAGAAAGGAAGGCAAAGTTGATGCAAAAAGGGGACAGGACTGATCACTAGTTTCTTTGAAAGCAAATTAAAGAAATGCATCTTCTGGTAGCATTTGATTGAAACGGTCTTCAAAATTATAAACCTGAAAGTTTTGCGAAAAATATAGTTTGTAAGCACGTATTAAGTCTAAAACAGAGACAGCAAACCAATTTAGCCAATGATTACAAAAAATTAAAGGGAACCTTCTTGCTATGATTTAGCTGTAATATCATGATTAAGATATCAAATTTTTGTATATAATAATGTTTCGCTTTGGCGGGGAAGACCACAAATGCATCTACACTATTTACAGCATCAATAAGGAAGAACTTTCTTTTTAGAAATAATAACAAAGCTGTGGATATTTTAACAGCTAATAATCAGTGCTACTAAAAAATTTCATGCAAAACTGTTGTTCAGGGGACTTCGAAAGTATTTATAGTTTATAGTTTACAGTAATTACCACCCAAGCCTGAAGGCTCAAGCTTTATCAAGAAATAAGTTTTCTTATTTGATTTTTGAAGTAAAAAATGTGAGTTTCAGGCTGTATGTATTGAAATAGAACCACAGACCGGCCTTGGAGTCTTCATTAACACTATAATGCGACTCAGTTACATCTTGTGTTCTGTCACTTAAAAACAATCTAAGAATAAACTTGGGCTAAAGATAAAAAATCAAGAATATTGAGGCTAAAAAGGAAATTGGGCATTCTTATGAAAAAGTGTGTTAACGTACTCAGTAAGAAATATTTTAAAAATGTCTTTTCTATCTATACATGTCAAACTTGCGTTACATAATCATTGGCTGTATCCAAGAACAAACAATGAGGGAAGGGGCCGAGCCCTACTTTTTTCGAAAATTTCAACAAGAGAGGCTGCGCCCCCTAGGCCCCCACCACTTCTGGTTTAATTCATATCATATGACTGTTAATCCATTTAAATTCCGATCATTTATTATCGGGAAAAAATATAATCATATCAAAGAATTTCAGCTAAAAATAATTTTAAAAAAAACACAAATATGCATAAAGTCTTCTTGAAAAAAAAATCGATAAAAAACACTATAAACTGTAGTCACATATTGAAAAAAATTGTCAAAAGCTGCTTTGCAGGTCAATACCATAAGAAGACTAGCTCGATTCATTGCTAGAAAAGAGTGACAGGCTTTTGTCAACTCATTCATACTTTGTCACTATTGGCAACTCATTCATAATTTGTCACTTCAACTACTGTCCTCCCATCTGGTTATTCTGTGGTAATGCAAGCCAAAAGAAACTTGGAAAAATCGAAGAAAGAGCCCTTCGTGCAACACTCCCGGTTATCATTCGTCATACTGTAACCTCCTAACAAAAGCTAATCTACTATCATTCATATTCGTTCCATCCAGGTGTTGGCACTTGGAATAGACAAAATTTTACACAAATTGGATCCAGCCTTTATGAGAGACTATATACTTCCAAAATCCACCAGCTAAAATCTTCCAAAAAATGACTTTGTTTTCGTTCCTAACGTCAAAACCTTCAAAAAAGGAATGATCTTAAAAAACAGAAGAGTATAAGTACATAGTAAACTGGGAGGATGGAATCATAGAGAGACAAACTAGAGAATTGGAAATCTCGGAAAGGAAAACGAATGGTCAAGATGGCAACAGAAGTGAGGATGACGCTATGTGGAAGGATAGCTGTAAGATTACAAAATTACAACTTGATGCCGGACAGGAATGACAGAAAGGCAAATGATGAGACTGGAACAAGTACATGGAAAGATACTAAAAAGACTGTAGTACCTACCACAGATGTAGCCTGATAACCAGCCCATTATTCTATGATGGGAATGACACTATACTGGGTATGATTTGGATGTGGACAATGGAATAGATAATAGAAGACCAAAGATTGTTGCTGTACCAGAATAAAATGAAATTAGCAATAAAAGACCAAAGAAATACAGAAATGGTACAAAGAATATGAAAGAAAGATGGGGAGAGGAATGTAAAATGTGGACAAGTTGAGAGAACAATCTTTTGGTGGTACAAAACTTGAAAATGGCTTTGAAAAAAGCAAACATTTAGTAAACTAAAGCTTTTCGTCTGACACTCTTCAGAGTTCAAAACGTCAGAACATAGACCGAAAACTCTACGCTAGGAAATATATATACCCAGTTGTGGATCGAAATAGGCCTATGTTCTTAGCGTAGAGTTTTCGGTCTATGTTCTGACGTTTTAAACTCTGAAGAGTGTCAGACGAAAAGCTTTAGTTTACTAAATGTTTGCTTTTTTCAAAGCCATTTTCAAATTGAGAAAAGCGTAATGGAAAAAGGTAAGAAGAATATTTAAAAGAGAATAGGAAAGAGTACAAAGAGAGAGAGAGGACAATGAGAATGATGAGAAATCAAAGCAGACAAAGGCTTGAAAGCAAAGTTTACATCCAGGAAAAGGGATCCAAGAACCAAGAAAAAGAAGGGAAATGAAACGAGAAAAAATAGGCATTGTGTACATGGAAAAAAGGAGACGACTGAGCATATGATCAAATGCGAGAGTGCTGAAATGGAAAGAGGTATTGGGAAAAATGGTTGGAAGAAACAAGAAAATTAAAAATAGTAAGAGAAACGGGACAGTTGATAAGAGCAAAAACGGAAGAATATACAAGAAAAAAAATGATACAATCGATTATAGAGAAAAAATAACAGTCTAGCATTTCTTTGAAGCGCTTTGTATTTCCTTTAAAATCAGGGTCTAGTTATCAGGCTAATTAATGACATAATACCCTGGTCCCTGGGTACCAGAACCACATAATTTTTAGCGTATAGATGAGACGAGAGACTATTTTACAACTATCAACATTGACCAACTCAAAACTGTTCAAGATCAGGTTATTAATCAAAATAAGAACAATGTTTGTCAACGATTTGTATAAATAACAACAGTAAGAATTTTTCCACGCAATAGTTATGTCTTAATCAATTAGAAAAATAAGAAAATAACATTTAAAAATACATGCGTTGCGAACTGAGACCTATAAGTTGAGTTACTAGAAATTCGATTACCTTCATGTGAGGACTATATGGATGAGAAATAAAAAACAAGGTGGATACAGGGAATAATTTGCAAAGTTTTACGGTAATCCTTATATTTTTACTTATATTTTTACACACTTTAGAATGTGTATTGTAATAGGTAGGCTCCCCATTGGATTCTATTGTTTTGTGTTTTGTTTGTATTGTTTTTTGGCTCAATTCTACGGGTTTGGCGGCTTAGACCCTGTTTAAAACCTCCCTCTTTTATATTTTTTTAATTGTTCAGCCACATGGACATAAGTGTCGTTTAAAGTCCCTTTGAGACGTTCAACAGCTGCTGCTTCAGTTACAATTAGACCTTCTTGTCACACTCACAGTGCCCTCCAGATGGTCTGTGCATACAATCCATTCGAGTGAGTGTTTCTAGTGGAGCTTCGAAGCAGAACGACGAACTAATTCATCATGGAAGAACGTAAGACATTCCAAGATAATGCAGAGGAAAAAGGTACGACCTTTCAGCTTCACGTTTTCTTACAAATATGATCCTTCTAGTCAACTCTATCCAACGACTTATTTGACCCTTCTAGTCACACCATCTAAACAACGTTGTGGCAAACGTTTACTTGTGATTTTCTGGGATCATATCTTGAAAATATTAAAAACTGCCGAAGAAAAAAGCTTGTTTATATTTGTTTACTTATTCTCACATATTTGTGAAAGTTCATGCATGAATCAAATCTAAACGATGGATAAAACATTTTATATCAATGCTTTCATTCAAAGCAAAATTTTATATCTTTTCTATAGCTTTAAAATGGCAAGTATTTTAAGACAAAGTTAAGTTTTTCTTCGAGTATAAAGTGGAAAAATAATAATCGAAATTCTTAGCTAGAAAATATAAATACGTTGTTGCGGAGGCAAATCACTTCAAATGACTTTATGTTATTTGTAAATGCTACTGAATGAAAATGAAACTGAATTTGAATTTTGATACGCACAGGTGTACCCTGGGTACCAAACTCATTCCTTTATAGAGAGATAGCTTTCTCTCTTTTTTATAGAGCGAGTCCAGGGTTGGTATATTGGCTTTTTTAAGCCAAATTCCAGAAATTTGGCTTTTTTCGAACTTGTTTGGCTTCAGAAATTCCTTTTGGCTTAAAGTCACTTTTTGGCTTAATTTTGGCTTTTTTCCACAAGTACAGGCATAAGTACTTATTTCCTACCTTCCTTCCTTTTTCATCATTCTAACAGAAATTGACAATTAAAGCAGTTAATGCACATATTTTACTGTGATTTAGACACTTTGTTGAACATCTGTGATTTTATCCACCTTGTCCAATTGCTACGTGGTTTTCGCTTTGTTCTTCATTCCTTCTGCCTGTTGAAGCAGGGTTTAATGACCGCGATGCGAAAAGGGGGGAGGGGTACTTGGAGGCGGTTGTGTCGTATGGACTGACTTTCTACTTCATCTAAATCAAATGATGAAATTTTGAGGGAAGGGTCAATATTCTGATAGTAAAAACGGCTAAGCCTAAAATTTTCTGCTTGCTCCCCTTTCGCTTTGTTTTACTTTTATCAAAAATGCGTTCCCTTACATGTACATCATGTGTAGGAATTTTATGAATATAATGAAAAAATGTTTTCACAAAAAGTGAAAAAGAATCAGTCAGTTGAAGAATACCTAAGCATTTTCACAAAAGTGAAAATTTAAGCCGTGGGTAGAGAATTGCGTAAGGGTTAAAGGGGGTCAAGCACCCTAAGGATTGAACAAAAAAAGTTACTTCTAGCCTCGTTTACTACTTGAAATTTTCTATTGTTTTGCCGCCTCGTTTACATTTTGGCTTAATTTGGCTTTTTACCAACATTGATTTGGCTTGAAGCCCCAAAAGAATCTACCAACCCTGAGCGAGTCTGCTAACCAGGATAGCAAGGGCTAATCCATCTGAGAAAGGCAATGTATAGATGGAACGGAAAACCTGTTTACACTTAGTAAACAACTTTTCAGCGGAAAAAATTTCGGACAATAAACTTCGGCGCGTATTTTTTAAATTTCGAACAAATAAACTTTCAAAAAATGTTGCTCAGTCTTTTAGATGCTTGAAGCGAAACCACATCAGGTTATTCATTCATACAAACTTTTAAAATTGTAACTGAACTCTTGAGAAACTTTTAAGAATCTCTATGTAGGCCTACTGAAAATCTGACAGTGTTAAGAAACTTTCAATCCCGAACTTGCTCAAAATCTTAGTTTCTTATAAGGCATATTTAAATTACAGCTAGACCCCTTCAAGCAAAGTCTCCTTCCGCTTCCGATGTCAAATATTTTAAAATGTATAGAAGAGAAATAAGAAAACACTTACTTTCCTTTTAACATTCATATTATCTGTCATCTGTTTAAAGTCATAATTGCATATATTTATTACAAGCTTAAACTTCAAAATAGTCTTCTTGCTAAGCCAAAGGCCAGAAGAAACTTTCTGTTTGGAACAAACTGAAACATAGTATATCAACCAAACAATAGTATTTTCTCCATCTTGGGGGCTTACTCCCAGCCTCCCTCTAACCTCGGGCATGCTTCTGGCTGAAGTTATTATCAGTCATTTCGCGAAGGCATTGATACTGCTGAGTCAGATGAGACAAAGAGGGGAAAAGAAGAAAGTGAAAGAGGCTTTTTATAGACGACGAGAACGATGAAAGCATAAGCTTAGAAGGAAGAAATTTTGCAGAAACTAATGTTTGAAGATTTCAGCTTTTGTTTCAGACAATAAACATTGCGCATGCGTATCATGCAAAAATTGTCGGCATGACAAACTTTCGGATAACTCTAAACTTCGTACAAAAATATTTTCGAACTAACATTTGTCAGAAAGTTTGTCACGAAAAATTTTGAACTAAAAGTCTTTAGCCTCGCTTGCAGATTTAAATTTTTGTTTGTGTTGGTACCGCGTCTTTATGCAGGCCTAATTTGGCTTTTTTTCAACGCTGCTTTGACCTTGAAGCCGTAACGTCAATTGGCCAAAACCAAAACAGATAGCTAATTGATGTTACGCAGTCAACACAATGTAGCCGTAGTTCCGTATAGAGGGCAACAAAGATAAGAGGTTGCTACCAATTTTCTTAGAGACCATGGGCTCCGACAAAGAATGAAAATTTAAGACCCATAACAAAAGATTTTGAAAAACTCTTTTGTTTTGCAAAAAAGTGGGGGGGGGAGGCCAAGCTCCCCCCGGCCCCCCTTCGTCTGAGGCCCTGGAGACAAAGCCTTGTAGGTTTCAATTTTTCAAAAAGAGAATGGAAGATTGCTTTTGTGTCTTACTGAAATTTGTCGATGTCGAATTTTGAATTGAACACCAAGAAATTTTAGTAAAAAACAGGATGGTTCTAATATTTTACTCCGAGTTTCACTCTCAATGCGATCATCAGGCAACTCAAGACAATTAATCCAATAGCGTTTAAAAAGTAAATTATTTTCTACAATGTCCTGTCCTTCCAAATATCGATAAACTTATTACTGAAGCTGAAACATTATCATCCACAGGGAATGACAATTCATTCAAAACACTGTCCAGAAAATGGAAGATATGTATCATTCTCCTAATGTTAGATCGTCGTTATCACATTAGCAGTAAGAAATAACTTGAAGGGAGCAGATAGACACGCGGAAAACGGTGCTTCTACATTATCATCCACATCGTGCACTTCGCCTTTCAAGCAGAACCTTAAAATGGATGGGGAGCCCAACATCTTTCAAGATTTAACTGAAGGCGAGCTAACAGCAGTCCACAAATACCTTCAAGAACAAGCATCTCTCAACCTTACAATATTTGAAAAGGCAACATTAAACGACAACTTTGTTTATGGTGTTGAGCTGTTCCTCCCAAACAAGGACGATGTCTTGAAGTACCTTGACAGTGGTAATGACAAACCATGAGAGAGAACCAGCTGATTTTAAGAAAGTAGTTAAACAGGGATTTCTTTTAGTGCTAGATAAAAGAAACCAGAAGTATATCAAGCCCACTTTTAAGCTCTTACAAAAAAGCATAGAATAAAAGAAATCTGTGGGAAACAAATAAACATAAAAAACACTGGGAATGCTCTTTCCTACTTTCAACTTGACCACTAATTTTCTTCATTCTCTCGGCATTTCTCTTGTATCAAGCAAGTATTTTCATTGAACAAACATGAAGAGGCATATTATCAGGTTAATTAGCAAACTAAATGTTTACATCACAATCAACTTCCTATCCTAGGTCGTTTATTACAATCAAAGATTTGAAAGTACAAAGCAACTGATGGCAAAGTATAAAGCTGGGACATTGAAAGTTGTTCACGTTCCCCAGCCAAATAAAACTGAGCTTCTAAGAGCATCAATCAAAAGAAGAGGCCCGAAACAACCATCGGTTCCATTGCGTGGGCCAACATTGGTTGAACCTAATGGGAAAAGATTCTCTGTACAAGGAAACAAAGTTTCTTATATGAACTGGCAACTGGAATATGGGATACGTGCAACTGGAGGCCTGGGCCTCTTTGATGTCAGATTTCAAGGCAAAAGGATAGCATACGAGATAAGCTTTCAAGGAGGAATGGCGGGCCATGCTCTTGTTATAAGAGTCATATCAACTCCGTTTAACTATGATTACATATTCGACTATATATTACATCAGTCAGGAGTCATTGAGGTACGAACAACTGCCTCTGGATACATCCAGCCGGATTTTGCAACCGAACAAGAGAAGCAGTATGGCTTTGTAAACTTCTTCAATACTGTTGGGACAATACACGACCATCACATGCTCTATAAAGTCGACCTCGATGTCGCTGGTGTGAAAAATAGTTATCAAACTGTCGATGTCATTGCTCGCAATGTTAGCTATGAATGGGAAGACAATACATACCGAATAAAGAAGCAAATAGTCAAGGAGAAGAAAGCCCGAGAGAAAGATGCAGTTTTGAGATACGATTTTCAAAAACCAAAGTACTATGTTTTTATGAATGAAAATGAAAAAAATGCATATGGAAACTCAAAAGGATACAGGATTGACATTCAAAACAAAGTCAAACAGTTATACACTGATGATTACTATATTACCAAAAGCTGTGCTTGGACCAAGTACCAAATGTCTGTTACGAAGCGTAAAGATCTGGAGCCGTTTGGATCCTCAATATACAACCAGTTCACGTTCTCAGACCCTGCTGTCAATTTTGATACCATGCTGAATGACAACGAGGCGATCGAGAATGAGGATCTGGTTGCATGGGTCAACATTGGCGGATTGCACATTCCAAATACAGAGGACATTCCCCTGACTACTACAGTTGGCAGCTCTTATGGCTTTCTGATCAAACCATTTGGATATTTTGACGAAGACCCAAGCCACGGCTCCACAACCTCTGTTTTAGTTGATAAAGCGGCAGATGGCAAGTACGATATAAAAACTTACGGTACGCCTGAAACGTCGTCTTGCCCTGTTCCAAAGCGAAAAACTTGGATGTAAATTATAGGCATGAACTATGATCATCAGATTTTCTTAAGAAAGTAACTTTATCTTAGTTTAAGGCCTCTATTGCTCAAGTCTTTCTTGTTACCATATTTAACATTAAGGGGATTTTTCATTGAATTTTGACGTTCTGTAGTAACAAGATTTGTTTATTTATTTGTACACCTTTTAACCTCTCTGAGAATTAGATGTTTTGGCGTGGATCTGTCTTGCTCGGTGGTTGACTTATAGCTTTTCTTGGAATAACATTCTCTGGTTATATTTCGTGAAAAGAGCTGTTGTAGGGAGACAATGTATGGGCTTAAAAGGCCCTCATCAAATACTTTGACACATTTGATTTGTTGTTAAAGAAATGCAGATTTAGCTAGGAAAAAACTGCTGTAGTTGCCAGAACAGTAAATTTTACTTAACTTGAGGTTCGTATCAGCAAGCACGTTTTCTTAACGACACTCTTATGAAAAGAAACCTATTTCTGGCACACAGTTCCTTGGTTGACTTTCTACTTTGTATTTAGATACTCTTTGTTATATGATTCCAAAGGAGCCAAAGACCTATTCCCCCCCCCCCGATGTTTATAAGGTAAGCTGTCCCTGAAAATTTTATAAGATACTCCAATAATAATGAATTTTACTAAAGGCTCTTCCCAAAGGTGCAAAAAATTTGTTTAACTGCTTTACACCATGCTTTGCTTGTTTCACTTGCAGTAGGGCGCCATGGCATAGAAATGGAAATTGATAGGAAGGACGAAAGTTCAATCTAATAAGCATTTTAATTTTGTTATAAATTAGAACAAGTTCCTGTAATGCTTTCGCCATCTCGCCAACAACTGACTTTTCTTAACATACTACTGACTTACTTGAAGTTTATCCACAAAGAAAAGATGATTAAAAGCTAAGAAAAAGCAAAGAGTTCATTGCATTTAGTTACACACCTCATTGAGTTATTCATGAAAACGAGATGTTGCTCATGGGCTCCGACGCAGGTTGGAAAGTGGAGGGACCAAAAGAAAATATTACAATCATAACAAAAGTTTTTAAAAAACCCCCATTGTTTTGCAAAAAAGTGAGGGGGCCATGGCCCCCCGGCCCCCTCCTTCGTCGGAGGCCCTGTTGCTGTTATACATCTATGCCACAAGGGTAAGCTGCTTCGAATCGTCTGGAACTTTTTGTTAACTCGACCAATGAAAAAACCACTCTTCAAAATTTATTATCCTATCTAGATGTCTTAACAACTCTTGTCACTTGTTACTGTTTAAAATGATCTACTGTGCAAATCGTATTCATGCGTTTTCAATTTTTAACATGTTTCATTCTTTTTATTTTGAAAGTGAGAGGTTTTCACGGGTTCTTAAAACCTTGTCCTTTTTGCAAAAAGCAATTATACAAAAAGTAGAACAGGGCCGTCGGAAGCGGGGTCATGGGGGATGGAGACCCCAACAATTGCCAAACTGTAGTATTTTTCTTTTTAACAGTGTGATGCTTTTTAACAATATGAACTTCGTTCTGACGTCACTGTCGAAGCATGGCATAAATAGATAATTGAGATGAAAGTCACTCTTGGGTTCTTCTACATCAATTTTTTCGTACCCCAGTTTTTCTATATCGCATAATTTACTGGATAGGCCCCTCTAAGCCTGCCTTTGGCCCAATTTACGGATTTGGCGGCCTTAGGCAGTGGCGGACTTGCTCAGAATTTTAACCGGCCACAAATACCTGGAGGGGCCCAGGTAGTCAAGTTAGAGCGTGGTCAAATTAGGGCGTGGTCAAGTGAGCATTTCATCATAATCGATCAATCTCTGAGCAACATAACATATGTAGCACTAATAGCAAAGTTGAGCTGTTGATTACAAATGGGCGCTGAGTACACTAATTGAAATTTAACATTAAATAATAAAAATTCTGTCTGATTTGGATTTCAGTAGTTTTGCACAAGAGACTTTCTCGAAGAAACAAAAGTTAAAAGTTATAAGAAAACTAACCTAAGATACATAAAGGATAGGAAGTTTAAATTACAAAATATCTGAGGTGTGAGGAAGCCTTATCTTTACTGAAACTCAAACTAAAGATGGCAGACCTAAAAACAGCAAGCTAGAAAGAAAGGTAATGGCAATTTGGATTGTTTAGTAGGGGCCCTCTTCTCTTGCCATTACACCTAGACTCTAACGAGATAAGTGAATACAGAATAAATATAAATAACACTTTGAGGTATCTTAGTACTGAAAAAACATTTTCCAAGATTTGGAGCCCCATGTAAGCACGCAGTATTCTGGGCCTAGGGCTCACTTTTCCTAATGCAATAATACGATACTTAATGGAAGTTCCAAAATCGGAAAAAAATTCTCATTGGGCCCTCAGTTTCAGTGTTTGCAAGGACAAGACAGATTTTTGAATCAATTTCTAGAAAGGTAGATTACTTTAATGCTAACCAGATAGATTTGACAATATACATCAAAACAGTGGAGGGCTCAGCCCCGCTCCTTGTTTGTGCTTCGATCAGACAAGAATGATGTAACACATAGGAAGCTGGAACAAAATTTTTGCAAGGGAGACAAGATGCAACTGGAATGCATTAAAAGCTTTATATTCCTAGAAATGTAGACATAGTTTGACTCTCTACTTTTGAAGATATCTTACTGAGAACATTTTGTTACTGTCTTCTACAGGCTATACAGGGTTTTTTATTGTTGCATTTAGAAATTTGTTTAAAGTTATATGCGTCGGAAATGTTGCGTTTGTCGCTAAAAGTTGAGATCATGATCTTGGTTATCGGTGATTGTGAACAAAGTATCACCAGGGACGTCATTTCTTGCAATTACTGAGAAAGTTTGAGGAGATTGGCTTTTCTCGAACACATTTCACCGGTCAAAAACTGTCATCTTTAGCCACAAATAAGTGTGCAAGGAAGAGAAAGCTAAAGCCTTAGCATTTTTTACCTGCTCATTCGAGAAGGAAATCTTCGCAGAACATTTTGAAGATGTTGTTTATTTTTGTTGTACTTCACGCCTTTTTCCATTTCCTTCTATTTTTACCCAGTTTTGTTTTGTTTGAGTCCAGATTATCGTAGAGTCAGCTCCTATAATTCTGACTCGCCACATTCGCATCGCTTGAACCTTTTCCAACTAATTCCTCGTTGTTAAACGTTCTTCCTATTCTGACGCTTGAAGGTTTATTATAAAACCAACTCCAACTTATTTCCCATTGCTATGTCAAAATCAAGTCTCTTTGAACCATGGAAATTATTGTAAAAGAAAGCTAACAGGCATTGCCTAGGATCCTCCTTTTGTCAAACTTGATGTTGTAAATATGTTTGATGTATTTTCTGGCCATCCCTGTAATGTCATATTTTCAAACTATTTCTTGAATTCGGCCAAAATTTCTAACCATGGTGGTGACCTTATACAGTGAAAGCGACGCGGGCCCAAGTAAAGGATTGTCGAACCCCAAGGAATGATTACACTGGGTTGTCCAAAAGGACAAATTGCAACTCTGGCCACTTTTGATATTCTGAGCATGCATTAGCCTCTTTCTCGAGCAGGGTTGCCTTGATTTGAAATCTAGCATAAATTTTTGCAAATCTACCACAATCTTATGACAAATTTGGCGTAATTCTTAAAATTGAGATCTGGTGCGTGGTTTCTGCATTACAAACAAGATGGGGGTAAATATCATGCTTTCAAACTGGGCGAAAAGAGAATAAGAAGAAACAAGCACAATTTGTACATCAGTGAGAGAAGAGTTTATTTGCCATCTGTAACGAGGTTTTCGTTTATAGTATCAAAACTTTTTGAAGAGATTTGATGGCAAAGAATTTGATGGGCTGAATGCAGTTTAGAACTTTCCATAAGTAAAAGAGACTTGTAAAAGCTTCACCCAGCTTTTGTCCCGGACAAAATATTTCATTAAATCATGCATTAAATTTTAAGAAATAAACGACTAAGATCGCAGAGATCTGAGACTTGTTCTCAGAGGAATTCTACCAGATGAGACAATGGCTCGGATTCTTGCAGCAAACTCTAATTCTGTCGATGTAGGGAGGCTGATTCCCACCCACCTACAACAAGATAGAAGCAGGTGGGGAAAGCAGCACAGCTCCAGATAAATTTAACAAACAGATAAATATTGCAATGAATATGCTTGATTTCGCAAGTTTCGAGTTTCGAGAAAAGCTGCAAAGATATGGCCCATAAAAAACCAAAAAACACCATAGTCTGGGATTCTCATAAATGAAAAGGCAATTCAGATTCATGGTTTGATGGCCAAATTTCTCCATTTTAGCAGTTTCTCAAAACCCCTTGGCCGTCATAAATTAATTTGGCCGAAGAAGCAAAATTTGGCTGAATTCTGGCAGCATGTTGCAAAAAGCAACGAAAATGAAAAGGAAACAAACATTTTTGCACAAATAATATTCAAAACTTTATAATTTCAAAATAATTTCAAAATTGCAAATGATGAATGATGAAACAAAGTAAAAGATAACAGACAGTTTTAGATAAAAGCAAGTGAAAACTTTTGTAAGCTACAAAGCAAATTTTGATCACGTTATCACTCCCAAAAATTAGCAAAAATTTAGCTTTTTTATACTGCTTTTAACTGGCTACATTTGGCTGCCAACCACAAAATATGTGGCTGCCAACCATTCAAAACAACTGGCAAAATCCTGAAGGTCACAATTTACTCCCTAAATGAAACCACAGATACTGGTGTAAAGTGTTTGCATTTGGTAACGATAGACAATGGGTCAATGGAAACTAGATTATTCGGTAAACGAATCTTTAAGACGATGCAGCAACCCCCGTTGAAGTATCATCTTAATGCTATGGCTTGAGTCAAAGAAAAAGTTAACGCCGAGTTTGTTACTAAATCACTCCTTACTTTTTTGCTAACTGGCAAAAATTTAAGTGAACTCTACAATTAATGCCGGGCAGATTAACTGAACCTGGTTCTATAAAAAATCAAAAATTTCAGAAAATTCCATCATATTAAAAAGTCTCTCTCTTAAAAGACATTCTCTTTTAGCTTCGACCCAATTCGTTTTATAACCACATGCTATGACGTTTATTCGACCTCAGTTTTGTAATCCATGATATTTATTATTCGTAATGGGACATCTTAAGGCCCCACATTCCTAAAATTGGGCCTTTTTTCTGGAAAGATGGGGCCCTTTTTGCCAGATTTTAAAGGGGGCCCACCGGCCACGGGCCGATGGGCCGGTGGGCCACTTCGCCACTGGCCCTTAGGCCCCGCAAAATATGACCCTCTATTATGCTTTTGTCCCTTGTTCAACACGATGTGGCTGGTGTGTTAGCTTTGTTTGAAGTCCCTTTGAGACGTGCAACAGCTGCTGTTCCAGTCCAACCGCATTGTTCTAGTAACACCGTCCTTCTGTTGATCGGGTTATCTCGGAATTCGTTTGAGTGCACCGTTGCCTGGAGAGAAGCTTCGAGGCAAATGAACGAACCAAGTCGTCATGGAAAAACAAAAGATATTCCGAGATGAAACGCAACAAAAAGGTACGAGCATTCAATTTTACATTTCACAGTCCCTCTAGCAAACGCTTTGAAATTATCTTGACACTAATCTATCTGTATCAGCAGTTACCAATATTTGGTTATTATCCCATTCATAAAAATATCGAACTGGTAATACATTGCAAATAAGGTACTCATTCCTTGTACATAAAAAGGAAATTTGGCTGATAGAACTACAGATGTGATGGAGATATAACAACGCATAGGTTCAAAACAGAACAGAACGACATCCTACCCACACAACTTTCTGTCATATGAAACTTCCCGGGGGGTAACGCTTATGTGTAGTTGAACGGGGTCATGCCACCCAGATGGGTGGGTTGGATTTTTTAAAAATCCCAAAATATGGGTCTCCGAAATGCCCTTAAAAATGCATTGATTCCCATGAAAATGGATTAGCTTCACTTTCGAGAACCCCTAATTTCGTGTTTATACAAAATCCTTTTTGACTAAAGTGATGTTTGCTACGTAATTTATTTAATCAGTTGTAGTTCGTCATTTTTCAGTCTTTCAGGGAACGCTATCCTAAAAATATGAGATCTAGCAAACAGTGGCGGCCTGGCCCTTTTCGCCTGGGGGGCAGCATCAAAAAAGACTAACACTATCGTCTTTTCCTGAGAATATTGGCAGTACAGTGTAGCATGTGCTTCCCGGAACTGATTGTTATTGTATGTAATTTAATAATGTCATCGTCTCTATCTGAATCTTTGTACTCTGTTGTTTGCACAGTATGTCTGTTGTTCTCCACTCAGACCAGGGGCGAAACTTTGATAGTACCCTTATGCATGAAATTTATGATATGATGGGAATTAAGAAATCTCGTACTACTGCCTATCACCCTCAAGGGGATGGACTTGTGGAAAGGCAAAACCGCACATTGCAGCAAATACTGTCTCACTTTGTAGCAGATAGTCCTAATGATTGGGACCAGTGGTTAGATCAGGCAGTATTTGCTTACAATACCAGCGTACACGAATCCACAGGTTTTTCCCCTTATGAAATTGTATTTGGTCACCCAGCGCGTATGCCTCTTGAAGTTGAGTTAGGCATCCCTCTATATAACCCTTTAAATCATTCAGAGTATAGTCAGTCTCTTAGAAAATCTATTCAGAATGCCAATATTCTTGCTAGACAACAGCTAGAGAAGGCTAGAAAGAAGCAGAGTGCACTTTATGACAAGGGTCACAAATCCTGGACCCCTTTGGAACCGGGTCAGACAGTTTGGTTATGGAGACCTAAGCATTGGAAGTTTGGGAGACGATGGACTGGACCATACAAAATAGTTTCCAGGCAAGGGGTTAATTACAATATCCAGTCCAATAGTGGGAAATTGCTTGTGGTTCACCATAACCAGCTCAAACCATGTCCCATTCCATTTGACCAAGGGCAACCCATACATCCAGTACCTGAAACACCAGGTATCCAGATAGGAGAAGCTCTACAGAGGGATGAGCAGGAAGGGGGCCAAGGAGGTCAGACTGAGGAACTGCCAGACCTGCACGCCTTCGCCAAGTTATAAATCCACCAAGGCGATTTGGAGAGTTTGTGGTACATTAAGCAGACACACTGCATACCCTTTTGTACAAGGGAGGGGAGGGTGTAGCATGTGCTTCCCGGAACTGATTGTTATTGTATGTAATTTAATAATGTCATCGTCTCTATCTGAATCTTTGTACTCTGTTGTTTGCACAGTATGTCTGTTGTTCTGTCTTGATGTGTTGATTAACAAACTGTGATGTTGTATAGAATGATTAGATCTAGATTGTAAAGATCAGTTGTTGGATTGAATATGAACATATGAACATATGAACTTGTATTTGTCTTCCTCGCTACAACAGGGGCGGTGCCAAGAAATTCTAAGTGGGGGGGGGGGGGGGGGGGGGGGGGGGCTCGAGTTAATAGCTTTATTTGACTAAAAAACCTACATTGGGAAGTTCCGGCGAGAGGTTGTCGGATGCCCTTGGTATAACTACGATACTTGGAATAAAAGAGGCTTTCTTGCGAGCGGAGCGAGCAGAATATTTTTTGCGACCACGCCCTTTAGATTGGCTTAAAAAACATTTCAAAATATTTCTTGCAGTCATTTACTTGAAATCGTCTAAAAGTTTTGCTATTTTTAGGGCATCCTTTTAGCACGTTTGATTAATTCCAATCTTAAAATGGATTTCATTACTTTGTAATAAGGAAAAGAATCCATCTTATCTTTGTATCGTCGAGACAAATTGGTCCTTTCGTGAGAAATGAAGCAATGAGACAAAATCTACAGACCCCCACATGACCAGGTCTCTGAAGGCCGCAGAGCCAAAAAGACTCATCGAAAATCAAAATTTTCCCTGGAAGGGGGGCATGAGTCCGGCACCCTAAACACAGACTGTCCCCCAACACCCTAAACACAGTCTGTGTGCACTATGAGTGCTGTGTTCTCCACACGAAAGAATTTAACTATGTAAGTTTCCTGACAATCCTCTAAAAAATTGATTAATTTTTCTGCCTTGCGAACAGTACAAACGTTTTGTCTGGATAATACAGTACTGAAGGGGCACAAAGACGTGCCCTTGAAGTTGGAATGTTCTAGGGGGTATGGGTTTGAATTTTATGGCGTCTTTTTTGTCTTTGCCCCCTAGAGAACTAATAACCTGACAAGTCGGCCTTATCAAACTTTCTTTGAGTTTTCGGCGCCCTATACAAGCTTTGGCGCCCCTATAAAAATGTCAGCTGGGGGGCCCTGCCCCCCAGCCCCCCTGCCAGGCCGCCACTGCTAGCAAAACATGATACCTCTCCGGATTGTTCGTGTCCAGGGAGGGTCATATTGGTCTGGGCAAAAAGAATTAATTTGAGGCTTTAAGCAGCTGTTTCGTTTGTTATTCCTCTGCCTTAATTGTCTATAAGGAAGCACCGTTTTGTCGATCATTTCCTTTGAGACCTTTGCGTTTACTTCGTAACGTAAAACAAAGAAAGAAAGGTGTCAAAAAAGTTCAACCCAATGGTGTTCTTTATTGCAGTTTGAATCGCTTTTGATAGTGCCATAAAAATAAATTGAACTTAAAACATTTATGCATATCGTCTGGATTTAGAAGGCCAAAGACCTTAGATTTAAAAGGCCTTACAATTTTTGATAGCAAAAATAATTTGTTAACAGCATTAAATTTGCCATTTTGCATTCTATCTTTGCGCATTATTATCCTTTTATCCTTTAAATCTACTTGCTGAAAGTATATATTTATTTGTCGTCCGTGAAGCAGCTCTGCTGCCATGGTCTCTTAATAATTTCATTGGAATTTGTTCAGCTACTGTCGTGGCCTGCAAAAAATCGCGCGCTGCAAAAATGCATTGAAAATGTGTCAACAGGGGCGTACCTACCGGGGGGTTTGCAGGTGGTACACTCCCCCCCCCACTTTTGGAAAGTTGGTCGGTAAATTTTACGGATAGTCAGTAAATGTTATGGATTGTCGGTAGATGCGTATCTTGACTTTATATAGTATATTGGTGTGTATACATTAACTAGCAAGAGTTAAATTTTGGTCGGTGAATTCACCAGTTTACACCCCCTCCCCCCACTCCAAATCGTCAAGGTACGCCCCTGTGTGTCAATCAACAATAGGCAGGATCAACGCCAAACGGCAAGGGGCAATCTAACGTAAAATAATATGATATGATTAGCTAAAAGTTTCAAAAGATTGTCTAATTCGCCCGGCGAGGCCGGCAGGGTTTTCGCTTGCCATTTCCTAAAACAAATTGCAATCGAGGCTTGCAACCTCAGGGGTCATATTGGTCCTGTTGGGGTCATTTCGGTCTGGGAGTCATATTGGTCTGCAACATTAACATTAATGTTTATGTTTAAATTGCTTGTATGTAGTGGAATTTTGAAATAAAAACTAAACTGAACTGAACAGGCCTCATTTGCCAACAAAGTGAATGAGACAGCCTTAATTTGCTGAAAAATTTGAATATTCACCGAAAAAGCACCTACACATTGCTAAAAATCCTCGATTTTGAGAAAAAACGTTGTTCAAAATTGCATTTTGCAGAAGCTCAGCCTCAGCTTGTTCTTAATTTGTTCTTAACTTTTGATGAATTTTGAGGCCCGTGTTCTTATAGAATTGTTCTTATAAAAAAGAGTGTAGTTTAATAAATCAGTTGTAGTTCGTCTTTCTTTCAGTCTCTTCCATGCCACTTAAACTTGATTCCATAAGCCTTAGAACTGGGTAATTTTGATATATTTTGGGCAGCACTCCCCCGTCATTCTTTGGCTCAAGTAACCCCCCTCCCCCCCTCCGGGTGGATAGCTAAAGCTTGTAAAAGCGCTAGTTTGGACTTCGTTAAACAAAGTTTCGTTTGTTTTGTTATTTGTAACCTTAGTTATTTATCAATTTTCGCACTTGAAATTGTCAGGGGCGTACCGAAGAAGGGAAATCGTGTTAGCTTAATGAGATAGTTGACCGACAGAAAGCACTGTTACAGTCAGAATAGAAAACAGTGGCGTAGCCAGCCTAATGACATTGGTCATACCCTTCCCTCTTTGTTGAAAATTTCGAAGTTGCGGTCAGGTTTTGCCACACCCAACTGTTGAACAGATGAGTTCTCTTTAAATTAAAAAAACTGAGGCGTAGTTTAGACAGCGCGTTATGAGCGCAGCGAATAAAATTCAATTAGATGCGCTCAAAATGCGTCCGTGGAGCGCTTCAATTTATTGTATGCTTTTAGACAGCGAAGCGAATTGAATTGATTCATATTTTGATTCATATTTGAATTCAATTATTTGCTTCGCTCTCGGATTTAGTCAGCGAATTAAAATCGCATTAAATTGACACTCACAATATTTTATGGTCAATAATTTAATTTGCTGCGCCCATAAAGCGCTGTCTAAACTACGCCTGAGACGCATAACTTAAAGGGCCTCTCCAGCCAAAAAATTTTTTTTTATTGACTAAAAAGTTAGCACCTGGTGCGTGTATTATGGCAAAGTCGTTGTTTTTGCATCTAAATCTACAGCAGGAGCTTTTTAGGATCGAAAAATATTAAATGTTTACAATCATTCTAAGTCTGCGGGTCGGAATGTGTCCATGCTGTGTCACGCCTTTTTTTTGATCACCTGTGTAGGCCACTTCAGTTGTTCTCCAGAAACGATGAACAACTAAAGGCTTCAGAATTGGTGTCTGAAATGCTCAAACTAAAAGCCGGTGGAACAGAACTGCCTACAGATGGAGAGTACCATCACTTGCAGTGTTCAATTTGCGAATCGCTGTCGTTCGATTCGGTTTGAGGCGAGACTAACGAAATGCACAGTGACGTCAAAATTGCGTCACAGTGTCACCAAACCCAAAATTTTTTGTCGGTTAATTCAATTCAATTATCGAAATGCAAGGGCTTATATCTCACAAACTGTAAAAAATATCGAAAAACAAATAACGAATTCGTGATCAGCTGGTTCAACTTCCTAAGATTAGCCAATAAAATGCAAGTGCAAAATTTGGCTGGAGAGGCCCTTTAAGATACAATGCAATGTAAAATACCAGAAGTGTTTATTCTGCTGGAATGAGAAATGTCCAGACGAAACTTTGGTATACGAGCTTTTTTAGTAAACAAATAACTTACAACCTTGAATGAGTTCGTGTCATAGCAGTAAGACTGTTTTGAGTTGTTGGTCGACTTCAGAAAAATTTCTTAAAATTTGCAAACAGAACTGTAGACAATGCCGTCAGAACGAAATTAATTTTTAGGAGGGGCTGCCTAATGTATTGGTTCCTATTCAGTACACTGTTATAAAGGAAATTAACTACAGTTTTGAGAATTATTGGGGGCTCCAACCCGCCCCCCAGCTCGAGCCACCCCCAAGCACCCCTCTCCCGCCCCCCGCTTCCGACGGCCCTGCGTAGGAAAAACATAAAAGCAATACTGCCAAAGTTAAGTAGATGAATTGTGTTTCATGCTCGTTTGCTCTTTTAACAAAATATCTTTCATAATGATGGATTTAAACTGTTCATCGAATTGACTGGTCTTGCATTGAAGTCAAAGAGTTAACGCATTCAACGGATTTTGAATGTCACTCCAAAAATCTTTTTCATCAAAAAGTAAATAATTTTCTACTACATCTTCTGCTTCCATTGATAAACTATACTAATTATTCACTTTATAATCCACAGGGAACGACAATTCATTCAAAACACTGTCCAGAAAATGGAAGATATGTATCATTCTCCTATTTTTGGTGTGCCTCGTATTGTTGATCGTCGTTATCACATTAGCAGTAAGAAATAACTCGAAGGGAACAGATAGACACTCGGCAAACCGTGCTTCTACATCGTGCACTTCGCCTTTCAAGCAGAACCTTAAAATGGATGGGGAGCCCAACATCTTTCAAGATTTAACTGAAGGCGAGCTAACAGCAGTCCACAAATACCTTCAAGAACAAGCATCTCTCAACCTTACAATATTTGAAAAGGCAACATTAAACGACAACTTTGTTTATGGTGTTGAGCTGTTCCTCCCAAACAAGGACGATGTCTTGAAGTACCTTGACAGTGGTGGCTCAAAACCTCAGCGTCGAGCAAGAGCGATTGTTTTTCACGGGAGCGCTAACGAACCGTTCGTCAGAGAATACATCGTTGAAAATCTACCAAAGCCAACCACACATAAAATTCTCAAACTTGACAATCGGAAAGAAAAGATTCCGTACTACGGTAGACCATTCACGTTCATCGATGCTAAACATATGTTTCCTGTCATAAAAAGAGAAACTGAACAACTTTATCCGTTGCTTAAAGAAAGCTTTGGCAGCTGGATCCACAATTGTTCGGACCATTGCTTACATTGGTTCGCTATTGGTGAACCAGGGAAAAACGAAGTTGGAAAAAGATACAGCTGGGTATGTTAACTGCTAAATTTGTCAGTTCTTCTCTTTGTGAGTTTAGGGTGAAAATGGTAGAATGGGTACAGCCAGGCCAACCGAGGAGGGCGGATTCCCCAAAAGTTCGAGCTGAGAGGGGACCAAAAATTAGTTCCCTTGTAAGTTAGTTCCTTGCAATAACCACCACAGTTCTCAATACCTGATCATTATGAGTCTTTTTTCGTAACTTACATTGGTTCTTCATTCTGGATTTGTCTGCAAACAAATGAATCTACGGATTTCTTATGATTTTATTCTCGTTATCTGCGCAGTCTTAGGGTTTTAAACCCAAAATCTTACGGCTGGACACAACCGTAGTTTGACAGGTATGGATTTCTACAACATTACCAAATTGAAAATTGATCATGTTTGGTAGAATTAGGAAATTCTGTTCAGAACTGGAGAATGATAAAAGTTTTGCATTTGTTTGGTATAGTCACCAATAGCGGGTGAGCATTTTGTTCTCGTGGAGCCCAATGCACTTATTGCTTCATTACATTTAAAGCAAATAAATATGTGATAACTTTTTTTACCTCAAAATAGGTGATGTTTAACCGTCGTTATGATCGGCAGTTGCAGTATCTTATGTTGGTTCCGCTTCAAATGCTCTTTGAATACTCAGATGTTAACAACATGAAACTGATTGAGGTAGGCATTCATTCACTTCATTTCTCAGACAAGTATAAACAACTTATTATAAAGAAATCGAACATAGAAAAAAGGGATAAAGTATCATGATAATGACATATAGAAAGAGCAGCAAGCAATATAGAAATAACAAAACTGTACTGGGTGAATACTGATAAAATATATCAAATGGGAAAGCTAAAGAACGAAAGTCAAACGACTTTTATTAAATGTTGAAGGGAGAAAAGAAAGCAAAAGCTTTAACTATTGACCATTCCGTCGAAATAAAATGCAAATTAGCAAAATACCAACAAGCACTGAGACACTTTCTTGGCCTCCACTAGGTATCTAACTGAAATAAAGTGCGTATAAAGCACGGAAATCGTTTAGAAATAGATTCCTAGATTCAACTTTTGAACTCCTTTCGTCTTTTCTTTTTTACGTAGCCCTTTAATTTTTTTTCAATTACCTGGTTTATCAGCATACTAGAAATTTACATGACAATCAACCTCTGTTCTAGGTCGTTTATTACAATCAAAAATTTCAAAGTACAAAGCAACTGATGGCAAAGTATATAGCCGGGACATTGAAAGTTGTTCACGTTCCCAAGCCAAATAAAACTGAGCTTCTAAGAACATCCATCAAAAGAAGAGGCCCGAAACAACCATCGGTTCCATTGCGTGGCCCAACACTGGTTGAACCTAATGGGAAAAGATTCTCTGTACAGGGAAACAAAGTTTCTTATATGAACTGGCAACTGGAATATGGGATACGTGCAACTGGAGGCCTGGGCCTCTTTGACGTCAGATTTCAAGGCAAAAGGATAGCATACGAGATAAGCCTTCAAGAAGGTACCGCTTTTTACTCAGGATTTAGTCCACTTACGTCGAATAGACATTACATTGACTCCACGTGGGGAATGGGCACAAGCAATACTTATCTAATGGAGGACATTGATTGCCCATCAACGTCAGTATTTATTGACAGTACCCATTTTATAAAAACAAGTACTCCTGTCAAAAATAAACAGTCAATATGTATATTTGAAACAAACACTGGTACGCCATTATGGAGACATTTTGAGATCGAAATCAACAAGCAGTCAACAAAGATAGATGGGGCGCGCTTTCAAGGAGGAATGGCGGGCCATTCTCTTGTTATAAGAGTCATATCAACTCCGTTTAATTATGATTACATATTCGACTATATATTACATCAGTCAGGAGTCATTGAGGTACGAGCAACTGCCTCTGGTTACATCCAGCCTGGCTTTGCAACTGAAGAAGAAAAACAGTATGGCTTTGTAAACTTCGTCAATGCTATCGGGACAATACATGATCATTACATGCTTTATAAAGTCGACCTTGATGTCGCTGGTGTAAAAAATAGTTATCAAACTGTCGATGTAATTGCTCGCAATGTTAGTTATGAATGGGAAGACAATACATACCGAATAAAGAAGCAAATAGTCAAGGAGAAGAAAGCCCGAGAGAAAGATGCAGTTTTGAGATACGATTTTCAAAAACCAAAGTACTATGTTTTTATGAATGAAAATGAAAAAAATGCATATGGAAACTCAAAAGGATACAGGATTGACATTCAAAACAAAGTCAAACAGTTATACACTGATGATTACTATATTACCAAAAGCTGTGCTTGGACCAAGTACCAAATGTCTGTTACGAAGCGTAAAGATCTGGAGCCGTTTGGATCCTCAATATACAACCAGTTCACGTTCTCAGACCCTGCTGTCAATTTTGATACCATGCTGAATGACAACGAGGCGATCGAGAATGAGGATCTGGTTGCATGGGTCAACATTGGCGGATTGCACATTCCAAATACAGAGGACATTCCCCTGACTACTACAGTTGGCAGCTCTTATGGCTTCCTGATCAAACCATTTGGATATTTTGACGAAGACCCAAGCCACGGCTCCACAACCTCTGTTTTAGTTGATAAAGCGGCAGATGGCAAGTACGATATAAAGACCTACGGTACGCCTGAAACGTCGTCTTGCCCTGTTCCAAAGCGAAAAACTTGGATGTAAATTATAGGCATGAACTATGATCATCATTTTTTCTATACAAAGGGACATTATCCTAGTTTTTAATCCTAGTTTATGAAGTATTTTCTCGTCACCATAGTTGGCATTAAAGGCATTGAGTCATGATAAATAGACTGGGTATACCCTAAGTGCCAAAATCCGCTGAGTCATGATTTTCATGACTGCGATGCTATTGGTTGACCTTGAACTGGTCACATGAACTCACCTCGTACTGATTAACATAACAGTTTCCATCAATAGCAAGTTGTCAACAACGGATGCCAATATCACATGAAACAGCAGCGATCACGCCGAAACCAAATGACCTCCTATAGAGAAAACCTATTTACCATGACTCAATGCCTTTAAGGGTATCTGCTTCTAATTTTGACGCTTTGCAGTAGCATTAGGCTTGTTTACTGACTTTTTCACCTTGTAACATTTGGACCAAATGGATGGCAGATCAACTACCAGAAAGAGAGAGAGCAAAGGTATCAGAGCAAGCATTGTTGAAAATAACAAGGGGATAGGAAGTTATAGAGAACTATGATCGCCTACGTCCTCACAGGGCACGGTAATTCTTGGGATAACAATCTCTGATTTATACTCTATGGAATCTCTGAAAAGCGAATTGTCATTTGAGATACACTTTCCCATGAACATGATTTGTTATCAGTTATTTGGAGAGAATGTGTGAGCTTAAAAGGCTCTAATGCTTTGTACCATTTTGTTTGTTGTCAATGTGTTTGAAATACAAATTTAACCAGAAAATATCAATTAACATCTGCAGTTGCAACAACAGTAACTTTTTCTAAGCTGGAGGTTCTTTTTCTGGCACGCAGTTCTTTGGGTGAGTCTTTTCTTTTGTATTTAGAGTCCTCTTTTCTACCATTCGGAGGGACCACAGAAGTATCATCCAACCACTCAAAATGCTCCCGCAATTTACTTAAAATCGTACAAAAAACAATGTTGCTCGAGGTGTTTTTATACTGAAAACCTTTTAGCAACCAAACTGGCTAGATTTTCAATTTCCTTCTCGATCGGCCATACCTAAAGCATTGAACAACAAAAGGATGGTAGCAAAGACTGCTTCTGAAAGCCTTGATTGAAGTTAGCTCAATTGCTTTAGATTATGTTTTACTTGTTTAATTGGCAGTAGAGTTGAGCTGTTTCGCCTCGTCTGGTGCTTTTTGTGAATGAATTTGACCAATGAGAACACCACTCGTTTCAAAACTCCGTTATGTGTTCTGTAAGGCCTGTATCTACAGTTGTGTTATTGTCTTCAGGTTTGGTCACCTGGCAGCTATCTAAATTGTTTAACAATCTACACAAGCTCAGCAAAATCATTGATTATTTTATATATTTTTGTTATGTTTGATCAGCCTTCAGTTCCTGCAATGAACACGCAGCACGTTTCTTGACAAATATGATTAGGATTGCCATTTATCAGCATCTTACCATTCAAAAGAAGATTGCCCTCTGATGCAGTGACTAATTGAATCCGCAGAGAAGAAGCCCGAGCAAGAGTTTTCACGAGGGTTTTTTTTGTTCAGCACATCTACAAGGCCTCAGCTACTATCTTTTGCTACATTGTTTGGGAAAGATTTTTACCCCCCAATAAATTCGTTCTATTGAAAAGTATCAATTTAAAATGGAGATGGTCTTAAGCTTCATTTTGCTGCATTTACTTGCAATAGTTAGTGGGCACGCTGACCACGACGGTGCACATGCAACATTATCTGATAGTGAGCATTATGAAAAGGGGAAAGAACACAACCTTGATTACGATCATGAAGCATTTCTTGGACGTGGACATGGACATGATTTTGACAAACTTTCAGAAGCAGAATCCAAACGGCGTCTAAGAATTATAGTGGATAAAATTGATGTTAACAAGGACGGCAGTGTTTGGAAGACGAGCTGTTTGAATGGATCGAGCGACAGAGGACCCGCTACATGTGGGAGATGCTTGATGACGTAATACGCGACGATGATAAAAATAAAGATGGAAAACTAACATGGCAGGAATATAAATCTTCGCATTATGGAGACTGGGATCACGAAGCATCTATGGATAATGTGAGTTTGATAAAGGCCCTATTAACCATTTCTTTTAATTCATTCAACTTTCATACCTACTTTTGCAAGTTTAACAGTCATGATACAATTGGTAAAAGTACTGTTTGCAATCTGAACAGCTATAAGCCCTAAACAGCTATAAATTTTTTGAAAAAGTATAAGATTTCAAGGCTCTCTCATCCGACAAAGCACAAAATATTCAAGTAGACAAAAACAAATTATTCCTGTCTGAGGCATTTATTCCTGATTCGTTCAAATAAAGAAGGAAGGATTTCTTGAATGATAATAACTGTGATTTTTACACGTACATTATTTAGAAAACTGTCTAGATTGCCTGCCAAGCGTTTAAAGGCTCTGTTTATCTAGACTATTTATATTTGTTTTGCTAAAACAACGAATAATGTCATACAGACAAGCTAGAAACTCGTATCAAATCTGTTTATCTAGCTGAATCATCAGAGCAGGCCGAACAGCTAGGCCCATTTTGTTATTGTTCGCAGGAGTGTGTGATAAGTAAAGAATACTGTTAACCGATCAGTTACGTAGTGCTCGATGTTGTATAGACAGTGCCGTTTATGTTTTTGGTGTGCAAAATTAATGTGGTTCTAAGTTTGTGCTTGTGTATATTTTAGGAATTAAAACGTAAAATGAAAAGAGATCAGAACAAATTCGAAGAAGCTGATGAAAATAAAGACGGGTTCCTAGAGCGACATGAGTATGTGTATTTTCGCCATCCAGAGGAGAGCCACCGTGATGTTCTTCAAAACATAGCTGCAAACGAGGTTTTGGATGACATAGACCAAAACGGGGATAGGTAGGCGAGATTCCTTGCTTCATTTGATAAGTAATAACTTCTTTACTTATTGTAGCCTATTTTTGACAGGATTTTCTTAACCACTTATCTAAGGTAACCTTCTAGCGGTCTTAAAGACCATAGCCCGATTCTAGGAGTACATGTTTTAACTTAGCCAATTCCATTCAATCGATACAAAATTTTAATCGATCCCAGTTAATTAATTTCTAAAAAGTTGTTGCTCGTCTTCCATTACAATTGCTTGATTTTGAAATTACTGCAAAGTGAATCTTAAGGTTAAGATGGAGTAACTAGTACAAAGATGGATGTGACAACGCTTAAAGGTTCCGAAAAGTTGAAAATCAATGTGAGTAAAATACTGACCTTTGAGCCGACGTTTGAAAGTTCCAACTTTTTGATAGAATGCTCAGTATGCTTTTATGCTTTGTTCAGCTTTGAACGCATCTGTAAGGAGTTTGTCAAATCAGTGATGGCATCAAACAATAAATACTTCAAATGGTAAACTTCTATGATAAAATGGGACTTCATTGTTACGAGAAAAGGAATTGCAAATTAGTTTTTCTTGAGTCTTTGACTTGTTAGTTGAAAGCCGAAGCTCTTTCAACGAATTGCCAGCATAGTTTACACATTGACAAGTTAGTTAAAACTTAAGTCTGTTTAATGCAATTTGTTTTAGTTATTGATTTGTATGCAAAAACTGGAAATTTACTAAAAGCGAACTGACCTGTTGGAATCTTACCATATTTTAAATTCGTTTTCTCCTATAGGATTATAGATCTAAAAGAGTTCTTAGGCCAGTACAATGATAAAACTGACGCGCCAGAGTGGATTATAGAAGACAGAAAACATTTCGTAGAAACATTGGACACCGACAAGGATGGTTCACTAAATTTTGTAGAGACAAAGGCATGGGTAGTTCCAAAAAAAGAAGAGTCGCGCAAGGAAGCTCAGCACTTGATAGACGGGGCGGACGACAACGGGGACAAGACGCTCTCTGCTGATGAGATAGTCCTGCACTTCAACCTGTTTGTAGGTAGCATGGTGACCGAGCATGGGAAGACACTCAACAAACACGACGAATTCTAGTTAACATAGAGTTATAGTTGAATACAAATTGCAATCACCAGCCTGTTACAAAATTTGACTATTCTGCTGTTTTAAGAAATGCTTGTATATAGCTATGAAGAAATTCTGTTTGTTTAGATAAACTATCACTAGAATATAAACAAGATTTAAATTTTATAGGATCTCTAGTCACAATTAATTTAAATCTACAATTAGCAAAACAAGTACGTTAGATTGCGCTTTTTTCTCCAGCGTATTGTTATAAGATGTTTTAAATACTTCAGATCAATTGTAAAAGCAGTTTTGTATCTGTGTGTGTTTTTCTAATGTAGGAAATGTTCTGGGGAGCCCAGCAACTCTAACGAAGAATTAGCCACCGACAAGCGCTACAGTCCGAGGTCTAGATATTAAGATAACTTAAACAAGTTATATTATTTTGGAAGCAAAATAATTAAAAATGGAATGTTTAAAAATTCAGAACTCCAAAGTTTCGTGATTTTTATGATTGGCTAGTTGTCATATACTTTAACTCGCAAACAATCTTCAGATGTCTCGCAAACAAACAACTTAAGAAGTCTCCTATCTTTTGTAATTGTATAAAATAATAAAACATGGAGCAGAAGGTTGTTTATAACATGAAAATTACATAAAGGATCCAAGATGCTAAACTGATGACATTAAATAGACCAAATCTTACGCAAAAATGGGTACGGAAATTCATTGTTTTGTTTGATACTTAAGTTCTATCAGCGGTGAACCACACATGTTTGCTTGCTCCATGTCATATAAATACACCTGCCCATACGAAATTCCCAATCGCACAATTGAAAGACTGTTTAGTTCTTTCAGAAAGTAGCCCGATAGTGTGAATACAGGCACTGACAAAATAATGCAAACCCCAGACAAAGAAATACAAATTCGCTATATTTGGGTATATTCAAGCTATATATTTGGGTATATCAAGCTTCCCTAACTCAAAACTAAACGAAATTATTTGTTTTACTTGCCAATTTCCGAATTAGTAGCCTGTGTCCAAGACCCCTAACTTGTAAGTAGAGGTCTGGAGCACAGGCTACGAAAGCTTAGTATTGACTTATACTTATGTGTACTTGAATTTCACGTATTGAAATAAGCCAGCACCAATCTGCACATCCTAATTGAACGATAATGTAAAAATAATTCCAAGTTCATGTTATGCAAGACTTGCTATTTAAAATTGATTTAGTGACACCTAATCCTGTGGAGATTCCTATCCTGGTAGCTGTTCTCATTCTTATCATCGGCATAGACTTTGTAGTTTCTTTTTAGTTTCATATTCTTTATTAGCGAGAAATCAAGTAATGAGAAATCAATCGAGAAATTAAACCATGTCAGATCACAAAATTATCCCAAATTAACTCACGTTAACTCATAGTGGAAACCAAGCTTTAAAAAAGCAACACCCGTTAGCTGCACACATTTAAGTGACTACGCAGGAGATGAAGTGAAAACGAGACAAAACTCATCGACAGCTGCCATCTTGTTTTTTAGTTTGGGGTTGAGGTGTTAGAGGGTGTTAGCGTCTAGGCAAGCAAGATGAGCAAGGATTTCAACTTTCCATTGTGTCCCGAAGTTGGAAAGTATGAAAAGCTGGCGAAGATCGGACAAGGAACATTCGGGTAAGGTTAAAATTATCCAAACTCGTGACAGCTAAGGAAAGTTTTCGATTGGGACCCGTAAAAATTTGGACTATTGATGTTATAGGCTGTTTTCGTTTAAGATGAAGTACTGATAAAGTTTTAAGTCCCTTCATTTTTGCCGATAATTTATTGAAATTGATAGTAGCCAAGACTGTTATACTTTCCTGCAATAGAAACGCATTCTCATGCAACCAACTTTCCATACCTAGTAATTCATTTCCCATTCATTCCCCTACTACTTTGGACCATAATTAAAGTGAAAGCCATGGTGCTATGCAAGAGATCTGTGGCATTGAATTGACCTCTAGAGAATACCACACTCAAGCTAAGCCTGTTTTTAAATCCCCTTGGATAGAAATTTATAAATAGAACCTTTATACCCAGATGTTATATTTAAAAACCTCTTAAGAAACAAGGAGTATTGAAATTTCCCTAAGCATTAAGAAACTGGAATACTCAACATTGACATTTGCTTTTTAAGTAGAAAATGAGTGTATATAAAAATTTTTCAAAATTCATGTTACCCCTTCTGGCAAGCCTCTAACATAGAAGAAACAAATTCAACTATAGCAGTCTTGGTTGTAGCTCTGTAAAAGGATGTTGTATGTTCTTTTGTACTTGTGTGACAATGTTGTTTAGTGTTTTGGTCACAGAGTAGTGAGTTAATTTGAAAACTTTCAGAGAGATATTTAGGGCTGAATATGTTTAAAGCTAGCATGAAATAATAAACTTGTGTGCCAAAGAAACTCATTTAATGTGAAGTTCTGAATTACATCAGGCATCTCCATAAATATTTTAGCAGGTGTGGCTAATTGTTCATCAAGGCACTCTATTCGTAACTTCCGGTTTTAATCACACAGAAAAGCAATAATATTGTACTATTGATGTTACAGCTTTCCATTGGATTTTAGAGCTTTATGGTACCAATGTATAATAAAGCTTTTATCTTTCAAGTGTAATAGACACCCACAAAATAAACTGCTATTATTTTGATCCAAACATTAATGTGTAGTAGTTATGTACCGAACAATATGAAACAGTTATGAAACCTCTCTATTTGGCGTAGAACCCTTGACAATAATTTAATCATTTGTGGAAATTGCTCTCTTTGGAATACAGATGAATGAGAATAGATCACTGAGAGCTGCCTCAAATCCATGCGGAGAATGAAAACAAATCATCAAAAAATCTAATAAAATCTAGAAATGGCCTTGTTGAAGTAAACATGAACATAACAATACAATTAAGCATTTACCTAGTTCGTTTCAAAAGTTTTATCAAGGTTAGTGTTTCAGTAGAAAAATTATAAATCAGTGCATGCTAATTTCTGAATGTGAAAGCCCTGGAATCCTGTTAAATACCTAAGATTTGTATAGCTTTGTTTTAAAGCACCGCCATGGATAATTTCATCTATGGTATGTTTAAGAGGACACAGGCTTGTACAACATTGAATAAATTTGATGTTTGTCTTGATATCCTGACTTTTCATCCCTGCTGTTGCAATTATTACACTTTTCCAGATACCTTTTTTGAATGTTCAAAAACCTTGTGTGCCACTCATTAAGTTTTTCAGATTAAAAGAAAGCAGTAAGTATTTTTACTTAGAATACTACAAAGGAAAGGCAGTTTGCAGATATCAGGAGGATTACTGAAATACTGAAAAGTAAATCGGTTCTCATTCAATGTATTTAATTATTGAAATATTGAAATATTTTTATCTGATTAATGTAAGAGGGTCATCTCCTTTTTCAGTGAGGTCTTCAAAGCACGTCATCGCAAGTCTAGAGCTTTGGTTGCCCTCAAGAAAGTTTTGATGGATAATGAAAAGGAAGGGGTTAGTTTGAACATTTTCCTGATGTCTGTCTATTTTCTGTATTAGAATTCTTTGAAATTGATGCACTGGGGTAAATTGTTGAGAAACAGGTGTTCAAAGAATTGTAAGCAGATTTTGAATCAATTTTCAAGGCAAGGCTTGTGATGTGAAAGTTAGATTTAGCCATCTAATCAAGTGCTGATTCTGATCTTGTTTGCCATACTCTTTTCTATGAACTGCATGGACAATGTAGTCACAAAGAGCTCTTCTTTCAGTTTCCTATCACAGCCTTGAGAGAAATCAAGATCCTCAAACTTCTGCGTCATGAAAACATTGTCAATTTGATAGAGATTTGCCGCACAAAAGGTATCAATTATTATATTCATGACAACATTTATCTCCAGTTTTTATGAAAGTCATTATTTGAGCCTTAGCCTATTTCCAGTGTATGTTATAATGCTATAAGAGTTATTCTTGTAAGGCAAATGCTTATCCATTATAACCATCTCTCAGTCTCAAAGAAACAAAAATCTATAGCTCTTGCAGTACTGTTCCCAACAGTAATTTTCTAATAACGAAAATTATCCTAATCATTCAAGTTACCTTTTAAAGGTTGGCTTGGAATTTTCAGGTTTATCAGTGACAAGTTTTTCAGAGACATCATTTAACATTTTCAAGCTCAATTTGCCTGATAATGGTTTTTTATAGTGTTGGTGTCATGACTAATGGATATATTATTTTTAATAAAATCTTAAAGGCTTTAGGACTCATGTTTGGAACTCTATGATAGAATTGTTTGAATGTGATCAATAACTGCAAGCCTTTAAAAATTTAATTATTCTGTTTTGCTTGTTTTTAGCCTCACCATATAATAGGCAGAGGGCAAGTATCTTCTTGGTATTTGAGTTTTGTGAGCATGATTTAGCAGGCCTGTTGAGCAACCAGTCAGTAAAGTTCAGCTTAGGTGAGATAAAGAAGATAATGCAGATGCTTTTCAACTCCTTATACTTTATACATTTCAACAAGATTCTGCACAGAGACATGAAGGCTGCTAATGTTCTCATCACTAAAGGTGGTGTATTGAAGTTGGCAGACTTTGGGTTGGCTCGTGCCATTCATCTAAATAAAGATCTTCGTGGTAACAGATACACCAACAGAGTTGTAACATTATGGTACAGACCACCAGAGTTACTTCTAGGTGAGCGCAATTATGGACCACAAATTGACATATGGGGTGCTGGTTGCATTATGGCAGAAATGTGGACCAGAAGCCCAATTATGCAAGGAACCTCAGAGCAGAATCAATTAACATATATTAGTAATTTGTGTGGCTCAATCAATACTGATGTATGGCCTAATGTTGACAAATTAGAACTTTTTATGAAAATGGATCTCCCACAGAACTTGAAGAGAAGAGTAAAGGAAAGAGTGAAGTCTTTTGTGAAAGATCAGTATGCTTTAGATTTGATAGACAAGCTTTTGATTCTTGATCCAAGTAAAAGAATTGATGCTGATGCAGCACTGAACCATGACTTCTTCTGGACTGATCCAATGCCATGTGATTTGACACGGACACTTTCCACACTGCAAACTTCCATGTTTGAGTATTTGACTCCACCAAGAAGAGCAAACCCAGCAAGACCACAAGCAGGACCATCCCACAAACCAATACAACAAAATATGAACATGAACGGAGCTAATTATGACAGGGTCTTTTGATTAGAAAAGCATTCAGAAAGTGTTTGTCAGTAATGACCCAAGAAAACTATGTTTTTGCTAACTATCAATATGTTTTTCAGCTTTAATGTTTAAAAATTACTTTTTTATTTGGGCATTTAATAAAGCTATCAAAAATTAATTTTGTTACTGTTCTAAGTTTCCAGTGTCATAATTCTTATAGCTGCAGTATTGTTTGATTTGTTTTCATAAATATGATATTAACTGCCGAAGCTAGGGATAGTTTAGACAACCTCAGATAAGTGTAGGTTTGTATGGATACGTTAAAAATATCATCTAAAAATGAAATCATTTAATGGACATACTTTTCACAAGGAACAAAATTACAATTATTTAGATGCAATGTAGCCTTTAAACTGTGTCGTAATGTAGCCTTTAAACTGTTTAGTTAATAATGAGAGTCAAAGTGGTGCCCTGATCATTTGATTAGAGATCTTTTCATTGTCTTGCTACTTGTAACATTTTGCTTTGAGATTACCATAATTTTCCAAGGATGTTTTTGTGTAATCACATTTCTTGAATCATATGGTATGATAAAACTGTTACATTTTTAAAAGAGCTGTGTTCTTACTCTGTTATTAATTGCATGGTTTGACATTTCTTCTTACCTGTCTTTTACCTGTTTTGAATGGGCTATGTTGCTAGTTTAACTTTCAGACAAATCATCCAAGCATTCTGTAGTTGAACTATTTACTGTTTCTTGTGATTTGTCGCATTCATTCTTTAAGGATAGAAAAAGGTTTATTGAAAAAAAAACACATCTAAGTTTTCAATGGATTATTGTACAGATCATAACGCCTATGTTTCCATATAGGCATACCTTCCCGTACCTTTTCTAGGTAATCAATGTCCAGGTTTGCAAGACAGAACCCAACTCCTTCAGAACACTGTGACACTACAGCTCCCCAAGGGTCGACAACCTGAAAACAAAAGAAACAACCTGACAGAGGCCTTCAACAACTAAAACACCTAAATTACAATGCAAATTAACTATAAGCAAGGATCTCATGTTCATTTACAGAAAATAATTGACCTGGTTATCTCTGGCAGTCTTTGCATAATACACAATTGACTTCCTAACCCCCGAAAATCACAATTAATGAGCCTTTGGCATCCTTCAAATATCAACAGTATGCCTATATGGATCCCCATCCAAATGTCACTGAAGATTTTATATATTTTATGCATGATGAATGGAAGATGTTATATGTATTTTAAGAGGAAAAAATGATTCTTGATTTTTTACAAAAATCCCTATTTTTGGTAGCCCTGGTTTCATTGTTAAAAACAAAACACCCACTTTGATAACATTTCCTAGTAGTGAAACAGTTTTTTACCTTTTAGTCAGAAATGTTATAGACTGCACTGGCAGGCAAGGCAATTAAGATTTAGCTAGATTTGATCTGATTTGGCTTAACAATTTGTTGCCATTACCATTTTTATATCATCACAGACCTGGCAGTATTGTTAAATATTAAATAAGGAAAAAGTTGTTGGAAACATTGACTCTAAAAAAAGGAACGAAGGTTTTTGCAAATATGAACACATAAAACGAAAAATCTACTTCCTTATTACACAAAAATAACGCGGTACACAAAATAACGCGGAACAAATTATTGCGATCACAAAATAACGCGAATCGCGAGATTTGATTTCAAAACGTGTGGTAATGAACGCGATTCATCACAAATTCAAATATTCAAATGACATTTTTTTAACGCGAATTTTCAATGTCAGCAAATTTTTTTAACTGAAATACATTCAAATTCAGTGTAGAAATAACAAAAAATGACAGAAAAGCTGCAAGTCTAGGTGGATTGGAGATTCTAATACAGGCATCAGTTACGTGGGGTGAGCCTAAAAATGTCAATTTTAGTGGCTAAAGTGAAAAAGATCGAGTATCCCCGTGGAGAGTGTTTTGATGGCTCGAAAGAAAAGTACTAAGGATTGATGACGAATGTGTGGAATTTCAAGGGGAAGCAGTTGATAATGAGGACATTCAAATGTATAAAAAGTATTTTAAGTTTCTCTTGTACCTTACTTAAAACTAGGAAAAGATGATTTATTTTTGATAGAACTTGTGAAAAGAACACTTTCCGGTCCTTACGTGTTGGACGCTTTCCATTATCTACATTTTCAGACATAATAATTCATTTAAGATATAATCGTAAAATCTGGCTATTTTCAGTAATTTGATAAGTTACATTGAAAATCAAGGCGGGATGAAATAAGCGGATATTTATTTAACGCTAGACATTTAATAACGGATAAGAACTTAATGAAGAATTTTCCAATTCGCATTAATTAATGTATCGTGCTATTTTCGTGTATTAAGGTAATTATTCATTTACAGGTTCTTATTGCTCATTCCTATTTTTTTACACAGTCTGAAAAAGTACATTTTACAAGAACAAGATTACAAAGACAATGCCAATGGGAGCATGATAGGCATGGTTACCCATTGACCTTAACAAACAACAATACAGTAGCACCAAAGGCTATACCAAAATCCTGTTTAGACTGTACGGATAGCTGCTCATTCCTTGGTAGTTGTTGCCCGTCCCTGGTGGATCCTGGTCGAATCTTCTAGTTTCTATTGTTTTTAATTTAAGTAACCATTACATGTAGTAGACTAGTACCACGAGAATTTGGCTCGCTGCTTGGGGACTGGGAGATCATACCTACTTTCTTGGGCAAAATAGGGTGGTTGGCAGTGCTGTTATTCATCGAAATGATAGAAGTTCAATAAAGCGTACTTAAAAATCTCTTTAGTCCTCTTATTTTCAAAACAACAGCAATTTAGGATAGTAAGACTAACCATAGCATGGCCATATGATCGTCGTTGTTCAGTATGTTGGCCAACTTGAGCAGCAGCGACAACATAACATTGATTATCGATAGCTCTTGCTCTAAGAAGTACCTGATTGGGATGAAGGTCCATCATAAACAAAATCTGTGTACATTTAGATATATTTCCAAAAATGAGAAAAATTCAAAATACTAGAATCAATGACCACACTCCATCATAAACAAAACCTGTGTACATTTAGATATAATTTCAAAAAAGAGAAAAATTCAAAATACTAGAATCAATGACCATACTCCAGAAGAAACAATAATATTAGATGTAAAGCAAAGTAATATCGGGAAACGCAGTATGTGAAAATGATATTATGTTGTATATAATGATAAATAGTTTCTGGCAAGCCAATAGAATCATCAACTGATGTGCTTTTTTAATGAATTAAATGTAGTAAGTAAAGCTCTCGTGATACACTGATAAAATACAAATAAAACTTAGAATAGAACAATCACGCACTACTTAATATAATAGAATTCGGTGGATGAAAATCGCATCCCCAAAATCTGGTGTGCGAGGTGGGTCAACGCAAAGGAAGAAAGTAAATGAAACAGCCAGTAAATAAATGAAAGAGCAAAGAAAAGAAGACTCGCTGAATAGTACAAGTATTGCACCCGGTTTGAGTCAATAAAATAAGATAGAGAGGAAACTAGATGAAACAGATGGTATAAGTGGCCAAATGAATCGTAAATATAAGTTATAAAATTTGTCCCTAAAATTAAACATATTTTGTTGGCATGAAATTGAATTGCTTGACTGTTCCTCTCAAACTTAACGGAATTTTCTTATAACGGTGTGATAAATTTGATAAATAAATGTGATAAATAAATGTAACAGATAAGTGTAATAAATTTTGGCAAGGTGCCTTATTGTTCAGTTTTTCATAGTTATCTTAACAAAAAGTAAAAAACCCAGCAAGCTAAACATATTTCAACTATGTGTATAAATCGTAAGAATAAGCACTTTAAGTCTAGCCGTTGCCTGCCAATCTTCCAGCTAGAATTTGTGTTGGAGATTCTAGCTCTTTTGATGCATTTTATGTTGTCTTTACAAATCTTTTGTTGGTAGGGCACGAATTTCGGCAGGTGTATCATACCATACCTTGAAAGCCGAGTTATGATTTTTTGCAAATTCTGAGATGATCATCAACTGAAATCGCTTGGGTCCAAGCAAGAGATAGCAAATCTCCTCAATTTTTTTCTGTATTATCTTATCTTAATTGAAATTAAGGAAAGTAGAATTCAACTCGCCTCCCAATGAGCCATCCCCGTCACAACGGTGAATGCTGAAGGAAACGTCAGTATATCTGCACCCATTTGTGCCTGTGTACAAGACAGTTCTGGAAAACGGATGTCGTAGCACTGATAAATGTTAAGGAATGCCAGGAACCAACGTCAAAGCCAATCTTTTCACTGGCTATCATTGATAAAAGACCATTGGCAAAAAATAAATCGACCAAAAGAACGTTTGAAAACGCAGTAGGAAATAAGGTGAATGTCGAAATCTGTTAAAAATGATAGCTTTGTCGAATCAAAAAGCACTCGGGGACGAGTTAAGCATCTGGCAAAAAAAACTATGAAAAGGATACAACTTGCATTCCGATTTTACCCACAGGAGATGCAACAGGTGGAGATAGACATGTCCCTGGAATAACATACTCACTTTCCTTTAAAACAGCCCCACCTTTCATGTTGACATCAAACAAATGAGTTTTTCTATATACCTCCTTGATAACCCCATGGTTGTCAATCAATACATGTGAGTTATATACTTTTCTTTCATCCTCCAAAGGTCCCTGTAAAAATTGTAACAAGAGTATTCATAAATTCACAGACTACAACTTTAAAAGAGTTGCTCAGCATTGTGGAATCCTTCTACATCCTTCATTTAACTGCTTCTTACTATGTTTCTAAGTTTCTTACTATGGGCAAGAATTGCTATGCTAGACTGGGCCCCTTAAGATGGAGGCAGAGGGCTATGCTGTATCTCCCAAAATTTTTGTGAAACAAAGAGCCTTTTTGCAAATTATTTACCTTACCCTTGGCCCCCCACTTTGCAACTTGCATTGAACCAAGATGCTAGAGACATTTCTTTACCTTCTCAGAATTAGAAATGAAACATTCTGATACGTGTAAATTCCAAAGAAAAGTTGATTAATCAAAATCATCAATCAGACTAATATTGGTTCTTAAAAGGTGAAGGGAAGTTTGAATTTAGTTTTATTAGAAAACTAACAAAAAGCGTTTCTGATAGCTTTTTCCCAAGACTATGAAACCGTACTTCAAGATAGGAAGTCAACTTGAACTCTATAAAAAACTTAGAAGTTTATTCCAAAGTCATATTTTCTAATATGGTTTTCAAATGATTACAAAAAATTAACTCCTAAAACCTTTACTACAGTAATTGTGCCACAAAAAAGGAACGCAACTTAAGTTCTTTTGCCGGGTTTATCATCAAATAATTACTGCCTTAGTACAGGAACCAGGGTGCCTTTGAAAAAGAATCTGATTGAAATGTTATTATGTACTTGTGATAAACTCACAGATGCTTTTGTCATCCATTAAAAATAAGAATTGGGCACAGGGACGCCTGCACAAGATTAGGGCAGGAGGGGCAGTGTTGGTGCCGAAGGCAAATCATTGAATTTTTCTACTAACATAATCACGCATTCCTAGGTGGGAGGGGGCGAGGGTGGGGTAATATAATAAAATATTAACTTGAATATGTGCCACCCATACAGCTGGGTTTTTTACCAACAAAGATTCTAAACATAAAGAAAATGTTGACGAAATTATCTATAAATGAAAATGGTTATTAAATGGCTTTGTCACTCACTATTCACAAGTTTTGGTTTTATAAAAATCATAGTTGTTATAAATGGGCTGGTTGTAAAATTTTGATTGCCCGCTAAGTTTTTATACCAATTTATCCTCCTTAGGTTCCTGGAGTACTTCTGGAGTACACAGCTTTGGTTTATCATTGATTATCTTTGCCGCTCTCCCTATGTGGCCGACCTTGTCACAGACAAACTTTTCATTCTCTGCATTTTTGTGCTGGTGTTATTATCTTTCTAGTATTTTCTAATAGATATTAACATAACGAGAGTAGTCAAAGTAGTCATCATATTTCAGGGCACTTATTGCCCCCTCTGCCCCCCCTTGTGTAGGTGCCTCTGATTCGGCATTCCGACCATAAAAATGAAATTTATACACAAATCAAATAAACCTGGATGATTTCTAAACCATACCTTTTCATGAAATCCACCTAACGAGAGCCAAACATTGCATTCTGCTGCAACTTTTTTCATCCTGTTTATAGTGTCTCCATGCAGTGGCTCTGCTAGTTCAACTGTCTGTGATCTGTTTTCACCAACATAATCAAAGCATTCAGGAAGAAAAACAGCCTAAAAATTTTATTAAAAGAGCCTAGTAGTAAATCATTTTGATACCCTTTAGTAGCAGACTGCCTTAGCCTGAAAAGGTTTCCCCATTCTGTCTTGTCTGAATAAAGAAGATCAAGTACATTGTTCATTATTGAAGATTAGATCCCCCCCCCCCATGGTGCACAATTGCATTGCAGACAATACTCCAAGCATTAGAGGGGTTGCAAAATGTTTCATAAAGTTCTTTCAGTTTGCCATTTGAGTATAATGTATCAGGGCTGTTGAGAGGCTTTGGAGGCTTTGGAGGCTCTGGGGCAAGACCAGAATACTTTTGCTACGTTTGAACAATACCACACTTAAAAAGGAATTCGTTACTTGATGAGGCTCCATAGACCTGAGGGTCCTGGGGCAATTTGCCCCTCTCCTTGACTCCCTCTCTGCAGCCCTGCAATGTATTTCATAAAGCTGAGAGATTCATTAGTAATTAGAAGGATTAAACCATAATTATGATTATCATAATGAGTCTAATATTGAGTACCTTTGCACCTACTGATGAAGCTTCTTTCACAAGTTGAGCTACAACCTCAAGGTTTCTTTCTTTGTTGTTGGAGGATGTCATCTGACAAACTGCAATCAATCTTCTGCTGCAGTTGGAAGCCATAACAAGAGACCTTATCAAGGGAACAAGACTAGTTATCATACAAAACCTTTAAACTGCTTACTTAAGGACAAATTATATTTAGTGATGAAGCAGTAGTGAAGTTGTTTACATATTGGCAGAGTATCCAGAGGCTCAGGCTCTTTGCCTTCTATTAATTGTTACTTTGGATGTCAATAATTGGATGCGAGAACGTACCATCAGTCTCAAGATATACTCAATTCTTGTAAATCAACCTGGCCTAGATTTGCAAGTAAAATGGACATAAAAACATAGAAAACTTTAAACATTTGAGAACACACACAACTGAAAGTATATGATAAAAATATGGCACAAGGTATGTCTGTTCGCTCTGATTCTTCTAGCAGAAACATGCTCAACCCTTTTAAGTTGTATATGGCAATACTTCTGACATTTCTAGTACCATTGTAGTTTTACATTTGGACAAGGGTAAAACCCTACATGAGTATGTGATAAACACCCAGTTCAAAGTCCTCACTTCTGGAAAATACGAGATTTTTCCACAATCTTTCTTATGTGTGGCCTCCCCTCTTTTGCAAGTTTGTATTATTGTAAAAAAATTAGTTTGTGACTACGAGTCTGTCTAATATACTACGTATTGGCCTAGCTTGAACAAGGCAAAAAAGAGATCAAAATTCTAAAACTGACCCAGTGAAAATATCAAGCTAATAAGATACCTTCTAAGCATTCATGCAGCGATTTCGATGCAGTTTCTGCACCCCAACTTTCCCTTTTCTTTTTGAATTTTGAAATGGGTGCCACTTTAGCGAGCCTCGCTTGGGCTCAGTGTTCTCACTTTGCTTCGTGTAATTTTCCTTAACCTCGCACGAAAATTTCCTCAAATTTCGGAAAAATTCCTTAGACTTATGTAAACCTGCCCTTGTGTGAAAGATATGGTCAAAACAACTTTGGCTATTTTAAAAAATATCAAACTGAGTCATTTGTCTACATAAAGTCCGAAAATTTTGGACCAAAATTCGTGTGTAACTTTATTCGTCCAAAATCTAAGTTTCCTCGTTCGAAAGTTTCTTCGTCCGAAAGTTTTGTCCAAACGCTTTTTTCCCGAAATTCTCGAGAAAAAAATTTAAAGACCAATTTGATGAATCATATCCTTTTGTACCTTTCAATACCGTAGAAAGAAATATTTTTGGAGAGGCACTTTTGTTTTAGAACAATGGAAAAATAATGATTGCTCGTCGGTTTGTGGAGGGGCAGCAACATTAGAAGGCATTGAAAATTGCTCTTTACCGGTCTGTCTTATAGTGATCGCGATGCCTTATAGGTTTTGAGCTGCAGCTCTCAGCAGTGCTCAGTGCGATTTTCAGGCAACTTTTGATATCAACATGATTAACATGATAAAGGAAAGGCCAAAAATGGGTCTGTAGAGCTTAGCGAGCCGGATCCCCACCATGTTTATCTCTTTTCTACATTTTGCTAGTTTTCTGAGGATTTTTTAACAAAAGTCCCTTCTTCTGTTCATAGCAATACAGCCATGAATGGAAGAAAGAGTGAAGTCGTTCGTTAAGTTGCGCCTATTTTTGAAATAGTATAGTTTCTGCGTCATGTGATGATGCATATTCGATAAACTTTAACAGATACATTTTTGACAACATTTCTATTTTTTTTAAAATACTTTACATTTTGTCTTGCCTCGATTTGTTGAGAAATTTTCATTCTGAGCCTGAACATTTTTTTAAGTATTCTTTCTTTTATCAAATCTGACATGGTTTAGGAAAACATCGCCCTTTTTGAAAAACATCAAACAGAACCACCCTTTTTGAAACAGGTTTGTCAGTCACGCAGTTTTTTGGTATGAACATCGCAAAACAGGCAACTGCCGAAATGAGGCACCAAGATGTGAGCTGAGCAATATTCTTAGAGTAAAACTGGATGATTCTGAGCCTGAATATTCTTATAAACAACATTCTTGTAGAAATAATCTTGGTTATCAATACGATAACTCGAATGTTCACACCAGTATGCTTTCTCTCATGTGGTATGAATTCTCTGCTCCTTTTTCAATGTTGAAGGAATTCTCAAACATTTTCTCGCCCTTTAGGCTTTCAAAATGTTTTGCTTTCTCTATATTTTAAGCTTTCATATATTTTCATTAACATTTTATACCTTAATTTGGATCGTCGTAACATTTAAAATCGTTTTGAATTCATGAATGATAAGTCAAATTTACAAAGCAAAAATATGAGTAACATGACCATCAAAAGGTTAGCTGCCTGAAAGAAGGGCATACAAATATCTTGTAAGTGTTTTAGAAATATTTGACGTTCTTATTCAACGAGAAAAGTTCAAAAGTTTTAAAGCACACTGCTTAAAAAGGTCCTTGGCGGTTTTCCAATACCTTGAATTGTAATTAGAAAACGTGAATTGAATTGCATTGAAAGTTTGATAGAAGCTGAACAATCAAGCGATAATGAGAGAAAGATTTCTTGATTTTCTCTTCAAGAGAACTTTCGAGCATTCCATTCGAAATGGCTGCAGCGGTAAAGGCACGCTGTGATTTGAACAGAGGTGGTGTAAGTACACACTTTTTGTAAATTTTTTAAAATGTTTCACTGATTAATAATGTAAAATGCCAACATTTTTTAAGTCTTCCAATTATAAAACAAAAAACAGAATGAAATTTTAGAAAAGAACAAGATTTCGTGAAACTTTTCATCGAAGTGTTAACTTAATGGCGAGAACGCGGTAGGTACTGAGTATATACAAAAATTTGTTCTCCATCTTTGTTCTTCTCTGGTTCTACTTAGTTTCAATTCTAAACTCATCACTTACTTCATAATTTATTTTTAATTATAAGTTTCTTTTACAGACCTATCCAATGATTTGCTCTAAAATAAAAGTATGTTTATGGGCGTGGCTTAATGATGCCAGAAAAATACCTTGAATAAACCTCTCAGGATGAACATTATGATACTAAGCATTGTGCTGAAATTCTCATTAGATACATATTTAACCAATTGCTTTGAATTCACGTCTACCTCGCAAAATTACTTAACATGAAGAATTTGACCTACGTTGCTCTTGTCAGCCAAAATCAACGGGCTTTTAACGTTATTAGAAACATCAACAAAAGCAATGACCTATCAATGAATATCATTTAATTTACTAATTAATGATAAGTTGAAAATAAGAAATAAAAAAGAGGTTGGAAAATTCCGAAGACTAACTGTACTGGTTTTGTATGGTTCAAATTTGCCATTAAAAGCACTGGTACATATTTCTACTAGGTTCAAGATTTAGACCATATTTGGTTTCGCTCAGTAGATGGCAGTGAAGAGCTACGTTGTCTTCATAATCAAATATCAAGAAACACCGGTAAGTGTTTTTGTGTTAGGAAAGTTAAGGATTTCAGCTGCTAAAATTGATTTCAAAGAGTCATCAATTGATATTATCCATGACTCCATTTGTTAAATAACGGAGAAAAACTATGTAGTACACGCATCTATACCTACAGACCTGTCAACTCTCCCGGTTTTGCCGGGAGACTCCAGGTTTTGCTTGCTTTCTCCCGGTTTTTTATGATTTCCTCCCTGTTTTTCCTTGTCTTTCAGCAAAGCTTTTCCTATAGAGTTTTTGTTAGTGTTAAGCCATTAAGGAAAAGTTTGTACAACATTATATTTTTTACAGGTATGTTGTTTACAAAAAATCAACAAATTCCAGGGACCTCCCAATTTTTGGCCAAATCTTCCTGTTTCTCTCAACAAAAAATCTGAAATCTCCAGGTTTTGAAAATTATAGGTTGACAGGTCTAAATACATCATACATTCATCCGTATTGATTATCAAAACTTTTAGATGTCAAAATCAAAGTTCCCAAGGCAAATTAAAAATTTTGATTTTGATGAATGTAGAAACAAATGAAAGCTTGAAGAGACCTTTTAATTCTACAGTGAGGTGCAGGTGTTTTATCTTCTACGGGAGTGTCATGAATATACGGGAAATTAAATATCTTTCAAATTATAAAAACATACTGAAATAGAGATAAATTCTATTTTCAGATCTTTTATTCTCAAAAATCAAAAGCCTTGCAAACCCAAATGAAAGAAGAAATGGTACAAAACTCTTTAATCATCTCATTCAAAAGAGCTACCAATCGCAAGCGCAAAACCAGGTAACGCTTTTTATTGGTGACTGTTTTTCGAACGGGACTGTTGCCACCCATTAGTATGAATTTACTAAAAAATCCTTTGAATAGAACACTTTTAGATATTGTGCTTTTTGCAAATTAAGTTTAAACCCAAAGTCTGTGTGTCTGTTTTCATCATAAGTTGTCTTTTTAAATTGAACAAATATGAAAAGGCATCTTGGATGTAACTCGAATTGACGGAAAACATGACCTTAAACTGAAACAGATTTGAACGAATGCATTATACAGTTGACGGAGGCACCCATGTCTTCAAATATGTATACACTGATCGTTTTTGTCAGCATTCAGAATTTTCCCGCTCTTTGACTGATATAAGGCCTATTCCAATCTCGATGAAAATTTTGCTAATTGCTTATTATCTCGAGTTCCATTGAATACCTATCAGCCAAGTATTTATTAAACCGTTAGAAATACTCAGCCTTGTGCAATATTGAATTTCTTTTGCAGATCAGGGCTGTGGCAGCTACAATACTCAAAGAGCTGAACAAGCTTTATTCAATGGTAAACAACATTAAAAAACATTTGATTCGATATAGCTGTCGTAATTGGCATGGTATAGATTGTTGCAAGCTAAGAACTAGGGCTTACCAAAATCAAGGCTAATGGGAGTAAGAAAAATTTAGTTTTCTTATACTAAAGCAGTGGCGCCAGACAGAAATTTTGATTGGAAGGTTGGAAAAAGTGGAGATCAGCTGGTCATGTATCACTAGGACATTAAAATGAGTTCCAAATTTTTTTGAATAAAAATCTTTTGCCAACTTCTACTGTTAAATTGCAAGAGCATATAAAAGAATACTAGAATTACAAAAGAATATCCTTTTTCAACATCAATTATGAGAGTAGTTGCTCCTACGTGTTGCAATGACCTTCCTTTCGTTTAAAACAATTAGACTTTGCCCTTTTTATTGGAATAACAGTTTCACCCCACAGCTGAGTCCCCTGAGAAAAGACTTTGCATCAGAATGCTGTCCGCTCTTATAAAACAAAGATAGTTTTTGGGAAACGCCTTGCAATGTTTTTATAGGCATAGAAGGTAAAAACTAAAAAACCATTGTGTGAATAAAATTGTAAAATCCAAAAGGACAAAAAGGAGAAAAAAGGAGAAAAAAGGAGTAGTCACTACCACCTGGTTACAGCCTTAAAATCAGATGGGGGCGGTTGTGTGTGCCCCTTGTGTGTTTTGAGCAATTAGCCTGTAAATGGGCAGAAAATGATAAAAAGCAGCTCATCAGCCAGAAACCCACGAGGGACATTCCGGGGCTTTAATTCGGTATGTCCGTTTCTAGTGGGCGCCCCTCGCAATCCTGCGTCCAGGTTCACGGTTGCAAAATAAATATATATAGGTAATAACAATGAAAGTTCAATAATCAGTAGATGCCGTACCTTAGACGGAACTGTGTCTCTAGTATAATATTTATATGTTGATAAAGCTAAAGGCGCACGATGCTTCGAGAAGCGGCTTTGTGTTAATGGCCTAATTTAGAGTGGACCAATTGATCTTTAAGGTTAGGCCTTCTAGTAAGGGCTAGAATCAGTCTGGTGTTGTTCCATATTTGTTTAAGATAAGCATCAGCTGAAATCAAGTGCCAATGTTTAGTAAGGATGGAGCCTATATGTATAGTTTTGATCTTGAATGGGACAACAAAAGGTAGAGCTTGTGGTTCTGGTGGAGGGGGTTCGAAGTTGAGGTAGTGCGGGCCCCCTGTCTGGGTGCTCTGAGGGGTGGTTTCATTGTTGGTGGGGTTTCCTGGGAAGAGAAGCTCGTTTTGGGTGACATATGTCAGTTTACTAAATTCGGTGGTGATATTTTGAGATTCATAACCTCTCATGATTAGATTTTTTTCGAAGTTTTTTGAGGTTTTTTGGAGTTCATTGTTGTCTGTAATCAAACGTCTGAAGCGAAGTGCTTGGCTGTAAATAGCACTTTTTTACACGAAGGTGGGTGGAAAGATTTAGCAGGTAAAAAGGGTGCATATATAAGTGGGCTTCACAAACAGAGTGCTTTTCAGGAGTCCATATAAAATGATTCATGAATTAGCACGGAAAAAATGTATGCCTAGGGGAAAACATTGGCAGAATTGTGCAAGGGACATAGCATAGCACAAAATAGCCATGGTTCATAGGGTTTTTCTTTTACTTTGTAGCAAGCATTGCATATAAAACACATTTCTTATTCTGTATTTGTTATCTTTTATTTTCTCTTTTAGATTGACAGTCGATCTGCAAGATTACAAACAATAGTTCAAGGCGAATGTGTTAAAGAGGTTGTGGAAATATGGAGTCAATATTTCTTTTCCTGCTCAGAAGTGGTAAGATTTTTCAACAAGTTTAAAACTTTAAGTGGATTGTTCTACATATTGAAAGTTATAAAAGGATTATGAGATTGACAGGCACTGATTGAATGACAGGATTATGTGATTTTGTGATTTGAGTACTACTTCATAAATTTTCATTTTGCAGGCAGTTGAAAACAGTGTTATATTCCAAGTAGCGATTGACTCAAAGGATATCATGTTTATAACCATGTTTAGTGCAAAAATAACAGTCGAAATAATTACATATTCTAGAAACAACTGGGCACTGGTTATGTTCATAACAAAATCGCAGGATTTTATAGAAAAGCGACTCGGGGTGCAAGGGAAAGTGAAAAGAAATTACGTCAAGTGCAAAGAAGATTGTACGCAGAAATAATCACGTGCAGAAAAAAATCTGCTAGAGAATATGCTCAAAGTCTCATGGCAAATCGATATCTTTTTGAACTTGAGCCTGGTAAATTCGAACAAGCCAAACTTGTCAATGAAAAGAGAAAAATCCCTGCCAAGGAGCAAGATGATCAAAATGCAAACATCAGTCTAAAAGGAAAAGTTGGCAAGCCTTCTTCAGAAGTGCTTAAAAAACCTGCTTTTCAGACACCAGCTTCTGAAAGCCAAGAGCTAAAATTTCAGAGAGGAGACCTTCCCGAAACAGAGAGTCATTCTAAAACGGAAAATCCCGTCAAACTGACTGAGGCGAAAGCTAGGGAATCAAGTATACATGGGTCATTGGATAATGGCATATCGTACAAAATACTTGAAAAAGATGATACTCGAAAAAGAATATATCACAAGAACAGAAAATCCTTCGCTTTTACATGGCCTACAAAATCTTACCCAAACAAAGTTTATGGAAAGTATGGGCACAGGAAAGATTATCATCTAAAGAATGATGGGAAGGTAAAACACCAACACAGCAGCCTGTTTTGCAGGAAAAGCAGAAGCTATGTTGGATTTAAAAACAATAAAATGCATAGAATGTGTCGATCAAATACAATAGAAAATGGAGAAATTTCCAAAAAATTAGATTTCTACAAAGAGGAATGGGTGCAATGTGAGGTAAATCATCCAATTAAACAGTCAAAATATAGAATTCCTCTGCCCATCCACAAACTGGGAAGCCAAAACGAATCAAACATTGAAGCTCATTTAAAAAGAATTGGTGCATACAAGAAGACTGAAACTAATAAAAATTCAAATATTATTCAAGCTCAGATACATATCTCAGACAATTAGGTATTGGAAGATACTAAACTAGCCCAAAAACTTTGAAAATATTGAAAAGCTTGAATGATAACAGTATAACCTATATAAGGGTAACAGCATACACCTATATAAACATTAAAACTTTGTTTCCATGTGAGAAATTCTTTTTCCATAAAACTATTTCTATCACATCTACAATATATCAATGTGCTTGGTAATGGAATTGCCCGGTGAAAGGAAAAATGTCTTTTGAGCAACTTTTGCCACCAATAAAGATAATATTCGTTTTAATAAGTTCTTACAAAATCAGCAAAAATAAAATTTCCCTTCCATTTGATGACTTCCTTCTTATCTAAGGGAAATGTTTAGATGGCAATAAATATATATTAGTAATCTGAGTTAAACTTTTAATCTTCTCTTAAGCAATGTAGGGCATGTGTTCCATTTCTTGACAGGGCTATCCAGGAACATAGCAACTTCTCATCCTTCTATCACACTTGAAATACTGCCTTCAGTGCATTGTAAAATCTACAAGGATTGTAATATTTTATAAGCAAATGAAGTAATTGCTTTGTTTCATTAACTGCAATTATGTCATTTTATTCACATGTCTAAATGCCCTGGTAGTTGCTACTAAATCGGGGTGATGAGGATATAAATATATAAAAAAAACTAATCAATCAACAAACATAGAGAAAAAGCTTTAGATCTTCTGAAAAAGCAAGGTTAAATCAATTTTTAGGAAAGGATATAGCAGAGCTGAGAGGCTGCTAACATAAGTAGAGATATGTTCATGATTATAACTTTGCTGAAACTGATAAATTTTAACATTTGTTCAGTTTAACATGGGCTGAAATTTAAACTTACTGCTTATTTTTCTAAAGTTTACAAGATGTATTTAGACACAGGTCAAGACAATGTTAAGCTAAATTGTCTGAATTCATTATCCAAAAAACCAATAACATATCATGACTAACAATTCTTAACTTTCACTTCAACAAAGCAATTCTGAAATTTCTTTGTTGAGATGAAAGTTAGTTAGTCCATGTTGAATTCAACATGGAGTGTAAACAGTCTCTCAGTTTAAGATCAAACAATAATCACAAAATCTAATTAATTACAAAATCTAATTTTTCAAAATGGTCAAAAGGGATTCTCAGCCAAACAAATCGTCAATGAATAAAAGGTGTCTCAATGTTACCTGTCAATCCTTTTGAAGTTTTCTTCTAGCTTTTCATTACAAATTTCAACAATGTTTGCTATATACTGTGAAAATACAAATGTCAGAAACATTAGTATTTAGGTGGTAGAAATTATTCTTTTCAATTTCAAAGATAAGAATATTCATTTCTGACAATTGGAAGCCCTATTTAAGAAACTGTACAACTTTAAAGTGGAGTTAAATGTTTAAAAGATTACCTCCTCAGAAACCATAAGCTTGCCTTTCAGAACAAGTGGTACTTCCATAGCATGTGTACTTCGTACTGCCTAAAACATTTATTGACTACAATTATGACAGAAATAGACACATTTTCACCCTGAACAATACAATATATAACGATGGGCTTATTTTCATTACTGAAATTCATAAAAAGAACATATGATTTGAAACAAATTCCAAAACAAATTTTGCTAAGAAAATGCTAAAAACCATTGCTAAAAATCATTAATTTTTCCAAGGTTGAAAATCAGACTTGTTTGCCTTTTACAATAGCAAATAAAAATGTTACAAGTAGTTGTATAAAATAACAACAATAACAGCTTCATCCTCACAGGATATTATCCATTTTGCATTGCATGAAAAATCTAAGTTATTTAAAGCTGACCAAATATATATTCCCTAGTGAAAAGAAAAAGTACCTCAATATTGCTTACATTAAGCAAAAAAATTTGGACCCATTGATTTTCGGCATTAAATTTTGGGAGAATAAAATATAAAAAGAGTAGATTTCAGAAGAAAATTGACAAAAAATTCTACACAAAGTGCTTCTAGATTTATTACTTTAAACAACAGTTCTAATATTATGGCTTCTTAGACTTTATGATGAACAGTAGCATCAGTCTCCCATTCCAAATGAAAGGCCACCTTGGAACTAAAGATTTGATAGCTCAAAAAGCCAATCAGCTTAAAAGAATTTCCAGAGATGGTTAGGTAAAACAAACAATTTGTCACTATTTAAATTCAAAGGGGTGGTGATGGCATTAGAAATTTCAGACAATAAATGTTTTGCAAAACCCATTGTTCTAAAAATGAACATCAGAAATATTCTTTGTCCTTTCTGTACTATGAAAACCCAGCAAAACAATATTTGAAACCCAACTACGTAAATACAAAAAGTAAAACTGTTTACCAACATAATTCTTTTCTTTTTGCCAATTACCAGACCAGAATTTCTGAAGCCTGCTTGAAGTGCACTTTGGAGCTTTAAGAATAAAATTATAAGCTCTTATCATAAAACATGAAAGAATCGAGCTTACCAAGGAGCTTCAAAGCATTAGCTTTAAATGTATCAAAGAACTGAATGACATAAGGAAAGTAGAAAGTAGCACAAATTACTTACAAACAATCTCAATTTAGACTTTGATTGAAATGTCTAATAGAAACCCTGCAAATTCGAGATTGGAATCTCTTTGGTGCATTCTCAATCTCTTTTTTAATCATGTTATCCAAAAGGAAAAAATGAAAAATAAGTCATACCATTTTCTGTGCTTTGTCCAACGTTTTACATTGCACATGAAGCACAAAAGCTTCATATTTAAAAGTTGCAGTTGCAGAGTCTATTGAGTCCTTCACAGCTTTTACCTGTTTGTTTAGAAAATAAAATACAGCTTCATTTATATGTGGTTATATTCAAATTTCTAACATAAAACGATTAACATTGCCATCTCAACTTTTTCTTGATGTCATCTGTGCCAAGAAATATTTCTTGAATTAAAGATAAAGAAATTTTAACAAGAAAAGAAAACAACTTGTCATAGCTCATAAAAATTTCAAATAAAAGAGTCATGATTATTACGAAGTATTGCAGTTGATATCATTTGAAATTTTGCCACAGAATAAGTAAAACATATATACATCTGAATACATCTTAAGTATGATTTATCCCCCAAAACACTCTTGTGATTCTAACAAAATAGAATACTGTTTTAAAACTGCAAGAAATAAAAATACTTACAATGTCTGACTGGCTGCTTGTAGCATGTGACATGTACAACCAATTACAGCCTTTCTTCCTAGCATCACCCTGATTGCATAAAAATGGTACAACATTAGTCACTGACAACCCCTTAGTCAAAGGTACAAAAGTTTTTTGTAGAAAAGTATTTTGATTAGGGGCAAATAGTAGTAGATATAATTCAAACAATTCAGATAAAACATTAGTAAATTCAAATAGGAAGAATAGAGATGAACTGCCCTAAGAAAAGAAATATGGAACCTCAATTATTTCATCTATTGAGAGAGCTTCTTGTAGAGTATAGCATATGTGCCATAAATCGTAGGATTTGAAACTGAACTGAATAGACGTAAATGCTGCGCTGCGTTAAGCGAGTTTTCCAAACAGAGACGATTTTATTTTTAATTATACATGCTATGCAGACATACATTTTATGCTTTTTCATAACTAACTAACCTCTGATATTACAGCGATTCTGCCAGAACAGGAACTTGTTGTGAAGAAATCATTTAAGTTGTTTATGAATGATACCAAATCAATAATTGGCTGATCGATGCTTCCCTTTTTACTGTTGTCAATTCCTGATAAACTCTTAAACTTCTGGTGCTCAAATTCTTGAAGACTTGATGTCATTAATACCTCCTGCCGTTTCGTCTTGGACATTGTCTATCTGACATTCCATACAAATTTTGTATTACTGTCTTCAATGATCAACTCGTCTTGTTTCTTGTTTAGGCCATCAATTGGGTAAAAATAAATCAGTAGCCCATTTGCTTGCCTCGTGTTCGCGTCTAAGGTTGCTTACGTCAGGACGACATAAACATTCTCAATTTCGGCAGTCGCAAGTTTTGCTGTTTACTTCTGAGCCTAAAATTATTCATAAACCATTTTTAAGTGACACAACGTTTACATTTGGTAAAAACTGAGGAAGAAAGCTCAGGTCTTTGTCACTGTCCTTCTCCATCATGAAAATATTTTAAAGAATCAAGGGGCGGATCTAGAAAGTATTCTGACTGTCGCACACAAGGGTGTGATCGGAAATATCATTTTTGACCACACCCATAGTTTTTAAGGATATTCGCCCCCTTCTCATTTGAGCAATCGACACGCACATTAAATTGGCTTTATTTAGAACGTTGTCAAACTGTTGTTTATTCCTTATCTGAGTTTTCAATTGATACTACAGAGTCATTTGTGTTGTTTCTTAGCCAAGCGTAAAGCAAGAAACAACTTGAAATTGTTAAACGTATTGACACGGTTTTCCTTTTATAATCAGGCAAACATTCGAGTCGTCTCTCTCGATTTGTTTATGGTATACGATGACAAACCAGGCCACGCAAAAAATGAAAAATATCATTACAATGAATTTGTAGGCCCTTGATCCATGGAGGAGGTAATGAATGTGGTAACTTTAAAACATCCCGCGTCGACTGTTACTCTGAAAATCTAGCGACCTTTGTCTTCCAAATTACCAGGTTTAACGTACTCGTTATACATGTAGCCAGTCGACTCCATAACAGAAAATTCCTTTTCGCCAGTGAAAAAATTCCCCATGCCAAGCATAAATAAGCTCAAAACTGTACAAAGCACGCATGAGGACGGATTAATCTTTGCCCAGTGGTGCGACCTTACTAAAAAACATACTGTGCACCGAAGTTCGCACTATCTAGCAATTTCATTGGTTAAATATTTTAAAACAAAAGCTGTGCGAATCGGTGCGAACGTGCTACTAATCATACTGTGCACCGAAATACCCTAATCTAACTACATTGGTACCTTGTTGTTTTTTAGTCAGGATGCTTTGAGATTTGAATCAGATTGAATCAAGATCGAGATTGAATTAGAGATGGTGTTTAAGATTTTGCTTGTGTTTATGGCCAGGTTTGAATCATGCATGATTCAGACCTTGGATCTTCCTGCTCCTGCACGGTGTTCAGTTGTCAAATATAACTGAAGCATAATTCCCAAGCAAATAAACTTAAAACACAAATGGGAAATTTGTTGTAAAGGAAAAACCTCTTTCGAGACGGATTCTTAGCATAATTTTAAAAGTTTGACTGTCGCATGTGCGAACGGTGCGAGCGTCTAGATCCGCCCCTGAATCAAACAAACCAAGCTCTGAATCATACAACCTTGACGGGCGTGCCTCGCTGGATGTCTTTTATAAGCTTGTCTTACTTGCTCAAAAAGACAAAAAGTTGAACTGTTGATGCGGTCTGGGAATGTCTAAGATTCTTGATAAATTCTTATATTCCACGACTTTTAGGCCTTGGTATTTTTAAAGAAATGTTTCTTACGTATAACGGTGTTGTAGACGTTGTATAAATAGAACTATAAGCCCTGTATCATATTGACTATGGTAAAATATTCACTATCCTCAGATGAAAGGTATTACAATTGAAGTAAAAGGCTAATTCCTGCAAAATAAGATTCCTCTAAAATGTAGGGCGAATTTTTGAGTGAATCGAAAGAAAAGGCAGATCAAACAAGAATCAGCACAAAGTTGTAAGGATATAAAAGCAATACTTGGCAAATGGGAATATTGTGTGAGGTTACGATTCCAGAAATTCATTGTTCTAACAGCGGCCTTACGACGACTCCTGACGATGTCGTTTTACGACGTCATTCAGTTATTCAGAAAAAAGCGACACAAATAACATACAAATTACATTATATTTCTATCCACATACACAAATATTTTCTACAACCAAGATGCACCCCGGCACATTAATATATTATTTAATTGCATCACAAATACTTATCAAATAATATGTATTTATAAATGCATACTTATATTATTCTACATTGCTATGCTGACTTAAAATGCACCAAGTACACAAGGAAAGCGGAGCATATTAAGGATTGAGGGGGCTAAAACGTTTTGGGGGCTAAACATGCCCAAAATCAGGACAAGGGCGACTTTTTGCATGGTTTTAAGCACAGTTTGGAAATTTTGGGGGGCTATAGCCCCCTCAGCCCCCTTCCGCGGTCCCTGAGTACAAGTCAATTTAAGATATTGTAAAAACTGGTTACTGTATTCAAAAACATGTAAACAACATAGAAAATACACCACAAAAGATAGTTCTGCTTTTACTGGATTGAATGATTTTTGAACAGTCCTTTTTTAATAAGCCACGTCATAGATGATATTTATACCAGCGGCAATTCCTTGGGCCCCGGCTGCATAGATTCCTTTGATTCTTTCATTTTTAGGGTCAAACGGGGTCTTGATATGAACTTTTGCATCAAATGTTGTCCCCATTGATTCGATTTGGTATTTACCGCCTTTGATGAAGTCATTTGTCACTGGCTCTCCCGAAGGGTCTGAAACATAGCCGTATGCAATGCTTTTACCTATATGATAGCCATAACCAGCTCTTCTTACAAAGCCAACTATTTCATTGTTGCGATAGATAGCCTCCAGACCTAGTAGTGCTTTGTGGCTGGTAAAGAAGAGAAAATGGAATAAAAATAGATCTCCTTTTGTTAAAATATCTACAATCATCGCATCAAGCTAATGCTACAACAGCTTAAAGCAAGACTATTTACATGAAAAGTTTAGAAAACTTGTTTCAACAATTTTTTCAACAGTTATTACTTCTCTTTTAGAATTGCTAATCACTCTGAATCTTCAGAGTCTTATAACAAAAAGAACGAGCTTTGAAAAGAAGCTTTAAATTTACAAGACAGAAATGAAATGACTAATCTTGTCAAATTAAAAGTGAAGCATGAAAGTGAAGCAGATTTAAGCCAAGATACTTACTCGTCGATTGTAAAACAAGCTAACTTCTTCATTAAGCCATCTTTTTTCTGCTTCTCTAGTACTTCTCTTCCATAAAAAGGTGTATCTGACTTCAGTTTGCAAGTAAAGCCCAACACTGCCTCCAGTGGTGTGTCGTCATCCCTGATGTCTGCATGCCAGTGGCGGTATCCTTTTTCGATACTAAGGCAGTCAATTGCACGATACCCTGTCAATCAGCAAAACATAAAAGTCACTTACCGGGCAGTGCAGTGATTAATCTTAAAGCATTTCTATCTTTAACATGTTATAACTGAAGATATATATTAGTAGTAGCTACTTCGATATTATTTCCTTGCAAATTTCCTTTCATTTTCATTTACAATAATTGTCTACAAATCTCAGCTTCACAAGAAAAACTCTTACATTACCTGACTCTAGTTTACAAAAAAGGCTCCATTGAAGTATAAATCTTTAACTCTCTTAAATAAACCATACCTCCATCTCTAATGCCAAACTGTTTTCCATGCTTGAAGACAGCTTCATAAACTGGAACACAAGACTCTTTTGGAATATGCAATTCCCAGCCAAGCTCGCCAACAAATGTGAGTCGTAATGCTCTTAGCTTGTGGCCAGCGATCATTATGGTTTTATGGGTTGAAAAGGGAAAGTTCTCATTGCTCAGGTCTTCGCCGCTTAGCTCTTCAAGCAACTGACGACTGTCGGGGTTAGAATACAGAAGAAAAGAAAATATAAGGAAATAATGTACAATATAATGAGATGCAAAAGGATTTTTGCAACGGCCAAAAGTAGAAAAATGAAATAATTTCACTGACTAATTTTCAAAGCTTTTCGGCAATATTATCATTCATCGCAAATACCAAAACTGTCTTTACAAGATTGGAGAAAATGCTGCCACCAACGAGTAAAAAATGATGAAGCAACAAATTCATGAAGGTTTTCGTTGTATAGGAACATCAAAATTGCTGAAATTTTTATATTTTCACAGTTGCATCCAGGTTTTGCAAATGATTAGCATTAATCATTAACTTGATCAAATATTTCATTTTACAGTCTAAAGTCGTTTGATGAAATGTATTAATATGTTGCAAAATCTCGAGAACGTTTAAAGTTCATTTACAATGATTCTCTTTCTTTGTTCATAGCAAACATACATAATTATAGAAAGCCTAAAATTCATTTGACTATAGATTAAATAATGGATAGATTTTGAATGAACGTCCTGCAGGATGATCATTCGAATGCATTATTCTTCTACGATATCACACCAAAATGTACCATGCAATAATTATTAGACTGCTCACCTTTTCGGGCCCTGCACACTGAGCATACCAATATCCTCAGAACGATCCGTAAGGGTGCAATTAAACTTCTTGTCGTGGAGAATATCCTGAATGTGTCCCCAAGCATGTTGTCCAATAGCTCCTCCTATTGCTAAGTAGAATCCGGGCTCTTTTGGGTCCATGACATTGGATCCATCTCCTTCTCCAAGCACTGAGACTGTCAAATCTGCAGCAATGCCTCCATTTTGGTTAAGCATGCAGGTGTAGGTTGTGTTACCTGAGTAAAATTTGATAAAATGTCAGATGAAACTGTCAGCATTAGACGCAGAATCAAAGTACAGACAATAATCCTAATATATTGTCAAGACAGGATAGCATGATACCAAAATAATGAAGATCACTCTTGAAGTTGAAAAAAACACCATCTTACAATTTGCAGAAAGAAGGTAAAAAAAATTTCAAATGGATTTCAAATAAATCTCAAAATGTTCGGCAAAATTCCGAATAGATGCAGATTGACATTATCAACCCAAAACTTTGAAACGTTCTAAGCAATGCATTAGAATCAAATGAGAGAATCACCTATTAAGCCACAATATTACCGTTTCCTAGCCTGAATACCCTTTCTGAAGAACCAAAATATGTAACAAAACTTAATTAACATAGAAAATAAAAATACCTGGAGGTTTTTGCATATTGGCAGTAAAGATCCAATCCACGGCCTTTTGTGCATCTGGCCCACTTAGAAAAAATTTAGCGAAATAGGACATATTAAAGGCAGCAACATTATTGCGACAAGCTATACATTCTTCACCAATCTAGGAGAAACATAAAAAAGTCTTAAAAAAGCATGCTTAAAACTAACTAATTCTACACCACGTCTAGTCTACAATTCCTGATTGAATTCAAGTCCCCCTCCCCATCCCATTTTAAAAGTATTAAAATCTATTGAAGGAGAAAAAGCAGGGATATATCAGACTATATACGTGGGGGTAAACATTTTGGGGGTTTGCTCAACAGCCATGTCCATGTACAAACGTCCAACCTAAGAAGATAATGTTCTCACAACATTTTATACAACGACGGTTCTGTTGAATTTTCCAGCAAACAAATATACAAACAACAAAGTTTTTTGCGGTAAAGGCCTGGTATTTTAAAATATAATTACAAATAATCAATAGTTTGTCAAACAACAACGAAACTTAAAAATGACTGAATGTACCCACATCGGTAAAAAGGCTCAAACTCAGGCTACTGCAATAATAAATACGATGTAAGCACTTTATAATGTAAAAGCGTAAAAAACAATATCTTTTTGTATGATGACAGCTTGCACGAAGAAGCAAATTTCATAGGGTAAACAACACTGGGATATGGAAAACAACTTACTGTGTCAAAATGCTTTGGAAAATCAAACGTGTAATCTTGTCCAAGCAATTTGTTGTATATATAGTTTTCATGTTTATCGAAACCGTAGCTGCCGTAATAATCGTATGGCAACAGCTGCGTAGAAAAATGGTTAACTTGATTTTACTTGCGGTAGCATATATTACCGTGGTATATATTTAGCATAGTTTAAGTGAAAGACGACTTGAATTGCTAATTAATAAATGTTGTCCTAAAAGTGTTATTCTATGACGTCTCTGATACAAAAGGAATAACGCAAAACAAGTGATATAAAACTCTTACCCATAGAGCAATAAATGTAAAATAAATCTATTATAAGCATAAAATATAGTGTTTTCAGCTATTTTGATAATTTTAAAACCCTTTGCATTATTTCATAGACCTCTTCTTCTTAAAAGCTTTTAAACTAGTAGAATATTTCTTAGCAAATGTAAATAATTCACAGTAGTAATCATTGAAATAAATCTCCACTTCCAGACATTTCATTTTCATTCAAATATACGGGTTTTTTCTCTTTACCTCTGCAGAACCTTCCTTGTAAAACCAGCCAGGCCTCTCCCAACCATGTCTTTCTTGATAAAAGCAGCCTTTCTCGAGCAATACTTTGTGAAATGGGTCCTTCCTCATGTTCCTTGCAGCCAATGGTTCGTCGTTAGGGAAGACCATAGAATAGTTCTTTGCATACGATTCATGGCTTCGCTCCTTCACCCATTGCTGGTTGGAAGTCAATGACTTGTGAAACCTTCGAATGTCATAACCAAACATGTCAAGATCAGGATGCCCTTTGACGATCCACTTAGCAAGTTCATTACCGCAGCCACCTCCAAGCATGATGCCACTAGAGTTGAATCCACAGCCGTGGAAGTACCCTCTAACATCTGGATCTGGACCCATCAGGGGTTTGTGATCCGCAGTGAATGATTCTTGGGAAAAACAATGTTTTATTAATCGTCTTTATAAACACTGCATTACACAGTATTAGGCACAAAGAAAAAAATTACGCTTAAGATGCCTTGGGAAAACAAGAGTTCTTGCAAATTAACACGGACTTAATTTTTCATTGCATTTTTGAAATATATAGATCGGCTTTGTTATATCTTTTACTCTTTCGCAAAATTAGTACGAAGGCACCTAAGCTTTTCACAAAAATGAAAGAAAAGACCAGTATGAAAAAGGAGACTAGAATGGTGACAGCGGGCTTAAAGAACTCGCCACGGTGGCGGTGGCAATTATACTGGTCGGAAAAATTAGATATCAGCTGCCAAAACAGTTTCTTTGTTCATTAGCTCCTTTATTGAAAAATATCAAAGATCCTAATAGTGTAACGGTCTTGCAACTTATTCTGGAAATTCATAAAAACATTCTGTTTTCTCTATGTCTATAATGTTTATAGAGAATACCACCTAATTCAAGTATCACTTATCATCAAAAGTCCTATAATTCTAGATTTTCTGACGTCTCTAAGCAAGATAACGAAACATAACAATGTTATCACTACTGATAATGGCTTGAAATTTAACTTGCTTTGAAAAACTGATGAAGCCAAGGTCAATTATAGGCATAATGCATGACGAATAATGGATACATATTTAGTATATTCTGATGTAGATAAACACAAAAGACTTCCATTAAGTCCAAATGTTATATAAATTTGAATATGTCAGGCTGAAATGGTACGAATGTTGGCAATAAAATCGCCATGTTAATAAGGCAATCGAGGAACCTATATAGGCCAACATTAGGATACTTGATGTACCTGGGCCACAAACTGTAGACTTGATACCAGTCTCCCCAATAGCTGGCACTCGGTTACAGGCTCCTTCTATGTGGACAGCGAAAACATCCCAATCCAAATCAAACAGTGAAAATGCAAAGTCATTTCGAACCTGCATTGTGATAGAAATAACGCAAAAATGCTTCTGTTTGTACGCCAATGGTTATCATTAAAGGTTATTATTGTAGAAATGATGTCTAAATTGTGACATGAAATATGAAAAAACAAAAAATATTTATATGTTAAACAGGAAAATGGGTGTTACGCTAAGCAATGCTAGACGTCAACAACGACACATATTCAATATTTTGGCATTATAGGAAGCTTTAGAAACGTTCTTTTCATCGGAGGCAAAGAAGCAGATAAACCAAAAAGACACATCATTTTAGATAGAAATGAGAAATCTGTCGTTTTTCTTAACTTTCGATAACATGCCCCAAAAGGTTACTTCATTCAGTAAGTGCACTCAAAAGCAGGCTGATTAGATCGGATTTTAATCAACCTCAAAAAAGCTACATATCGCATGTCCTTTCACCGATGGTTAAAACAGTATTACCATTGTATATTGAAAGAGATTCTCAAGCAAGATTACGGTACAACAATTTGTAATAAACTATAAATTCAATTATCTTTTCTCCAACTGACCATTCTTTGAATGGCATTTTATCGTGAATCGAATATTCTCCTTAGTATTTCAAACCAAGATTTCTAAAAGTTGGAAACAACAAGCACCGCGGAGCTAAAGCCCTCCAGCCCCCCTGCTCCACGGTGCCTGAACCATGGTATTCAATTGGTGATTACGGTGTCCCAAAAGCTGACCAAAACACGATTTTACCTTGTTGTGGCTTAATTTTACTTTTGGCGGTGCAGAACTTGAAAATATCTTTAAAAAAGCAAATAAGATCAACATACTACTGGTAGTATGTGTTGTGAAATGTTTGCTTTGTCTGCAAGAAAATGATATAATTTGGCTGGAATTTTCCTGGGACTCAGGGGCGGCGGGCACTGCTCATAGTATGAATAGTCTATGAGCAAGTTTTTTTCAAAAGAAAGAAAAGTCTGAGATCAATCATTGTCTGAGATCAATCATTGTCTGAGATATAATAATTCGATAAGCACAATGGCCTCTTTTCCAGATGCAGTATGTCGTCTGTCCTTTGACCCAATCTAAATACTTTTGTTTGTACCGCTGTATTCTGTCTTAGTAACGCTTTTGTTGTTTTGATCTTATCTCTTGGCCGCCACAAAATCGAGAAACAGCCATGCTCATAGTTTTCAAATACTGTGAACGTGTAGGGTTTTACCTTTTGTTCTACAGCAGCTATGCGTCACAGATTTTCAGAAGAATGCCTTGTGCCCGTTGCATGTTGGCCGCATTAATAGTTTTGCTTTTCTATTCACGCGCTACATAGGTGACCTTCCGGGCCCCCAAAAGCATTTAATTTGTTCTTTCGTTAACATAGCTTTCTTATAGTGAATTAAATGGTTATTGATCGAATGTGCTGGAACATACCCAAAGGTATTTTCACTAAATTACGGAGTTTAATATAGGAACAAAATTTCCATTTTAAACAAGCAAATATTCTTGGATTTGTGGCGATGAAGTTGGAAATACGAATTTCTATTTGCCGTATTTAATTAAAGGCTGGCTGCTCTTAATGATAGCCACTGCATGAACAGAAATGCGATTCTATTAATGTGAGGGATTGCTATATCTTTAATCCAAAATCACAAGCATTCATAATATTTTAGGTCATGTATGCCTAAGGATAAATGTGCCGTTTTTAGAAAATCATTTCTATTAATCTGATACCTATCGAAATAAGGCAGTTTTTCTAGAGAAAGTTGCTAAGAAAAGAAACTTCAGGACTTTTTAAAAATTAAGTATCGTTTGACGATATGTTTTGGCATGCACATCCCACAAATAGCCATGCATGTTTTGGCCTACAAAAAACGTTTGTTTTCATATTATCTAGCAGTTAGCTTGTAAACCATTTCGGCCATTAAAGGGGGGGGGGTGGTTGGAGGGCGATTCCAGATTTCTTTAAAATCTATGAACAACCTTTTCTCCCTGCCAGCTGCCCCTGGACTACGTATTTTGGGCCTGCCTCGGGTACACAGTGGATCCAGAAGCATTTTTGCTTTTTTTAAAGCCATTTACGAAAATTGAGCCTAAAACACAACATAAATCTGATAATTTATAATGCCCTAACTTTTACTCCAGCTCTTTAACGGCGCTCGGTCATTAAAAGCCCATTCTAAAAATGTTCCCAATCTACCTTGAAAAGGTCCACTGGGCCCGCAGGAAGTAGATGTTGTCAACGACTGGAAAGAATGTTTCAAGGCTTTTTAGTCACATCAAATTTCATTCTAAGTTGACTAGTATGTCAGTAAAAAAGGACAGTAGCCTTGGTGGACAAGCTTGTCGAGCACCTAATTTGCTTTCAAAAAGGTTCAGAGTTGTTTGGACTTAATTTTAAGAGATTTTTAAGGCATTAAAGAATTCTTTAGTTTGTTGTGAAGAGAGGACCGGCAACCATGTTCCTACATTGAAATGTTTAACAAATGTAAAAAACATTTCTGATTCTGAAGGTTGGAATGGGAGTGCTTGGGAAGGAAAAAATTTTATGCTTTTTTCTAGCAATGAAATAAAAATAATTATAGTTTTTATACAATAAGAGTAAGGAAGGGGTACATGTTTCCTGGAAGGATCAGCTGGGCTATAATGAGTGACGGAATCAGTAAAGGAGAAGATGTAATGGAAGAAAAAGTGATATTGACAACTAATTGGAAAGAAAGACAGAAATAACAGAACCTAAACATCAATTCCAAATGAAGTGTTCAAAGAAGAGCAGGTCTGATCTCTGTAATGCGGAAAGGATATTTTGCAAAAGGGCCTTGTGTTGAAGACAGTCTTAATGTTCATCTACTTTTATTGCAATGGGGATGATAAGTTGGTAAAAACTGGCACCTTAAAAGATTATCATAAAAAATCAATCATAAAGTCACCTTTTCCCAAAATACTGGGTTTGGCTCATACCCTCCAACAGACAATGCATCTCCTTGCAAACGTAGGTATACTGAGGCATCATGATCCCTAACATTTGGCATATTTTTGATACCTTCAATCTTTTCTGTAACAACATATGCATGGTACATGGCAACAAGTGGCACTGTGACACCACAAAGTTTACCAACAGTTGGGGCCCATACACCACCACAGTTGACAATGCAATTAGTTTTTATATTACCAACTGATGTTTCAACTTCTGTTATGCATCTGCTGCCCATATCATCAATTTTTGTCTTTATTCCAGTTACAGGGCAGTTTTCAAAGATCTTTGCACCTCGTTTTGTTGCAGCACGAGACAGTGCTGCTACCCAGCTGGCAGGATCCAGTGTTCCATCTCCTGGACTATATAGAGATCCATACATGTCATCAACATTCATGAGAGGATATAGTTTTTTTGTTTCTCCAGGCGAAAGAACATAGGACTCTACCCCATACACCTTTCCAAGCTGCAAAGTAGAGGGGAGAATTGCAGAAAATATTAACACTCAAACATGATTTATCAGTTAGCCAAAAATGTTTGTTTATTTACCACAGTTATATCAAGGTGTATAGAAACATGGAGTTTGTTCTTTTGCAAATTATTAAGACCAGGGGTGTCCAGCATACAGCCTGTGGGTCACATCTGGCCCATGTTCATATTCTGTGGCCCACGTTCATATTCTATGGCCCAAGCTAAGGCAATAAATTTTTGGTAGCAAATATGAAACACCGCAATACGCCGAGAATAAACAACAATAAAACACGTAAATCAGTAAAGGCTAATATTTGCCCATGGGGCATATGGGGCTTCATCAGAGCAAAAGTTAACGGGCTAAAATTTACATATTAGAAAAAAAGGCGATGATGGTGTCGGATTGGCTGATGTGGAATGGTGTGAATGCAGCGCAGTGGTAGAGGAGGGAAGGGTGGCGAATGAGAGAGGGTGGGTGGTGGTGGTGGAATGAAGACGTAATGGGGATGAAGTGCTATAATATGAAATAATGATAATGTTGCTATAAGGTTATCGGTCAGTGGTTCTGTTCATGCCGTTCGGTGTGAGAGTGTTTGCCAGGCCAATGAGGTATTGCTCTTTGGCTCCTCGGACACTCTCTCTTTGTTGTTGAGTTTCAGTAATGGTGTTACAGTAAGGTCATTGATGGTATGTTCTGGGCTACAGAAGTGTTCTACAACACCAGATTTATCTACTTTTTTGTTGATAATGTCTCGTCTGTGTTCGTTAAATTTGTCTTTCAGTCGTCTGCTTGTTTGTCCAATGTATTGGCAGTTCTTGTGTCTGTTAGTTAAACAGCGTTTGCACTGTAATGCGTAAAGAACGTTAGTGGAGTTGCAGTCCAGTCTTTGTTTTATGTCGTAGTTTTTGTCAGTGTTAGTAAATTCAAAATAAGTAGTACTGTCTGTGATGTGTTGGCATGTTATGCAGTTACGTCCCGAGTGGCATTTGTAAGTGCCTCTAGGATTACTGGGTGTGTCACTTTTTATTCTTGCACGAACCAATATATCCCGGAGGTTTTTAGGTCTACGATAGCTGAGTAGGTTTACTGTTTACTGTTTTTAGGTTTAATATTTATCTGTATGCTACAATCTAAGCATACAGATAAATATTTACATGATTTTATTTGCATGCCAACTACAAGTTTAATGTGTGATGTGACTAAACTTTCCGAATCAAAAAATATAAGATTTCACATTGATAACTTTTTCATGCAATCATTAATTTAACTTTTCATGAAATTATAAATGTATCTGTAATTATTAATCCATTTACTGAAAATGAAAGTTTCCATTTACTGTTGAATACAAAATTTCCCAATGAATTATATAATTATTCCTCTGGCCTGCCTGTTCCGCAAGATTTGTCTATGGCCCACCCAGAAAAAAAAGTTGGACACCCCTGATTTAGAGCACTCATTCCAGAAACCTGATGGGTTAAAAGAAGGATGCTAAACTAGTAAACAAAATGATTTCTAGAAATGTAGTAAGTAAAGTCAGGGACGTGGAACCAGAAGGACAGGTACTAAGGGAACTTGTCTCTCAAGGTGTTTGAAAAATTGACCCTTCTAAAAAGGGCTTTCTTCAGAACATTTGGAAGAGCCCCCCTTTTTACTTCTCTCTTTTGCCCCTCCAACTTTGAATTGCTTCTGATGTCTAAAAGTAAAGTCACATCACCAGACTACTCAATAGTCAACACCTGTCATGTTGGATCATTTGAGAAAAAGATCGCACGGGAGATTAAGGGAATGTTAGCAATGGGAAAACTGCAAAAAGTAATAAAAATTGGGGGGTCTGCAAGCAACATGTAACCATTTTCCTGCCCCCTGTGATATTGTCATAGCACTGTAGTTTCTTTGGTAGTGTATTGCTAGTTTGTATGAGCATATAAAGTTATGAGAACATAGCATGACCACATTCTAATTACAGTGCAAAAGAGAAAATGAATCTAAGAGCTTACTGTCATCAGTCTTTTATACTCATCAAGACGCTCTTTATTATTTGCAATGAACAATCCACCATTTTCATTGAATCCTGCTGCAACTCCAGTTTCCTCTTCCAAGGTATTTCTTCCAAGAATACGAGTATAATTCAACAATTCTGCCTCAATATCTGAAGGCCTTAGCCTCCACACAAGCCCTGCACTGTGCCATGTAGTGCCTGCTGTAAGTTGATCTTTTTCCAGCAAAACTGCATTTTTCACCCCATATTTTGCCAAATGATAGAGTGTGCTAGCACCAAGAGATCCACCACCAATCACCACTACATCAGCATGTTCTGGTACAAAATCTGGAGCCTTTGAATTTTCATTCTATAAGGAAACAGATTGGATTCAGGGAAAATGAATCAGATATCAAGAGGTGGCTCTAAAAATAAAAATGTTAATAGAATCCCTAAAGCCTAGAATAGTTGGCACCTAAATCCAAAAAAAGGTATAAGTTTCATACTGAAATCACACTTGATATGAACAACACTTTGCTTGACACTGCTTCTTGCAAGGTCTAACTTGGGATATAATTTCAGGGGGTGAAAATTTAGGGGCACCATTGCCATGGAGGCAGTAGGAGCAGCTGCCTTGTTTGCCCTAGTGATACAGGGGGCAGCATGAGGGGAGTAAAGTGCCCTTTTCAAGAAATTTATTTCTTGAAATATAAAGTCATTTCTATATCTTAAATGCTAATAAAATCTAGGTTTCAAGTGTCTCTTGATACCTATATGCAAGAGGAAAGTCAATACGTAAGCTGTGACATATTTGAGCTGATAAATGTAAAATTTTAGGGGCTTGTTATGTTCTTCTTTAATCCTTTGAAATGGCTTTTGTCTATGACATGTTTGAAACACAAAAACAGACTTTTATACCAAAGATGTTTCTTTGTACAATTTAGTTTAGAATTGAGTCATACTGTATTCATTTTATTGCTGGATCTTTGTGGATCACCAGAGACCCAGCAGCAATTGTTACTTTTAAATTCACATCGAGCTTCAGGAAGTCTAGCGTTCACTGAAAATATGAGAACTGTTTGCAAATCAAAGGCACGAGGGTTGCCAGCGAAAACACAGTCATGTTCAGCAATGTTCTTCCTTGTAGCTATGCAGGAATTGGCACAGCTGTTTGGAAATAACTCCAAGTAATTCCAGAGGTCAACCCTGACAGCAGCCCTCATCAGCATTGATAAGCATAATGATAGTCTGCAAGAAGTTCACTCAGATGAAGAGTTTTAGCGTCAGGTAAAAGAAATGCAAATGTTTACCAGTTGTAAAAGGTCTCGAAAAAGTGAGTGCTGTTAAGAGAAAGTGAACAGCATCAAATTGCTAATGACCTTGTGTCAAATTACGGTGAACCGAATGGTTTTCCCACGAAATTTTATAAAGTGGTCAGTGGATGAGATGAGCCAAGTAATCAAGAACTGCTTTGATCAGAAAGATGTTAAAATTTTATCAACATAAAAAGTGCATGATTGCTTGATAAGCCGTACAAAATATCAGGGGCCATCAAGGACAACTTGGCCTGTATCTTCGACCTCATCAAACTGCCTGCTTTGGCAGAATAACTCAAAGAGTTACCCACATATATCAAAATTTGTAATAAAGAAGTTGCCACACCAATAAGAAAGGTAACAAAGATAGAAACTACTTGTACGGTATTTGTACAGAGAAAGCTGCCAGTGGATTATTTGCAATCCGATTGAGGAAAGGAATATTTTCGAAAATTGTGGAACTTTTAAATTAAACATTTGCACCCCTTTTATAAAAATAGTTCAATTGTTCTTTACATTCCTAAAAAGTATGTAAGTTGATGTGGATAAACGCACAGATGTTCCTTCTTTACTTCTTCCTTGAGAAAAGTATTGAGCATCGTGTCCTGGATAAAATATGCAATTACATCATATATCTTGAAGAAACATACTTTCAAAGTCTTCTTATAAGGCACCCCAGCATCTGCATTTTGTGAAACTTGCGATGAGCAAGCTCTGTAAATTGCTGATCGAGAAATGAAGCGGCGGCATGTTGCTAGAATCTGAGCCATGTTTTCTTTTGGTGTCTAGGTCCAACCCAGGTCAGACCAAGACCTTTTAAAACCAGACAATCCGGTTTGTCGAACAGGTTCATCGCTCATCAGAGGTCTGGGACGGAACTTTAAGGCCGATTCCCACTAGGCGAATTCTTTCGCGCGAATCGAATAAATATTCGTAGCGATAGAGTAGGACCGTGATCTACTTTCTGCGAATCGAATTTTTTCGCTGCGAAATCTGAGAACATGACACCACGCATGCTCACATTGGCAAAAATTCGATTCGCGCGAAAGAATTCGCCTAGTGGAAATCAGCCTTAAAGGTTAAGGGTGAGCTGTAACTAAGGGTTAGCTGTAGGCACGCATACAGGTTAAGGGTTAGCTGTAACTTACGAGAATAGCAAATTTCAAATCAGGATGTTGAAATGATTGATATCGTCTGTGACTTGTGATGTATGATGGCATCTAGTTTTGCTAGATGATTGTGTCCCATTATGATGTCTGTGGCAAGGTCAGGAACAATTACCATTTCAAAATTGATTGACCGATTATTTGAAAAGGTTATAGGTCTTGTCATGGTATCCCTTATTGGTAAGGAATTGTGATCGGCAGAAATGAGGCTGTAGAATGCTGATGAGTCTTGTTGGCTTGGAGACAATTTTATATATCTATGAGGTGGCATCGTAAAGCCTGGTTTCACTAGAGTCATAAGGGTCGTAAGGATCGTAAGAACGTAATTTTAAGATTTTATGACGCTTATGATCAAGTGAAAACACCAAGAATCATAATCGTTAAATAATTAGCACTTGATTTTATCTCTTAAAATTCGTGACATAAGGATCGTAAAGATCAAAAACTTGTTCATCTTTACGATCCTTACAACCGGATGTTCCTTTGTTTTGAGAATTAGGTGACAAATTTTCCTGAATTCCAGTCGAAGGCCGCACACATTGCTCCTTCTCTCGTTGGCCTTAACATGAAATTTATTTTCTGTATACAAAATGGGTCTATCTCGCGCGGAAAGATTATATCTATCGTGAAATTCAGCTGCTAGAAAGACAAGTCTTCGAAAGACTACAAGTTGGCAAAACACCTTGCTCCAGGGGCGGATGCAGAAAAAAATCTGACATTCGCAAAGTTTCGACCACGCCTATATGACCACGCCCAAAAAAAATCAGTCAGATTTTACTATAGTCTCAGAATCGAAGTTTTCCACTTAAAGATGTATTTTTCCTCATATTAAGTTTTTGGATTAGGAAACTAACAACACATTTTTTAAACAGCATAGATTAAATAAAAATATTGAGGCTCAAAGGTTGAGAAATTTAAGGATAAATATTAAGAATCACAGCCAGGCCTGGATTTCATTGACAATTTGGCATTTTACTTATTGAGTGAACAAGAAAAGAGATCTCTGAAAAATTTTGAGAAACACTCATCAAGCTTTTGTTGTGTTGGCATGTTTTGTTTCCTACATGGCTTTTGTGATGGAAAAACAGCAGCAAAGATTTGAAATGTCCTCTAAATGATGATTTAATGGCAAGTCTAGGCATAGAATCACAAATTGTCAAGAACAAAGAGGATGAGCTAAAATAAGGGTTTATTAGGTGTGTGTATCACCCCTTCTCAGGGAGAAAAACTCATGAAAAACATTTTATGCCACTCACTTAAAAAACAGCCATTTAAAGAAAGGAATCTTAGTTCTATTTATACAATGATATTATTTAAGAATCAAATACTATGTTTAGTGTAGAAATTTTCAATGCAATATCCACCCAAATGTTTGACTTCAACACCAAATACCTTAGGGGCCCAGAGCTTTTCTGTTATTTATTTTGTGCATTTGCCTTTCTATCTAAACTGCTGTGTGATGTGCCTTACACAGGGCCAAAAATACAAGTTAGGTCAATACACATCATACAATTTTAGTATTTTCAGGTGTTGGTAAAACAGCAAATGTAACAGAATTTAAAACAATTCATTGTCTTTCCATAACAAGAACATCATAGATATATTATATACAAATTCAAAATGTACATCAAACAAAGTCACTAATGGCAAAGAAATAAGGCAAACATGGTAACTTTTACTATATGGATTTATATGAGATATTTACTTGGCAGAACCAACTTGCTGTGAATTTCTTATTAATAATGTAGTAATTCCCCCATTAGGATCATTCCTTACTACTCTTTTAGTGTGGAAACCACAAATAATTTTACTAGTTTTAGAGGTTAAACTCGTGAAAAGGGTTACCATATTTATGGCATGACCAGACAAATAAAATCAAAATACTATTATAATTTCTCATTTACAAATATGGCAGTCTGGATTTTTCCAAAACTGACAGCATAAAATTAACAAGAAAAGAATAAGCCGTAAGCGTAGAAAATGCAATATCTTATTCAAAAACAAATCCCCAGCACAGTCAAACTATTTACAGGTTTGTGATAATAGCAACATCTATCAATAAAAAATATCTAGAATTCTAAAATTCAGCATATTCAAATTCATCAAGATATTTATAGAACAGAATCATTCGTCAGAATGCTACATCATCATTATCAAGATGTACGGTACATCATGTACCTGACTTGAACCCTAAAAGTTTTGATTGAAAGCCTGCATAAAAATGGCTATTTACCTTAAAAAGCATCACGTATTCTTCAAAATATTATTTGAGTCTGAATCTCTTTCTAAATAACGTCCTCCATCATGAAAATGAAAACATAGGCAAAATTTTGGTTCAACAATTTTAGGTCCAACTGAACTGTCCTCGCATATTGCCATCTATCAAATTCCATCCATCAACCAAAATCTTCGACAAACTTTGAACATCTTCATTAGAAATCCCCTGATTCAAATTAAAAATCATCTTATATTTGACTCCTTTCACTCACTCTGAAGTACAATTGCTGCTCTTCTGCAAGCAAATGTCTCCACAGCTTTCCAACAACAATCATGGCCGTTGATCTGGAAGCGAGGTTTCAATATGCTCACTTTCCAAGGTTCTCTCCCTCAACTGGCTACCGAACATAGTTCGCATCTACCCTCGCCACATTCGCAAAAAAATTTCCCATATACATTTCCTATTGGTTTTCAGATGGCTAAATAACATAGGTGGACTGACATTCGCACACATTTTTGGCATACATTTTTCAGTACTACTTCGTTTGCGCACGCATGCCTAATATATTATAATTCCATTCGACATTCGCATCAAACCTTATTGGTGCTCTGTGAATTTATGCGTAAAAGGGGGAGCCCTCTTTCGAATATATCATCTCTTAATCACGAAAACGAGGGAATAAAACCTAAAAAGTAAACAACAAGGTGACATCATAGCAACTAGGGCAGGAAACAAAACTTTTATTTCTTACATTCCATGGACATGGACTATGACATGGACATTTTTTTTATTATCTGGTCATTTCTAGTACAATATTCACGATGCTAAAATGTATTAACAGACAATTACAAAAAGACATGTGGAAATCTGACATTCGCCAGTGCGAATGTTGCGAATGTCTGGATCCGCCCCTGCCTTGCTCAGATCTCCTTTTGAAAATTTTGCGAAATCCAAAACCCTTTCTTTCATCGTATTTTATTAACTAGCATTTCTTCGACGACATCTTTTGATAAGAATATACACTGCCAGGAACAAACGCAGATTCGTAGCAGCCATGCTGGATCCGTGCAGACAAGTGGCGGGGAAAGAGCGCCCTTTTCAAATCATAAGAAATCTCGCTACTTTTACGATACTTATGACGCTTATGACACCAAGATAACAAAGGATTTTTTATCCTTACGATCCTTAAGACATTTTTATGATGGCGTTTCCATTTGGATTATAAGAAACATAAGCGACACGGACTTAAAAATTATGTTTCTTATGATCGATACGATCCTTTTGACTCTAGTGAAACCAGGCTTAAGCGAGTGTTGTTGACAATGGATTGCTTGACCCTTTGAGACGGCGGATAAGGGAAATTCAGTAGAAATAGCCATATTGAGTTTCTTGTTTGCTGAGGTCAGTGGCGGAAATTACTCAAAAGTTTACAGTACTCTGGTCAGTTTTGAGTCTCAACACGAGTAGCACGCTATCGTCATCGCTTCTTATCGTATACGACTACTCGTAAGTTACAGCTAACCCTTAACCTGTAACAGTTGGTGGAGGACCCGATTTTGCTTTCAAGCATAAGAGCAACGATTCCAAACCAATTAAGCATCACTTTCACAGACACAAAGATGTTATTTGCCGCCTGTTCATATTGCAAAGGTTACGGTCATTACAAATCTCATTGCCTTAAACTACTAACGAAGCTCAAAGATTCATTCCTAAAAATTTGTCGCGACTTCAACCGCTTCAAAGTCGCCAGTTGTGAACAAAATTTCAAGATTTGCAAATATGGAAGAGAACACAAATGTTCAATCTGCCTGAGATTTAATTGCAAAGTCTACACTCACATTCACAGTTCACACGACACTGCCAACTTCAACTTCAACCAGAAGTCACTTCTATCCAAGATCACGGATACACTAAAAGATCTAATAGAGCGTTTTAACCAAATGAAGGAAGACTTTGTTCAAAGTCATCGGAAAAGCGAAATGGCATCTATTGGTCCTCTAGGTCCACGGACAGCAAAATCCGAAGCATCAACTTCAGTAGATCCCAACCACAAAGGCATTCTCGCCACACCTATTACCTCAGCCAGTGGCGGAAAGTGGCGGCTCGGGCCCCCCCCCCCCTATCAACGACGTCGTCGGAAAATTCGGGCATTGTTCTCAGAATATTTTTTCATGGCACGAAATTCATGCATCGTTGATTCAATGCACAAACAAACAATCAGAATGAAGAACCACAATAGCGTAATTTTTCTGAGCATCATGAAGGGGACAGACTGCCTTTAACGTGTCGAAATTACTCCAAGAAATCGTTCTGAAAAGGAATTTTAAGCTAATCTAAGGGGCGTAATTGCCAAATTTTCTCCTCGCTTCGCTCGCAGGTGATCCACGTTTCCTTTTTTACCCCAGGGGCCGTTATAACCTCTCTGTGCCCTTTTTGCAAAATTTGAACATAGCATAGCTGATAAATATTAGCCATTACCAAATAATCAATCAAACAATATATGACCAAAATCAAAACTGGTTGTGAATTGTGTATTTAATTTCAATTCCGTAAATATAAGCCAAAATTTCTGTCGGATTCTTCTGAACAAAAGTTATTTTCAAACGTATTTCTCACTAACGAAAACAAGATAAAATGCATAAAATGAACGTGCGACTTGTCAAAAGTGTTATCGGTCTACCTCTTGTATCATCAAATGTCTTAGATGAGATATCAATCTTGATATCAAAAATCATAAATGGATTGTTCTTCTTGCTACTTAATTATGGCGTGGTCAGCAAAGATTTCTAAAGAGTCCCGTCAAAAAATCAACTATTTTTATGAAAATGTGCAGTTTCTTTAAAATTATACATGGTCCGTGATGTTATCTTGTCGGAAAATCGTAGGCCTGGGCCCCCGCAAATGAAAGCCTGAATTTCCGCCACTGACCATATGGCTATTTCTACTGGATTTCCTTTATCCGCCGTCTCAAAGCGTCACGCAATCCATTGTCAATAACACTCGCTTACGATACCACCTCATAGAAATATAAAAATGTTTCCAAGCCAACAAGACTCATCGGCATTCTACAGCCTCATTTCTGCCGACCACAATTCCTTACCAATAAGGGATACCACGACAAGACCTATAACCTTTTCAAATAATCGGTCAATCAATTTTGAAATGGTAATTGTTCCTGACCTTGCCACAGACATCATAATGGGACACAATCATCTAGCAAAACTAGATGCCATCATACATCACAAGTCACAGACGATATCAATCATTTCAACATCCTGATTTGAAATTTGCTATTCTCGTAAGTTACAGCTAAAGCCGAGAACCCACTTCGGAAAATGATCCGCGGATCGGATCAGATTTTGTGTTGCGCAAGCGCTTTGGATGCAAATATGGTCACATGACTGATCCGCCACGGATCGAAACGGATCGAAAAAAAGTTGAAATCATTTCAACTTTTTTATGAACCGTTCCGGTACAGTAGCTTTCTTTTGATCAAAATCGAATTAGAACTTTTTAAACAATAGGGCACTTGCGTCATGAGGCACGAATCCTGTGGAGATAATGTCAACGTGCATTCCAATCTGAGACGATCCGCGGATCGAAAGAACAACGCGATCTGATCCGATCCGCGGATCATTTTCCGGAGTGGGTTTTCGGCTTAACCCTTAACCTGTAACATGTATGCGTGCCTAAAGTTCCGTCCCAGACCTCTGATGAGCGATGAACGTGTTCGACAAACCGGATTGTCTGGTTTTAAAAAGGTCTTGGTCAGCATAGGGCTTATATCTTGATTGGCTGAGAGCTTGCTCTAAGTCACGTGACCTCTCTCGCCGCTGAGCCAATCACAGCCCCGGAAAGGGTAAACAAACTTAGGCCAAAGCCGAAAATTTGGCATTTTTACCACGGTCCATTAAAAACATAACGTGTAAAATCTGCTACAATAAATTTCAAATTTTTTTAACTACAGCCCTACGCAGATAAATTTTCCACAAAGCTACCGTGGAACATGACATCGATTTTGCGTTGTTAAGAAAATACAGCGTTGTAAACCTAGCCACGGGAAACCTTCACATCCAAGGGGTTTAAAATTAGCAAAATTTCAAGTCAATTTTTGCTGTTAACCCATAAAACTAAAATTTTGCATATTTCAATTGTTTTAAATCTGAATATCACATTAGACTCTGCTTAGCTTCAAAATTCTCTGACGAACAACGTATGCAGTCTTTACTAGAGCTTAGATCAACGCAAAAATGAGAGAATTTCCCTTTTCAAGACAAAAACTCTCAATAGCTTTCAACTGTTCATGTAAAAATGCTCAAAGTAGCCGGAGAAGCTTTTAAACTGATACATAATGACTTTTTTGCGACTGTACCATGTCCTGAGCATCTCTGCTAAAGCACAAGTATCTAAGAATTGTGGGGCGTGAACCGATCAGTTCTAAACATGTGCTGGGCGCCCAAACGGAATCGTAATATATGTACATTAAGGGAACAAAAGCTACTCAAAACCAAATTAGAAATACTTACTGTGTTTCTGTGAGTGTTGGAATCCTGCTTTGCCAATTTTTTGAATCATGATTCACACACCGCGTTTGAAGGTAAATTTTTGGGTTATGCTTGTCCTTGTGACATAAGAATTCCGATTTCGAACAATTCTTCACGCCCATCTCTTCCAGTCCGTTGCAATTATAAATTTAGGAGGTAGAAATGTTGAAGACTTTTGAAAGCAGAAACTACCCGCATGTTTCTCAAATTTCATGCTTCAGTATTGGTTATTGCATGTGATGGGTGTGATCAGAAGATGGCTGTGGTCATAAGAAACCACATCCGTTCTTATAACATCGCATCTAGAGCCCCGTTGCAAGATTCTTTAGAAATCTACGGTGGCCTACAGGTGCCACGGCAAAACTTTCTTTCTCACGGCAAAACTTACTTTCTCACGGCAAGACTTACTTTCTCACGGCAAAACTTTCTTTTTTCACGGCAAAACTTTATTTCTCACGGCAAAACTTTACTTCTCACGGCAAAACTTTCTTTCTCACGGCAAAACTTTCTTTAAATTTAATTTATCCCTTATATTTAATTTATTTTGAAAATTTATCTCGTGACATTGGATTCTCGTCGTCGTATTGCTTTGTTCCTGTTGCTTTTCTAACATAGGTGTAGAAGACAAGGGTCTGGGGAGATAAGGGGGCTGCAGCGGCAACTGTAGTTTCCCAACATTTAAATGTTTCCCAAAAAGCGATAATCAGGCCAAAATCTACCATGAGTCAGTCAGGCAACATTTTCATAAACAATGGATGTTGTTTGTTGGGCAACCACTTCGATTTTTTCTCCTCTTATATTATGCCTATGCTTATTATTTCATTTCTTTATTCATTGTTATTACTATTATTCGAAAAATTAAGTACCTAGCCATCAACCCACCCTGTGAGTAAAACGATATGATATGATATTGAACACAATACCCAATTTATAGGTTTTTTACAAGCCACAAGGTTTTTTACGAGCGTGCCAAGTGCACGTACGAGATTTTTTTGCACAAATTTTATGTGCACGCCAATTTTCAACGAATTGATCTTTTTCACTGCTTTCAAAACGAAGGAATCAAAGACCTGGAATCAAAGATACTGTTTCGTTGAGATAGGCATATAGGCCTAGCCTAGCCAAACCTAGATAAATTTTAGCCCATTTCTGGGCTGTCTTTCTGCAAGAATTATCAAGAGAAGAATTCGCAAATCTGCGAAGTTTAAAACGTCTAAAGCATTGATTAGATCTAAGAATCACGTACACAACATCACGTAGAGAAAGTTTTGCCGCGAGAAAAAAAGTTTTGCCGTGAGAAAGAAAGTTTTTCCGTGAGAAAGAAAGTTTTGCCGTGAGAATAAAAGTTTTTCCGTGAGAAATAAAGTTTTGCCGTGAGAAAGAAAGTTTTGCCGTGAAAAGAGCCTGTGTACGGTGGCCCACAACGGCCACGGCACAATCTTTTTTCACGGCAAATAAATATATTTCCACGGCACAGTTATATATTTACACGGCACATGTATATATTTCCACGGCACAGTTATATATTTACACTGCGAAGTTATATATTTCTCACGGCACAGTTATATATTTACACGGCACAGTTATATATTTCTCACGGCACAGTTATATATTTCGCACGGCACACTCTCATAACGAGGCGTGTAGCGAGAGAAAGGAACCAGAAAAGGAAACATGGCGGAAAAGGAGCAGGACTTTCTGTAAGTAATTTATATCTTTGGACAATTAATTTAGAATAAGTTTAATTTAGTCAGTGTGCCTCATACCTTCAATCTTGGCTGTCACAGGCCGGTCAGTCTGCACAGTATGGCGTGTGCACACCAAAAAGATGTCAATTTTTTATTTTCTAGTTTGCCGAAACTTAGTCTGTGTCGAAACTGTAGTCTCTTAATTGTTTTGTACTCATTTATTTTGCATGATGAGCAATGCACACCAATTATAGATTTTATTTGTAACTGTAGGTGGTTATTGTCATTTCAAATTCTAGGACCAATTTTGTGTCTACATTGGAATGACCCAAACAAATTAAACACATTGAAGGCTCCACTGTTTATTTAAGGGGGGACCATAGATAAAATATAAAAGGAGATACTATTTTTAATTATTAAAATGGTTTTATCAGATCAACAACACAAATGCTTAATGTGTTGACCAACACACCAGCAATCCAGGATTACTGTACACTAGCACATTAAGATTTTTGCCCATGCACATCAAAAGATCTCATGTAAAGTGTCATACTCTGCTGACTGGGTGACCCATGGATGTCATTGCCTGTTTGTATGGCTCCTTCTTATTGTATTTTACTAAATGAAGCCTTTCAGACCATAAACTTGTTGCATCTGTGTTTATGATATGTTTCTTAAGGAATTAATATTGATAATATTTCAAAACTGTCTCAAACATTAGTCTAAGAACTTTTGTTCTCTCTTTTTCTACAGCTACTGCTGCTCGTGCTCAGCAAAATTGCGATTAAATTGCAGATATTGCTGGCAGTGCCAAGCTGATCAGCAAATTGTTGGCCCTCCTAACAGGGTTCAATCAAGCAGTGCAGGCCAAACTGCTATTCCAGCACAGTCTTTTGGAAGACCCAACAGACCTGCCAAGGCAATGAGCTTTGGAGCCTTTTGTAAGGCAAAAAATGTGAATCGGCAAGATTGCATAAATAAGCCAAACAAGAAAATGAGAAAGGCAGATGAAGACGTGTCAATTTTTATTGGAAGGAAACAGTTATCAGAAGAAAAGACGCTGAAAACAATGTGGGGCAAGCGATTACCAATAACTGTCCCAAAAAATGGAACATATGCTATCATACTAGACAAGGCTTTAAGAAAGTGGCAAGCATTTGATCGTAACTTCAGTAATGAAGAGGAGTACGTTTTGGTGTATGATGATGGCAGGCATGCCCAGTTTATGCCTGGAGGGTATAAACATTTCTTCAATTTGCTTGATTACCGGAATGAACTTGGAAAAGACTTCAAGCGAATAACTTTGTATTTGTGCACTTTGGGAGACCATATGGTAGCTGAGGGTCTCTTAAGCCCCTTTTCTGATGCAGGTGACACTATAGAAGATGAAATAGTAGCCACCAGCCCAGATAACCAATCAATATTGGTGCCAAATTTGTTTGATTTGGAACAAGTACAAATTGAACCAATCTTTTCTGTTGATGATACACAAGAAGATAGGTTAGATGAGGCTGTTGCAGATTCAATGAAAGTGAATCTGACACCACATAGTGTTAGCAAGCAAGAAGACCAAGGAATTGAGTATGTACTTGCTACCCTAAAGTCTAAAGTCAATGAAGAAAGTCATTTTTTCCTTGTTTGTTGTCGCTCAGCACCACTTGCAAGACTACTAAAACTATGGAAACGCCAAGCAAGCATCAGCACTGTTACTGCAACTGTCAGAGTTAAATATGCTGGTGAGGATGGTATAGATCAGGGAGCCATAGCAAAGGAATTTTTCACTGAATGTGTCAGCAGTATTGGTAAAGAAATGTTTCCTGGTGGAACACCTTTAAATTCTACTTACCATATCCAAAATGGTAATTTTAGAGCCTGTGGTGAAATTATTGCTGCTAGCATTGCACAAGGAGGCCCATCACCTTTGTTTCTTGAGCACTGTGCATATGATGCTATTCATAGCAAAGTGAACATGCTAAAAATTCAGGAGAATGATCTAACAAGACAGGAGAAAGAAACATTAAAGCAAATAAAGAAAGACTGTAATGCATACAGTGAAACCATCATAGATCACAACTATACAGGTCCAATCAATCAAATACATTGTGAAGGCATCATAAATTCCTTGAAGGTTTCCTTTGTGAGCCAGCGCCAGATGTACATGGCTGAGTTCAGCATAGGCCTCAATGCTTATGGTTTGAAAGATCTTATCTCTAAGAACCCAGAAGTGTGCAGCAAATTATTTGTTATAAATGAAATGGACCCAAATCCAGATGCGAATTATCTATACAGCATTCTATCACCTGTTTATTCAGATGCTGGCTCAATTCGCAGAAAAATGGAAGAGGAAATAATGGATATATTTCAAGACATTTTGATACAAATTGAAGATACAAAAGTGTCTGGTCATGAAGTTGCTGTTGCATGGCAGGAATTTGACGAAGCAGAAGATTCAGAGAAGATAAAGGATATATACCAGTCTCCTGAGGTATCAGTTCCAAGGATCATGGGATGGCTAACAGGCCAACAACATAAACCATTAGACCAAAGTGAACCATTTGAAATCACTTGTCGCTTTGATCATGATTGCCTTGTCAGAAACCCTGTCCATACAATCTGCTTCCCAGTGGTTGGAGCTTGTGGAAGGGAGCTCGCATTGCCAGTTAACCACATGAACACTGCAGAAACATTTCTAGATGTGTTTATCACAGCATATTGCAAAGGAAATGCATTTGGAATACATTGAAGACAGTTTTAGTTCACTATGATAGGTTTCACTAGATGCTTTGCCAGTTGTTAATGTTCAATTGTTCTATATATCTTCAAAATTTGTTATGTTCAATTATTCTATCTTTACAATTTGCTTTGTTCAAAAATTCTATATATCTTTGAAAATTGTTATGTTCAATTATTCTAAACATCTTTAAAATTTGTCATGTTCAATTGTTCTATTTATCTTCAAAATTTGTTATGTTCAATTATTCTATATATCTTTACAATTTGCTTTGTTCAATAATTCTATATATATATCTTTAAAATTGTTTATGTTAAGCTTGACCTTAACCTTAATTGAGAGAGAAAACAGAGTGAGCTATCCATAGTTAGATTAGGCTTTTTGGAGCCAGATCTTTCCCATATCAATTTGAATTGAAAGAATTATATCTGAAAGAAAAATCAAAATATAGGTTTTTAAATCAGGACACTGGAGAACACAATTCTAATGGAATCCAAAAAAGTCCTTGTTCATTATTACCTACACCAAAGCCTCTTTAAAGCACCAAGTGTAAATTTGGCTACTTTGTAGAAAATTTTTGGAAATCAACGCCTTTAATCCACCCCCACCCCACCCCAAAAAAACAAACTCAACCACTACCGTTCCACTGCCTGGAGCCTTCTGACCTCTTTACACATTTTAATTAAGATTATTCTTGAATTAGTCATGACCGACAAAACGTGTAAATTCCCCTGAAAATCTAATGAACGAATTCAAATCATTAATGATGAGTTTCCTCATCACAATACAAAACAAGAATGTAACAGAACAATGAATATGGTATTGAAACAAAAAACCGCTACGGGCTAAAGACTGTCCATTCTCAAAATCGCTGGTCTTGATTTCTGGAAACACAAATCATTAGCTTGAGCCTACCATTGCTCTGAATTATTCTTGAATTTGAGCGATTTTGAGCTAGAATACCTTATGACACTATATTCTTCTAAATTTTTTATCCTCTTTTGTAGATTTATCAACCCCCATTTCCCGTTACTCCCCCCCCCAACCCAAACAAGTTTCTTCTGGTCTCAGACAGAAAAAAATGGTCATTGGTTTATGAAGTTAATATTCTCGAAACGATTTTACATTGCTGAGTGTGCTTCCCTTTTGGCAGTCAATATATATTTTATTACTTTGATTGTATCTTTGTGGAAACTGTTTTTGTGTTTGTGGATGTGATCATTCGTCATTACCGCTGGTTGCAACATTCATAAGTTGATGGTAGCGATTTAATGCTTGTCTCCAGTCCCTTGGGTCTTCCATTGGCAAAAGGTTTGCCAAGTACTTAAAGTATTCTTGATAATCATTGGAGGATTCACCTTCAATAAGATGTTCTCTTGCATAAGATAGTTTCAATTTTTTGAATCATGATTTTACATACCGCGATGTTTTGAAGGTAAATTTTCGGGTTATGCTTGTCCTTGTGACTAAGAATTTCGAATTCGAACCAATTTCTTCACGCCCATCTCTTCCATCACCTTGCAATTTTAAATTTAGAGGTAGAAATGCAGAGACTTTTGAAAGCAGAAACTACCCGCATGCTTCTCAACTTCAAAAGTGAGCAAAATTACTGACCCGTCCCGTGTTGATAACAAAGTGAATTTAAAAAAAATTAAAATCAACTTTTATAATTATTGTCGTGGCACCTGGTCTACATATGATTCTTCGAAGAAGTAACTTATGACTAGTTTTAGAATAAAGAATGCAAATTGTTTGCCATTTTAATTGTTCTGGCTGAAACGTTAAACTACGGGGGCCCACAGGTACGGTGGCCCACAACGGCCACGGCACAATCTTTTTCACGGCACAAAATATATATATTACACGGCACAGTTATATATTTCCACGGCACAGATATATATTATTCTCGCGGCAAACTTTCATATACTCACGGCACTTTTCATATTACTCACGGCACACTTCCATATTTCTCACGGCAAACTTTATATTTCTCGACGGCAAACTTTCATATTTCTCGCGGCAACTTTCATATTTCTCACGGCCAAACTTTTCATTCCACGGCAAACTTTCATATTTCTCACGGCAACTTTCAATTTTCTCACGGCAAACTTCATATTTCTCGTTCATTGTGATAATTCCCATGTGTTATTAAGCAATGATGGAAGACAGTTCAGATGAAAATGAGTCGTTGCAAGGTTATTTAACCAAGGGTTTCAATTATAGAGAATATGTGCCAGCTTTCAAGAGGAATGGAGTTAGTATCAGTGAAAGAAACATTGCGAAGAAGACTGGCGTTACTTGGACTGACAAGACGAAACTGTCGATACAATATCGACGTGGTTAAAAACACTTTGATATCGTTAGGAGATGGACCAATTCATCTAGGGGCTATCGTGCAATGTGGCATCATTTACGGATGAAAGCATCTACGTTCCAAGGACAATTGTAGAGAACTGATGCGCGAAATCGATCCCGAAGGAATAGAAGTGAGAAGAGCTCATCGCTTACGTAGAAGGCCTATGCTAATGCTGGTCCAAATGAGTTTGCACTGCGATGGATATGACAAATTAAAACCCTATGGGTTTCCATCCATGGATGTATCGACGGTTGAGTAGAAAAATAATTTGGCTTTACACAACCAGGTCAAATAATCTTCCTCAAAATATAGGCCTCACTATCTTGAAGCAGTAGATGAAATCGGATGTTCCTGCTCAGCTTGTTACCGACCTCGGAACAGAAATGGCTTATGGCGGGATTCAGTCTTTTTTTCGCAATGACATTGAAAGTCACAAATATGTGCCATCCCAAGAAACCAGCGAATCGAAGGGTGGTGGTCTTTCTTTCGAAGAAGTCATTCAACATGGTGGATAAATTTCTTCAAAGATCGTGTGGTTCTGGGAAATAAATCTGGGAGATAAATGGCAAAGGATGTTTATGTTCTGCTTTGCTAGCTTACTGCAGCAGCAGCTGAATATTGAAAAAGACATGGAACACCCATTACATTCGTGCTTCTCGTTTTGATACAGTGCGAGGTAGACCCGATCATTATTTTATTGGCCTGGCAACGTGGTGGTCAGTGCAGTTGGCCCTCCCGGTCCCAGAAAATG